TGTTGTCGAATCCGAAGCTCTTGAGTAATTCATTCGGGTTGCCCTGCCAGCTGCTGCGTAGAAACATCTAATCAGATTTAGTTCGGTTAGTAGTTCGCTTCAATGCCGAGTAACAGTGATGCGCACACGCGCAAGTACCGAAGCATCATGCATCAAGTCCAATTTAGAGACATTCTATTGTAAATAAATTGGGATCCAGCCAGATTTGCCTCGTTGCCTTTGCCACGACCTTCTCCATCACTTTGTAGCTAGTCAGTCCTTGTTTTCATCGTCCACTGCTTTTTTGATTCTTTTCCAATACACCCTCAGGCTACTAATGCGACTATTCCACCCTCTCAGTGTTTTTGTCTTTGTCATCTTATCATCCCTCGTCAATGCCAGCGTGACAGTGTACCACCAAGTCCCATTAGCAGATTCAACAACCACCGCATCTTCCGCAAATTATACCGGCGCTGCAGCTTATGATCCTACTGTACTAACACCCCCGCCCGTCCCCTCAGGGCTCACAACACAATTCGGAATCCAGCTCTCCAGTTCTTCGGCAGCTGTGCAAGGTCTGAGTATACCCCATAAAGGGTCGTTCATGGGATTTTCTATCGAATTCACTGTCATCAACCAAATTTGTTAGTTCAATCATGTCCTATCCAGAAGTCATATACTGATCACAGATGGTCGCAGTCGGTGTAAATGCGTAAGTCCTGATGAGGCCGCTATGTCCACATACATGAACTCATATGTCATAGCACATACTTGCAGGTCCCATTTTTAAACCTCATGGCCATCCTTCGCGAACGGGCAGGCGAGGTGCTCATTCGAGTCGGAGGCAATACTCAAGAGACTGCAGTCCTCGTGGATAGTCTTCCTGGAGGTGTGATGATGACAAAAGAACGTGGCACTACGGGTGATGTGGTGCGTGCAATGTGCATGATCGTTATTGGCGACATCGTGTTCAATCACTTCTTTCTGATTATTTCAGACTGCCACCCCAACGCTTCTTTACACGGCCGAAGTTTTTTACACGATGGCGAACATCTCGGCCCTTGTAAATACAAAATGGTTCCTCGGTAAGGCTCATATAATCTATTTTAGACCGTCAGTGACATCGGCGTAGGCATACCGTTCAACGACACGAATAACCTCCGACTTGGTATCGCGGAAGTCGGCGAAGCTGTGTTGAGTAGTCCCGGATATCTGCTCGGTTTCCAAGTCGGAAACGAGGTATGTCCTTTCCGCATCTCAAACCGATCACTACTCATCATCGCAGCCCGATCTTTATGCAGCGTTCGTGGTCGTGTTTTGTTCTGTAATCTAAAATACTGACAGTTTCATCAGACACGATGTCCGACCTTCCACATACTCACCCTCTGACTACTTTGGCGAGTTTGGATTAGTAGTTAACGCCATCAACAGCGATAGTAATATCCCTGTCAAAAACAACTTGGTTGCTCCGTCTATCACAGGCCAATGGACTCCAGAATGTTCAGTTATAATTCTTTTTTGCGGTTGACACCAAAAACTAATCTAATATCATCAGCTGTGTGGGACACCGGACTCGTTGGATCCTATTCTTCAAGCTTGGGAGCACTAGCCGTTGAACAGTAAGCCCCTTTGTGATTTTCATGCAGTTTACTAAGTTTCTCAAGTTACCCCTCCGATAACTGCTACGCTTTGTACGGCATCGGTTCTCCTGTCATCCCACAAGACGTATTTCAAAACTTCCTCACCCATGCCTCTGGCATCAACATCATCGCCCCTTATCTTAATTCCACCGGCTATGCGCAATCGGTTGGAAAGCCCTTCTTTATGATGGAGACAAACACCGCATCATGTGGTGGCTTGCCAGGGATTAGCGATACCTTTGGCGCCACTCTATGGGCACTCGATTATGGCCTCCAAATGGCTTATAGCAACTTTTCAGGCGCAATGATGCACGTTGGTGGTCAAGATGTGTACTACAACGTAAGTTACGTGTTCTGAGCGCTTTGGAGATTTCACTGAGCCATGCACCACGTCTAGCCTTTCACTCGTGAGCTCTCCCTTGGCAATTTAAAGCAGCTGAGAAGGTCATACTGACATTTGTGTGTAGCACCTCCTACGAACCAGTCATTATTCCACCAATGGACGATTGGCTCTATATTCTACAGCACAATGGTCGTCGCCGAAGCATTCGGACCCTCTGGCAACGCACAAATCATTGATCTGCAGGCCAACACCAACAATACGTATACCCCTGGCTACGCAATCTACGAGAATGGTGCTCCCGTGCGGCTCGTGCTACTCAATTACGTATCAGATCCGAGCGGTGCGAGCGCTTATACAGCAACGATTTCCATCGGCGGCTCGGGAATTGGGCAAGACAACGCTACGCCTGCACAAATACAAGTCAAGTACGTATTCTATAGTTATATTATTAGTGGTGCTACCCGCTGACCAACTTCTATCTTAGATATCTAGCGGCACCTTCCGTGTCGGAGAAGTCCAACATTACGTGGGCAGGCCAGGTGCGTCCGGTCACCGATATGTATATTTTCCCTTCACTGATGTCCTTCCCAGACCTTTGGCGGGACCTTCCAGTCTGATGGCCGCCTAACAGGCACAGAGAGCGTGCAGACGATTAACTGCGACCAGTCATCCAATACTTGTCAAGTGACTGTCCCCGCCCCTGGTGCCGCACTCGTCTTCCTCTCCTCCTCCGCATATGCAGAGTCAGGCAACCCCTCCACCCAAACGTTCTCCACCACGATGGTCACGAAGACAATAGCGACGGTGGACCCGAGTGTGCTGGCCACCTCGAACGGGATGTCGGGAGACACATGGAAGCTTGGAAGCACGAGTAAGGGGAGCATTGGTGCTGGCCTGAGGACTTCACTTCCAATTGTTTCTGTTGTCGGTGCAGCTTTGCTGAGCACCGGTATGCTATGCACGTGGTTCTGGTCATGATTTTCATGCTGACGAGTCAAAATACTTGGTGGAACTACCACCACCGTAAATATCTGTCACGATGTTCACGATGCGGTCAAAATTCTTGGGACTGTATATTACATACTACAATGACGATAAGGACACTTATATCTAGTTGTCGTTTTACCACAGAATGGTGTATTAAATATGTAGGCTTGGACATTGAACCGTAGAGCATTAGTATTAAAAAGTTGCTGCGACGAGGCCGACTTGCAGACCTATACTTCCTGATATGTACCACAGTGGAGGATCCTATGCGGTGCCCAAAGCCATTTTCCAGTGCGATATTCGTCCGCGGCGTCAGGCTGGGCCGTGCCTGAAACGGTGATATAACCCCAGGTAAGGCTAGTACATAATGGGTCAAGCTTTTAGTACCGAGCGGAAAGTACATAAACTTCTTTTAGGTCGCATCCTGCCCGACAAACACAGTAACAGTAATGCCGGAGGCTCACGCAGCAGAGAAAGAAGCACTAATAAGTATACAGCGGTTTTTTTGGCATCTCTTTGAAAACCGCGGCCAAGTGATGACCGAGGCCTACGAGGCCATGGGGATGGCGGAGATTAGTACCTTCACGGTATAACTTCAATGAAACCAATACCAGCTTCAAGACGTCCCGCAGATCGAGATGAAGAACGATTTGTTGCCAGAGTTCAGGAGGCAGTGGCATAAATACGTTGATCGGTGTCGCATCATGGTAGCGTTCCACCCGTGCGACTGCAGATTGTGCGTCGGGTTTGTATCCTTGCAATGGCCTGTTGGAGCTACCATGATCGTTAGAGTCCACTGATATCCTGTTGACGCGTGAAATATTGTGTTCAACGGTTTGGCCGCTGATCGAAAATGGTGAGATCATCAAATGTCTAGGCGAATGAGCGTCCGTCCAAAACTCGTCCAGTATCTCTTTCAATTGCATGTAATGGCATTGGGTAACCGTATACACCCAGAACAAGAGTCATAATGGCGGCAGTAGGAGATATACATGTTTCGATAACGGTAAATATAGTACTCACGAGTGAGGTAGAATATTGAACAGATCTGAACAATCAGTTTCGAGCGTCAGGTTGAATACTCCATTTTAAGGGCCACTGATAGACCATGAATTCTATAAGCCCGCGAAATCACTGCAGTCTGGGTACAAGGAAAAATGGTTGTAAAAGGCTAGGTGGTTGATTATATCATGGCTCAAGAATTTCTGCAAAACAGTGGTGTCATCAGTCATCTGTACTGAACAAATGGAAAGGGAGGGGAATGGAAGGTAGAAGTAGCGTATTTGAGCTCAGGCAGTTGATAACCCAAGGGTTCCGCAGTATACCAATGACTCTCGCCTTCTCCCGAACTAATAAGTGACGTGGGGAGGCGACAATCTTGCCATGTGGATACTGCCATGATGATCATGATACAGCAGCCGCTGACCAGGCTATACAAGCGACGATTTTGAATTTGAGGGTCAGAGAAAGCAATTGTAGGTCTGGATGCAGAAGTGGAGGCATACGAAATGGCGTTAGAAACAAGTTGCCGACATCAAGTACTGGAACTTTCCTGGTGTCCGAGTAAGTTGTGGCATGGTTCACAAATCAAATTCTATTTTTGGTATCGAAGGGCTTCCTCTTTTATTTTATTTTGCACCGCAATACTCACTTCGCCTTCTTGTCTCCTCCCATGTGCAACTTTACAATGTACTGTCGGACTTTATTCTATACTTACCTTCTCTTTGTTCATCATTTTTGATATAATCATAATGGCCTTGCTAAGCTGTTACGCATCAGGCCTCAGGCCCAGTGAAAACTGACTATGACGGGAGGAGTCGTCACATGCTTAGAAATGATTTTCCTTTTTAGTTACATGTTGGTATATGCTCATTTATCATAATCCGACTCATTGCATACGTTGTGCTCGTAACGTTGCGTTGCGAAGCGCTAACTTCGTATATTTCCTTAGTCTTTGCTTTGCTTTGCTTCTCCATCGCACTTCGCCAAGCGTGTAGGTTCGTTACGTTGGAGTCTTTGCACTCATAGCCATATTCCAATCTATAGAAAACATGCCTACAAACGAGTCCGCTGAAAATGTCAGTCTCTGTGTGTGCTCGAGATACAACTTCGGGAGGCCACATAGCGTGTCGACAGCAACTTGGCGCCGACATCTACAAGAGGCTCCAGAAGATGAGAGAGAGAGTATTCGTCTGCGCAGAGCGCTACCAGAACACATGTCCCTTCTTCCAGCTGACCAAAATCTTCCACTAGACTCCGAGCCTGCAGCACACCGTGTCCCTGATCCTCCTGGTGCTCTGTCTACCAGTAGTGCTCGTCGTACTGCTGCATTGCGGGAACTTGCTAAGCGCGCACGAGTTGATGAGAGTAACAATCATGCTGTCGGACGTCGCAAATGTGCTCGGAATTCTGAGCCATCCACCTCCAACGTTAACAAAAACAATAACACAGACAACGATTTTGAGATGGATGACAATCTGGTACGTTTCTTTGCCTTGTTATGATCTAAATTTTTCAATAGTCATATTACAGTACTATGATGATCAAAACCACCCTCCGGAGCCAGATGCACCTGAGCATAGACCTCCCCCAGTGCCGGATGAACTGAATATGCCTCAAGAACTGGATATGCACCAGCACCACCCTCCGGAACCAGATGCACTCGAGTATAGACCTCCCCCAGTACCGGACGAGCCAGACATCCCCCATCATCTCCCTCCAGAACCAGACTTGCACGAGCACCACCCTCCACAAGAAAATGCGCATCTGCCGCAGTATGAGTTAGAATTTGAGCGAAGAGAACGGCCGCACATTGATGTGGAGGCCCTTGCACGTAGCGCAGTGCTGCCGAAGGTTAAGGAGACAATGGAATTTGTCCTTGCCCTCAAGCAAGCATCCTTGGAGGACCAAAGTGCTAAAATGAGCGATGAAGCGCTCCAACGTCTCCGTAATCCACCTCGTGGCCCCATCGACGTCAATAGTCCTGCCATCCGACACAGTATTTCGACATACCTCGCACTTGAACATGCCTCGCAAGATGCGTATAACCGTATTTGCAGGTCATTGATGCAGAACTTTTCTGGCATTGATGGTGTTGACGACATCTTGAGCTTCCATGCTGTCGAAAAGCTCGTTGCTGCTCACACAGGTGTTGAACCCATAATACATGATATGTGCTCCCAGTCGTGCATGGCATATACTGGACCTTACGCTACGCTCGAACACTGCACTGTGTGTGGTACTTCTCGATGGGATCAAGCCAAGCTTGCAGCCAGCAATGGCCAAAGAAAGGTTGCTGCGCAAAATTTTTCAACCATACCATTAGCCCCCCAATTGCAGGCTCTTTACCGTAATCCAGACAGCGCATGCGACATGCGTTATCTTCACGAGCGCACACAGGAAGTGCTGACAGAGCTTCGGGCAACAGGTACTATTCCTGTCATCGATGACATCGTGATGGGATGGGACTATCTTACTGCAGTGATCGACGGGGATATCAAGGAAGGAGACATTGCTCTCATGGTCTCATTGGATGGTGCGCAACTCTACGAGTCTAAGGAGTCAGACTGCTGGATTTATATGTGGGTTGTTTTAAACCTCTCCCCCAACAAACGATACCGCAAAGTACATGTCCGTCCAGGTGGCTTTATACCTGGACCAAACAAGCCAAAGAATGTCGATTCTTTCCTCTTTGTTGGAATGCACCACCTTGCAGCCATCCAAAACGAAGGCCTTACCGTGTGGGATGCATCCCGTGATGCAACATTTATATCGGACATTCACCTCATATTCACGACGGCTGATGGGCCTGGACTTGTGTATTGGGACGGAATGGTGGGGCACAGTGGGAAGAATGGGTGTCGGATCTATTGTGGAGTACAGGGCCGAAGAAAAACTCGCGGGACTCGTTACTACCCAGCACTCTTGAAGCCAACTGATCATTCAGTCATCGGGAGCAACCATCCAGATATTGATGTGTTCAAAATTCCGCTCGGAGGATCTGATGACTACGAAACTAACTTAAAACGCCTCATTACTTCTCCAAATCAACGTCAGTTCGACCTCAGGAAAACGGAGACAGGTATAACAAAGCCCCCTCTAATCCTTGGCCTAAGTCCTTCACGCAGTCTTGGAGTCCCATTCTGCATGACGACGGACATCATGCACCTCGCAGCAAATCTTAGCGATCTCTTACTGAGTCTCTGGCGCGGAACTTTAGACTGCGGACCATCAGACAATGTCGAAACTTGGGACTGGGCTGTCTTTAGAGACGAGGGTACCTGGACTATACATGGAGCAGCAGTTGAGAACGCCGGACCCTACCTTCCCACTTCATTTGATCGCAAGCCTCGTAATATTTCTGAGAAGCTTAACACTGGCTATAAAACATGGGAATTTCAACTGTACATGTTTGGCCTCGCACCTGCACTACTCTACGACATTCTACCCCGGAAATACTGGTCTAACTACTGCCAACTCGTCCGTGGATTCCAGCTGATGTGTCAATATCGCATCACAGCCCAGGAACTTGTCCATGCCCAAGCACTTTTATGCTGCTGGGAGCGGGACTTTGAACTCTTGTATTATCGTCGCCGAGAAGATCGCATCCACTTCATTCGTCCATGTGTCCATCAAACCAACCACCTCGTCTCAGAAACAGTGCGGAAAGGCCCATCAATATGCTATGCACAGTGGACTATGGAATGAACGATTGGAAATTTGGGTCAAGAAATTCGTCAGCCCTCGAATCCTTTCGCAAACCTCTCACAAGAAGGAGTTCGACGCTGCCGCATTAATACCCTTCTCTCCATAATGCCTGAGCTCGACAATTCACACCAAGGCCTTCCGAATGGTTCCGTTGATTTAGGAGATGGGTATGTGCTTCTTCGCAAACGAGAACGATATGCGAAACTCCCAGACGGTGCAGATGCACAAGCAATCGCCAATTTTCTTGGTGCTCGTCGCATGCTTCCTCGCATCAAGAAATGGGCCCGACTTTTGTTACCCAATAAGCAGGTTGCTCGCTCAGCTTGGAGAGAGACCACCAAAGCGCGTGAGCAAGTGCGAATGTCACGCAATGTGAAGGTTTGTTTGTTTTATTAAAACATCTTCTACATGCTAACTCGTTATAGTTTAAAGTTGCTGGACAGTTTCGATTCGGTGAAGTGCAATATTTTACCAGGCTCGCAGTCGAAGTGGATGATGCCAATGAAGATAGTGACGATGAAGACAACTGGCATTTTTTGGACATCGCTGTGATCCAAATGTATTCACTCCCTGACGAAGCTCTCCTGCAACTTTCTTCCCAGACGGTCGCTTCCTGTACCCACTCTGAGCAAGTCTTGGCTATTGATGTCAAGGATATTGTCAGCGTGATCGCCATGGTTCCACACAAACCAACACTTCCATCGGGGCTTACAGAGGAGCGTTTTTTTATGATTGAAAAGCCGGGCTTAGATGTATCTGATCTTGGAGTTCGCTACAGTGCATATCATGATGAGGACGACGAGGACAATGCTGATGATGCCAGAATCGAGTAGACATTATTTCTAAAGCTCGTAGTTACAGTTATTATAGTTCAATGATTTTTTCTATTGCTACATATGAGGAATGCGAGAGTTCGAGTGGATCTGAGTGCACAACAGCAAGACAACATGAGAGCAATCTGACAGCAAGAGGACAGAGGACGCGAGAACAAAAGACGAATTAGAAATAGTGGGGCATCCCAAAAATTTGAAGGATGTCATCTGCTTCTCTTCTGGCGACTGCGGCAGCAACATCCGAGTTTGTAAGTTGGCGGACCCAGTAGCACCAAGGCTTGTCAGTACGATTAGGATTGGCTGGATTGTTGCAGCGCAGTGAGAGTAGACGACATGGAGACACTGTACAAGCACTATAAATGAACAAGTTAGATTACAATACAGACAAATATTGTACTTACATTGCCGGAAGAAGTTCAGGAAGGTCCTCCTCGACCTTAATTGTCAGATCTTCCTCAGGCTCGGTTTTGATGTTCTCCTCCTCAGACTTAACCACTGGCATCATGTCTTCATCCGGCTTCGATCCCTCATTGCGACGAAGGTCTTTGAAGCGAAAAACAACTCTCTATACAATTATATATGTGGGATCAGCAAATAAGCACAAAAAAACACGCACCTTTCGTCCAGGAGATTCCATGTCTAAAGACAAGACATAAGTAGCCCACGACGCGTCTAAACCATCGATCTCGACAACAACAACATCCCCGAGCATCGTGACGTTGGATGAGCTAATGATAGTTGGGGAAGACATCGATGTGTGGTAAGTCGTGAAATGAAAGGTACCGTGTCGAGACCGAGACAAGTTTCTCAATTCGGTATTTTCCATCGGAGACAGAATATTGAATACAGACGACTCAATGAGTCTTGCTTGTAGTTTATATCGAGCCAGTCTGTCCTATCACTAACTTTATAATTCTTACAGTTCTAGTATGTTCAGTATGGCTGGCGAGGGAGGCTCTAGCCTCTGGAACAACAGTGCATTTTCAGGGTCTTATACGCCTTCTCCTGGACCCTCCTTGGCAAATATGACGTCACCCGAGGCAGATTCATTCTCACCACCCCCAGCGCAAGTCCCACAGCCTCAATTCAGCTTGTTTCAGCAGGTGAGTCACTTGCTACTGTTTCTATTAACTTACTGTATGTTTTAGGGTGCATATATGCACGAAAACCAAGCCTTGCGAGAGCGTTGTGGAATCTTGGAAGCACAGGTCACCAAACTCTCCATTGAACGTGATACTATACAGTAAGATTTTGTATGTACTTCATGTGCATTCTCTAATGTAATGATAGGGCAATGTTTCACCAGCTCGCCTCTTCTGTGCGCCTTGATGAAGCTGTGGAGTCTCTCGGCTCCAAAGGCACACACCTATCACTGGCAGCACCCTGCACCAGTAACACCAAACGTCCGACTCGTGAGACACATCCCAAGGTCAAATTTTGGAACCAGGACGCATTCTTGGATTGGGCAGAACGAGCTAGCGCGCAAGGGCTTCATCGCGGGAAAATTCCTTACCTTGAAGGTGAAAACGGAGAACTGGTCCCTGAAGCAACAGTCAAAGCTATTCGCAAGACCCTGCGTGGAGGATGGTCAGAACTTGTAAATCGCCAGCTTGCTCCGAAGTCGTGGGGCAAGTTGTCGTCGACGGGAAACCAATTCATTCATTCACTCATGGAAAAATCGTACCCACTGTTTACTCTCGCTAACAACGGATGGAAACTAGATTATCTGTGCAAGTCGTCTTACTCCGCATGGCGAAGGAACCACCTTGATGACAACGGCAACTGGAAATCAAGGAAGGATGGCAATGACGACAGTGATGACGACAGCGACGATGGAGACTCCTCGGACGCAAAAGGTAAGAAGCGCAAGAAAGTGAAGCGCTCAAAGTCCGAGGTCCCAGAAAAGAAACTCAAATGTAGGTTCTCACTTGAGTTGCTTTACCCTACTAACAATACCATACTGTAGTTACTCCGGATGTGTCGATTCCCCCTTCTTTGCCTCCAACTCCTTCGATACCACCAGCAGTACTTCCTTCCCCAGTGCTATCACCATCTCTGGATCTTTTGGACTCGGAGAGTGCAAGCATTCCCACTACCGACGGCGACACTGCAGAGCCTTCTCATACCATCATCGAAGAGTCTCTGGAGAGTGCGAGTGTCACTCCTACTATTGTTATTGCAGAGCCTTCCCATCCCATCGAAGAGTCCGAATCTCCCACTACTCTTCCAAGCCCTATCACCGTGTCATCTCATCCTGCCGGCGATCCGCTTGAGGAAAAGGAAAATATACCACCACCACAGCCACCTACCGCTACACCTGCACCAATCAAAATCACTGTATCCAATCCCATGTTGGTTGTACGTTGCTTTTATTTGTTGGCGTTACTTACTTTCTTTAGCTCGTTGCTCGCGCTGGCTGCCGCTGGCGTGAAAATTCCTCTGCTGCCTTCCGATTCTGTACCTATGCAAGCACCTCCTGTTCCAACCGAAAAAGTGTCTGTCCCATCCGACGGAGCCAACTCCAACCTCCAGAAAGGCAAAGCAGCCAAGGCAGGAAGCAAGAGCTCGAAAATGCGCCCGAGCCCTACTAAGAATGGACGGTACGTGTTTTTTTCTCAGACTTTCCCTTTACTAATGGGTTGCAGTAATCTATGCGCTCTTCGTTGGCTGAAGCAAATCAAAATTGGCGGGACGACGGAGGAATTTTGTGCTTATTATGGGGATCTGACACTAGAGCAACGAAAGGCAAGTGATATAATATCTTGTATTTGAGTTGATTCATTCACACTGGCCGGTAGGGATACGACGAGGAAGCAGCTGCACTCGTAAGTCCTTGATTCTCTCGATGGACCTTCTAAATCGTCGTCTACTAGGTCGCTACCGATACATGGACCAAAGCTGTCTCCGAAGGACGACTTTATTAGATTCAGCACCATCCGATCCTGCACCATCCGACATACGCATTTCCTACAACGTTTTCGAGTGTTTTCGAGCCGTTTCGAGCCGCTGTCTGCACGCGTCGTGTTTTCCAAGCCGCTATCTGTGTTTTGAGCTTTTTTGTACCACCTTTTGTACCCCCCATTGCTACAGTGCCTAATATTATTCGAGCATATTTGCGCACATTTTCAACTGTCTGGCAAGGGATGCGAGTATATGCGTTCAAATGCGCAAATATGTTTTACATTGAAAAAAGCACCTATGTGCATGAGGAAACCCGCCCCCGCATATATTGAAATATGCGGATTCGCTCACTACGTGTCTTATAATGTTCTCATATGTTTTTCTATCGAGCTGCTGACAAAATCACTTATCGTCACACCACGACTCCTCCCGTCATAGTCAGTTTTCACTGGGCCTCAGGCTTGGCCAGTGAGTCCAAGAAAGTTCTTGTGCTTGTTTCGATCACATCATGCTTTGACCTGTGTTAGATTGCTGACTACATGATTCAAAAGGAACTCCTTCATTTTTTCAAGCTTGCAGCAAAAATACCTCAAAAATCACATCGGAAATAAGTTGTGTTGTCGACATCACCGATGAGTGAAAAACTTTGTTGATGTTCCAGTAGTCGCGTGCATAACACTGGTTCGGAAATCAAAATTTACTTTGATTCGATCAAGGGATTCCACGTGCTCCTTGCTTGATTTTGCACTCAGGCTGTTCCACCCAATCAAGGGTCTTGAGGCGCGATCAAATATCCATTTCTATCATCCAGATGTCAGTGATATATATACAAGCTAAACGATGGCATATCTAGCACGAACGCTATCGTTATACATTCTGCACTCATACCCGTCCCTCAAACATGACTATAGTCTCAAACGATCCCACTCTATGGCCGTTAATCGATTCTGCTATATTTTTCAGCTATTGGAACAGTTCGTCGCATCAAAATGCCTGGATCTAACACTGACTTGCAGTTTCGTAGTTGCCGCTGGCGTTGTGGTGATATACGATTGGGGTGAGCAGAACAGTGTTCCAAAACTACCAAGATTCTCATGATCTCCAGCACTAACACTTGGACAAGAGGTAGGTCTATATTATCGCCGGAGCGAAAAACTCGCTAAGTAACGTCTCATAGATTGAACTAATCTGGGTGAGTGATAAAAGTCCCGTATCAGGAGAAAAACGGGAAAATATAATGGATTCGCGGTAGAGACAACGCTGGTCTCTAATGACTGTGCTGTATTTGGTTGTTCGTACCTCATGCTGTGCTATGGCGGCGTGGTTGACTTGAAAATGTTCTAGATGCGCTACATTGGAATACCCTATTCTGTGTATGTTATTGTGACCAACAAGTTGGTGCTGTACTAATGTATCATCAGTATCAGCGTGTTGCGTATGTCTCACACGCACTGCGTTCGATTTTTTCTGACCGGCGGCCCGCAGAAGGTACACCATTGGTCTTGCTGACAGATGCAGTGAGTGTTCCACAACCATCTCATTCCTATGCAATGAATACACTCATAGTACTATGCAGGGGTGATTATGATTCTGACTATTTACTAACTTGGCTCAACACGATGACTCGATAGGTGTGAGTCTGGGTGTTTGATCCTAGTACGAGGGTGTTCACTAATTAAGCGTTTCAGGCAATGTTATGGACTACGCACAGAATGGGACAAATGTGGTCGTAGCTGCCATGTTGGGCAGTGAGTCACCCAGTTGATACCTCGGTGATATTGACTCGACTGAAACGTGATGCCACAAGTTATCATGATCGCTCGTTTACATGCTATGTATCAGGGATCTAGAAAGATGCTTATCTTCCTTGTTACCATCTTTCTGGCTGTTAACATTGCCTGCGGAGTAATCACGGTAATAGACCTCAAGTACGTTGTAGGGGGTAAGCCTCACTTGTTGACTTGAAGAACATAGCTCATTGGACAAACACCAGAGGAGTGGATACTTTCTGGCGTGTATATGTGCAGTTATGGAGTTGAAGGGGATGTCCAGCTTCTGTATTCACTGGTTTGGATGCTCATCACTATTTGGGAGGTCCTCGCACTGTGCCTTTCAGTTTGGGTTGCTGTGAAACACTTCCGTGAGCTGCGACGACTCGGCCCATTGACAGGATCGACCATCGGGGACTGTTTCAGAGTGCTCATACAATCTCACATTCTTTATTTCGCAAGGTGAGCATTGTAATGTTTATGTAGCTATGTTTTCTGCTCAAGTTTCTGCACGTGTTAGCTTTTTTTGTGTCTCTTGCTCCCAGTTTGCTACTCTCTCTCCAGAAATATTGGTGCGCCGAGCTGTTGCTAATATCTGCGTGCAAGCACTGCTCATCATTTCTGTAGAATTCAGATTCTTTTGGAGCTGCGATACTCAATGGTACTCTTTTGATTTTATTGGTCGTGCAGATGTTTGTGCTGGGACCACGCCTCATTCTTAGCGTTCGAGAGTACCACGCCAAACTCGTGGAAGACTCCGATGCAGACACTAGCATCAATTCGATTGTTTTCCAGGAGCGTGTACATGTATCAACTAGCAGTACTGTGTAGGGAAATGCTTGCCAAGTGGTCTGCAGGGAGGAGAAAATTGGTGGAGGATCCGTCGTGGTATTTATATAACATATGATGTCTCTAACTTGAAGAATATGTGAAAGGTCTAGGCAAAACCATAGGTTGCGTCACTGGAACGAAGTACCTGCACTTGAACCAAGTTGAATTTCATATCATCTAGAATATCTAGCAACCAACCAGGTCCTTGAAAGCTTGATCGCTGATATTGAAATAAAACGAGAACCAGCCAAAGTGCCCACACAACTGATTCTACATGTTTGAACTTTGTAGGGTTCCACTGTCTGAGCACTCAGACGATGAAGAAGTAATTGCGAAGCGTGAAGGTCAGATAACTAATAACTCATTGTTGCCCAGATTCATATGAGCCACTGAGAATGAGAAGGAATGAATCGCGCGGACTCATGGTTCGACTGTATGGCATATGCCTTAGTCACGAATGAGAATGGCAAGGAGATGAGATTTGCTGATTGAGGAGTAGACAACCAGAGAGAATCGGAGCTTCAAGTCAGCATACCTCAAGCGTACTTATCAAACTACTAAACCAATAGTGCATCGACCACGATATTCCGTTGGAGTCTCTGCTGAGCACAATCATCAGAGTCAAGGACAGAACGACATATAGACATGTATACATACATACACCCGTCGGCATCGATCACAGTCACTCCTAGGGCAAGCACTTGAATGAAGCGTCTCACAGAAGGTAGGAAACGAGGAAAACGGGAAAAATATGTTTTGCAGGAGCATTGAAAGGTACTCTCCGAGACAATTGCTGATGGCCCTTCTCCATAATCAACTGAGATACAGACAAAAGCTCACCTTAGTTTACCCGTGCCTTGTTGCAAGAGTAACCGTGACAATTTGAATTTTGGAGATACACACATTGATTGCAGCCGCTCTGCCAAGAGTAGTACTAGTGTCCCACCTAGCAACTCCCAGCACACCGCCTAGACTGTGCAGTGTGCATCAATCTACATTCGGAATTCTTGCAATCTGCCGAGTCCAGACAAGTGATATAAAGCAGTCCACAAATCATTGCCCCTTCCACCCATCATCTGTTTGAGTTGTCGTAGGGATGTTACAACTAACGCGTCGATGAAATATATCAACGCGTAGTGAGTGGGGAGTAGACCAAATACGATAGTCGTTCCTTCTAGCTTCGATGGCATAGTGCCTGTCCATCGAGCTTCACGCGCAGGTCGATTCTCGTCTTCCATGGCCGATGCGAGCGAGGTAGCAAGAGAAATTGGCACGGGTGTGAGTTCCGGAACGACATTGCTTTCAGAGCAGATTGGTTCATTTTTGGCTCCGCAACGCCGCGGGCTTTGATTAAAGTTTAGAATTTGAATATTTGGCCATCTACGCTCACATAAGTTCAGGTAACTGGTAACTAAGTTTCTCGATAGCTCAACTACCAAAAACGTCCTGTGAATGCAGTCAAACGTCCGAAATTAAAGCAAAGCTCGCAAACTTGTTGGTAACAGGTACGGACATAGCTTCAACCCCACGTGCAACTCATTCGTATTATGTTTGGTGCGCGAATGCAATCTCTTGTATTAGGCTATTGATTCATTGTGCCTACTAGTATCGTGTGTGTCTTCAGCCTCCTGCCTTAAAACGGTCAGTTCTTTCTCTTGACGATGGGCATCACCAGCAGTGCTTTTGGTGCCTTTACTGAACACAGCCGGCGATCACAGCGAATTTGGCCCTGCTAGGTCTCACAGTCACCTATCCTACCACTACTCTATTTCCTCGCCTCCGACTGTGTATTCTGTGCGTCGATCGAGCTGTGATTTGCGATTTGCTGTTACAAACCGTTGTAAAAGCACTTTTGAACTTCGACCCTTCGAGAAGTTGTTTCCGACCCTCGTTTCCGTTTCTCCGTCGATAGCAATTCTGAAGCCTTAATCCGTCGCTGTAATTTGGCGTTGCCACGGGTAACTATATTATAACTGTCATGTATCTGACACTCGATGGCACTGATCTGTGCCAACACAGGATGGACCTAAACGGGAACGAGGTACTTCACTCTTATAGGATATATGTTTACTGAAACACGATGCCGTCGATATGTACAATCAGAAATCAGCCTTCTGGCGTGTTGTAGCTTTATTGCGTCCCGTGTGCAATTTCCCCCGATGGTGTCGTATAAGTATTCAACCACGAATAAGGAAGTATCTGGCAGTACAATACATCTACATCACCATAACATCAAGTGCGCTTTGTACAGAATTCGCTCTATGCTTACCATCTCTTTGTTCATCGTTTTGATAAAATCATGATAGCCCGATTATTCGAGCGTACCGGGCGACGGACAAGGTGAGATATATTCGACCCACTCTGTCACGGTTTATTGTCTGAGTTACCTGGTGCTATGCCGCAGAATGACCCTTGTTCCATAAGAGTACTCGGAGGGCTGTTACGCCTCTGGCTCAGCCAACGATGCCGACGAGTTTGTACATACTTGTTTCACGGATACCACACTTCGACCTGTGTTAGATCGATGACTACATGATTTCACAGGGAACTCCGCAATTTTCGCAAGCTCGCAGCAAAAACACCTCAAAAATCGAGTTCGAGATAAGTTGCCGACATCACGAACGACTAAAACTTTCCTGGTGTTGAAGTAGTCCCGTGCGTAATAGTAATTTGGCAAACATCCTTGATTACCGGCTTTTTTGATTTCGCACCGTTTCACCTCATCAAAGGTCTTGGGGCGTGGTCAAATCATGCTGATTTTGGTGATACAAGGGCTGAACGGTGGTATATCTAGCACGAACGCTGTCGTCATACACCACTGATATTCCCCACTCCCTCAGCCATCCCTCGAACATGACCTACGTCTCAGATGATCCCAGTTGGTGGCCGGCAATCGATTTCAATATTCTTTTCAGCTATTGGATAGGTTTGTTCTATCAGGATGTCTAGATCTAACATTGACATGCAGTTTCGTAGTTTCCACGGGCGTCGTGGTGGTATACGATTGGGGTGAGCAGAACAGTGTTCGAAAATCGCTGATATTCTCATGATATTTCCAGTCTTAACACTTGGACAAGAGGTACGTCGATGTCATCGCCGGAGCAGCCAACTCGCTAAGAATGGTGCCTTAGATTGAACTCATCTGGGTGAGTGACAAGAGCCCCGTATCAGAATAAAACAAGAGCATGCAATGAATTTGCGACAGAGACAACGCTGGTCTCTCATGACCCTGCTGTATTTGATTGTTCGTACCTCATGTTGTGCTTTAGCGTGGTAAGCAACTTGTGCTGAATCCAAAATGTTCTAGATACGCTATATTGGAATACTGTATTTTGTGTATGTGTCGAGATTAACAACTTTGTACTGTGCTAATAGCTCATCTCTGACAACTAGTGTCAATATTCTGGGCATGTCTCATATGCGCTGTGTTCCATTTTTCTGACCCGACGAGACACAGAAGCTATGCCATTGGTATCGCTGACAGATGCAGTAAGTATTCTGCAACCATCTCATTCCCATCTAATCCATACGCTCATATGTAGGGGTGAGTGAGATTCCAACCATCGGACTTGGCTTAACATAATGACTCAATAGGTGTAAGTCGGAGTCTTTGATACTAGCGCTAGGGCGTTCACTAATTGGGTGTTTTTAGGCACTATGACGTACTACGCAATAAATGGCTCAAATGTGGCTTTGACTGCCATGTTGGGCGGTAAGTTGCCCAGGTGCAACACCTCTGATATTGATCTGACTGACACACGATGCAAGTGATCATGATTGCTCGGTTGCATGCCATGTATCAGGGATCTAGAATGATGCTTATCTTCCTTGTTATTATCTTCCTGGCTGTAAACATCGCCTGCGGAGTAATCGCGGCAATAGGACTCAACGATATTGTACTGGGTAAGCTTTACTTGTTGACTTAAAGAACATAGCTCACTGGACAAATACCAGAGGAGTTCATACTCTCTGGCATATATATTTGCGGTGATGTATATGGAGGGGAAGGCCATCTTCTGCCTTCAATGGTTTGGATGCTCAACACTGTTTGGGAGGTCCTCGCACTGTGCCTTTCAATCTGGGTTGCTGTAAAACACTTCCGTGAGCTACGACGACTCGGCCCATCTACAGGATCGACCATCGGGGACTGTTTCAGAGTGCTCATACAATCTCACGTTCTTTATTTTGCAAGGTGAGCCTGTAATGTGAATGCGGTTATATTTTTCTGCTCAAGTTTCGCACATGTTAGCTTTGTTGGTGTTTCTTGCCTCCAGCTTATTAGTCTCTCTCTAGGAATCACGGTGTGCTGAGCTGTTGTTGATATCTGCGTGTAACCACAGCTCATCATTTATGTAGAATTCGGATTCTATTGGAGTTTCGATACTCGGTGGTGCTGTTCAAATTTTATTGGTCGTGCAGATGTTTGTGGTGGGACCACGTCTCATCCTGAGCGTTCGAGAATACCACGCCAAACTCGTGGCATACTCCGACGCAGAAACTAGCATGAATTCGATTGTTTTCCAGGAGCATGTACATGTATCAACTAGCAGTACTGTGTAGGGGAATGCTTGCCGAGCGGTCTGCAGGGAAAAGAAATTTGGTGGAGGATCCGTCGTGGTATTTATTTAACATGTAGGGTTTCGAAGTATATTTAAAAGGCCCAGGCAAACCTATTTCTTGTTGTATCATTACTGGAATGTAGCACCCGCGCTTGAACCAAGTGGTAAGGTGAAAATATCCGGAACGTCCAACAACCAAACTGGTCATTGATAGCCGACGTTAAAATACAACAACAAAAATCAGTGAGAATGCCCTGACATTTACGCATTTGTAAAGTTTCACTGTCTGAATATATAGACGACGAAGTGACTACGAAGCGTGAAGCCAGATGAGTGATAACTCATCGGTGCTCAGATGCGATTTCCTCCATCCGATAGACTACGGAGAATGAGATGAATGAATAGCGTAGACTCGTGGCTTGACTGTACGTTTCTCGCGAATGAGAATGACAAGGATATGTGGAGTGGAGAATCAGATAATGTCAGAAGGCCTCAACTACTGATGAGGCATCGACTGCGATATTCTGTTGGAGCCCTTCGCTAAGCACAACTACCGGAGTAAAGCACCAACGAGATACAGAGATGCATACTCACAGACATACACCCATTGACATGGATCACAGTCCTGGCGCAAGCAAGTGATCACTTGAATGAAGTGTCTGATAGAATGCGGGAAACGAGAAAATTCGAAGATATTTTGCAGAAACGTTGAAGGGTGCCGTGATGTCTCGCGTGTGAGTTGCAACGACCAATGAGGGTGGGTGCCGGTGACTAGTGATATAGTCATATATCGCACGCAGGATGTTCCAGAAAACGGCTACTCCTGCAGGTACTATCGATGGAGACGCATCCAGTCCTTTATTTCCTCTATTGAAATACCACGAGAATGAGTATAGAGTGTCCCAGACAGCTGATTCTATGTGTTTGCGGAGTTCCGCTGTGTCAGCACACAGATGATGAGGTGTCCGCGAAGCATGAAGTCGAGATGGCTGATAGGTCATCTCGAGTCTGAAATGTGTCGTTTCAATCCATCTGGGCCACGGAGAAAGAAAATGGAAGAATCACGTGGAAAGTTCATGGCTCGATTGTATGTCTCTATCACGAATGAGCATGGAAAGATCCCAACAACATGGGATTCGAAGCCTTGAACGATGACGAGTCACGATGGCTAGACAATGACCGACTGGCGGGAGGGTGAGCCTCAGAGACTCGTTACGGCTCTACCTTGAAGAAACCCGGGTCTCTTAGACCGTGGGAACGGGAGGAAAGTGCTGCCGAGGGTGGTATATCTAGCACGAACGCTATCGTCATACACCACTGACATTCCCCACTCGCTCACTCATCCCTCGAACATGACCTACGTCTCAAATGATCCCAGTTACTGGCCGTATATCAGTTTAAATATTTTTTTCGGCTATTGGGCAGGTTTGTCACATCAGGATGTCTAGATCTAACGTTGACATGCAGTTTCGCAGTTGCCGCGGGCGTCGTAGTGGTATACGATTGGGGTAAGCAGGGCAGTGTTCGAAAATCGCTGATATTCTCATGATATTTCCAGTCTTAACACTCGGACAAGAGGTACGCCGATGTTATCGCCAGAGCAGCCAACTCGCTAAGAATGGTGTCATAGATTGAACTCATCTGGGTGAGTGGCAAGAGTCTTGTATCAGAATCAAACAAGAGCATGCAATGAATTCGCGACAGAGACAACGCTGGTCTCATGACCCTGCTGTATTTGATTGTTCGTACCTCATGTTGTGCTTTAGCGTGGTGGGCAACTTGTGCTGGATCCAAAATGTTCTAGATACGCTATATTGGAATACCGTATTCTATGTATGTGTCGAGATCAACAACTTTGCACTGTGCTAATAGCTCATTTCTGACGACTAGTGTCAATATTCTGCGTATGTCTCACATGCGCTGTGTTCCATTTTTCTGACTGGCGGGCCACAGAACTTATGCCATTGGTATCGCTGACAGATGCAGTAAGTATTCTGCAACCATCTCATTCCCATCCAATCAATGCGCTCATATGTAGGGGTGAGTGAGATTCCAACCATTGAACTTGGCTCAACATGATGACTCAATAGGTGTAAGTCTGAGTCTTTGATACTAGTGCAAGGGCATTCACTGATTGCGAGTTTTAGGCACTATTATGAACCACGCAACAAATGGCACAACTGTGGCGTTGACTGCCATGTTGGGCGGTAAGTGACCCAGGTGCAATACCTCTGTGATATGGACCTGACTGGCACACGATGCAAGTGATCATGATTGCTCGGTTGCATGCCATGTATCAGGGATCTAGAATGATGCTCATCTTCCTTGTTATTATCTTCCTGGCTGTAAACATCGCCTGCGGAGTAATCGCGGCAATAGCACTCGATGATACTGTACTGGGTAAGCTGTACTTGTTGACTTGAAGAACACGGCTCATTGGACAAACACCAGAGGAGTTCATACTCTCTGACACATATGTGTGCAGTTATGTAAATGGAGGGGGCGCGTTGCTTCTGTTTTCAATGATTTGGATGCTCAACACTGTTTGGGAGGTCCTCGCACTGTTCCTTTCAGTCTGGGTTGCTGTGAAACACTTCCGTGAGCTGCGACGACTCAGTCCATCGACAGGATCGACCATTGGGGACTGTTTCAGAGTGCTAATACAATCTCACGTTCTTTATTTTGCAAGGTGAGCTTGTAATGTGAACGTGATTATACTTTTCTGCTGAAGTTCCGCACATGTTAGCTTTGCTGGTGTCTCTGGCCTCCAGTTTACTTATCTCTCTCCAGGAATCGCGGTGCGCCGACCTGTCGCCAACATCTGTGTGTAACCACTGCTCATCATTTATGTAGAATACAAGTTCTACTGAAGTTTTGATACTCGAAGGAGCTCTTCAAATTTTCTTGTCCATTCAGATGTTTGTGGTGGGACCACGTCTCATCCTGAGCGTTCGAGAATACCACGCCAAACTCGTGGCATACTCCGACGCAGAAACTAGCATGAATTCGATTGTTTTCCAGGAGCATGTACATGTATCAACTAGCAGTACTGTGTAGGGAAATGCTTGCCGAGTGGTCTGTAGGGAAGAGAAACTTGGTGGAGGATCCGTCGTGATATTATTTAACATATAAGGTTTCGAAGTATATTTACAAGGCCCAGGCAAACCTACTTCTTGTTTTATCACTACTGGAACGAAGCACCCGCGCTTGAACCAAGTGGTAAGGTGAAAATATCCGGAACATCCAGCAACCAAACTAGTCAATGATACTAGCCAATGTTAAAATAGTAAATACAACAACAAAAATCAATGAAAGTCCCCTGACATGTGCGCATTTGTGGAGTTTCACTGTCTGAAAGGCTATATAGACGATGAAGTGACTACGAAGCGTGAAGCCAGACAGCTGATAACCCATCGGTTGCTCAGATGCGATTTCCTCCATCCGATAGGCTGGGTAAGGCTTCGATTTGACATACAAACTTGAAGCTTGAAGGGAGCACAGACAGGCGTACCTGTAAAGAGGATTCATCAAATGTACCAAGAATCGGATCCCCGATTGTGCTGCTATCGGTTACGCCATGTTCGTTAAATTCTACTGTTCCGTGTAGTAAAGACTGGTTACGAGTCTATGTGACCACTATTTCGGTCTGTTTCACAGTTGCTTTCGCTTCGCAGCATTCATGCGGGCGTTGACGGAGAATAGCCTAGCCTTTCTCCTGGATAATTTCACCTTACCGCTTAGTTCAAGCGCAGGTACTTCATTCCAATAGTGATAAATAGCTTTGCCTAGACCTTTCAAATATACTTCGAAACCCTATATGTTGAATAAATACTACGACGGATCATCCACCAAATTTCTTCTCCCTGCAGACCACTCGGTAAGCATTTCTCTACACAGTACTGCTAGTTGCGACATGTACACGCTCCTGGAAGACCATCGAATTCATCCAATCTTCTGCGTCAAAGTCTGCCACGAGTTTAGCGCGATATTGTCGAACGCTAAGGATGAGGCGAGGTCCCAGCACAAACATCTGCACGTCCGATAAAATCACAAGAGCACCAGTGAGTATCAGAGCTCCAATGGCATCCGAATCCTACAGAACTGATGAACAGTGGTTACACGCAGATATCAGTGACAGGTCAGCGCACCGAGATTGCTGGAGAGGAAGCAAGCTGAAGGCAAGAGACACCAGCAAAGCTAACATGTGCAAAACTTAGCAGAAAGATATAACCGCGTTCACATTACAAGCTCACCTTGCAAAGTAGAGAACGTGAGATTGTATGAGCACTCTGAAACAGTCCCCGATGGTCGATCCTGCTATACGACACCATCCTCAAATCGAAAGAGAAATTACACACGGGAGACAATAAGCCTGGCAATAAACCTGTGACACGCTAGTGGCATTTCTGATTGTGCGCCCACAGGCTGATCCTGATGGTATCGTGTTTCAGTAAGCTTTCATCCTGTACGAATGAATCCGTCGGATAGGCAAAGAAGTCATTGGCAGACTACAAAACTTACACGTTGAAGCAGGGGCCAGCGGCCTGAGCAAGAGCGAGACAGACAAGCTGTGATCAATTGACTAGTGTTTGGACCGTGGAGACCCCGAATGTGCAACTCCTACTTCAACGTACCTACGCTGCCGCATATATATAATATATATCACTCGAGCACGGGAATCGAGGACACGAAATCTTTGCCAGCACTTAGATTCGTGACTAGTCTGGCGTACATCTCTTGGAAATTTTGACCCGAGCTCACACAGCACTGCCTAATCTGCGATTGTATGACATGATCTACTCCCAGTCACAGAACTCGAGTTCCTACCGTGGCTCTAACTCCCTGCGACCCAATATCCTTCCCCTCACACTCATTCGCCCGAGTCCGGTCTAGATTATCTCGTTGGACACTTTCACTTTCAAACTCTTACGGTTGTACTTAGCAGGATGGACTGTGTTTTGCAGTCGCATTGATAAACACCAACGTAGTATGTGTATGATCGAAGCTGTTCAACGAACTGACTGTTGCATACGGATACGAGCAATCGAACACATACTAATGCCTTCGACCGGCATCTACACCTCAGACTGCCAAGATCATTGTTTCGACCCAAAAGGTGGGTCAGTTCGACATTCAGATTTCCATAATGGTTATTCAGGCGACATACTGGACGACGACGAGCTCATGAGAAAATAGTCCCATACATTCCTGTATGTTCACCTCATCAAAGGTCTTGGGGCGTGGTCAAATCATGCTGATTTTGGTGATACAAGGGCTGAACGGTGGTATATCTAGCACGAACGCTGTCGTCATACACCACTGATATTCCCCACTCCCTCAGCCATCCCTCGAACATGACCTACGTCTCAGATGATCCCAGTTGGTGGCCGGCAATCGATTTCAATATTCTTTTCAGCTATTGGATAGGTTTGTTCTATCAGGATGTCTAGATCTAACATTGACATGCAGTTTCGTAGTTTCCACGGGCGTCGTGGTGGTATACGATTGGGGTGAGCAGAACAGTGTTCGAAAATCGCTGATATTCTCATGATATTTCCAGTCTTAACACTTGGACAAGAGGTACGTCGATGTCATCGCCGGAGCAGCCAACTCGCTAAGAATGGTTCCATAGATTGAACTCATATGGGTGAGTCACAAGAGTCCTGTATCAGAAGAAAACAAGAGCCCGCAATGAATTCACGACAGAGACAAGGCTGGTCTCTCATGACCGTGCTGTATTTGATTGTTCGTACCTCATGTTGTGCTTTAGCGTGGTAGGAAACTTGTGCTGACTCCAAATTTTTCTAGACACGCTATATGGGAATACCGTATTCTGTGTATGTGTCGAGGTCAAAAACGTTGCACTGTGCTAATAGCTCATCTATGACAACTAGTGCCCTTGTTCTGCGTATGTCTCGTATGCTCTGGGTTCCATTTTTTCTGACCGGCAGGACACAGGAAATATGCCATCGGTATCGCTGACAGATGCAGTGAGTATTCTGCAGCCATCTCATTCCCATCCAATTAATATGCTCTTATGCAGGGGTGAGTGAGATTCCGAGCACTGAACTTGGCTCAACATAACGACTCAATAGGTGTAAGTCGGAGTCTTTGATACTAGTGCGAGGGCGTTCACCAATTGGGAGTTTCAGGCGCTATCATGTATCATGCATCAAGTGGGACAACTGTGGTCTTGACTGCCATGTTGGATGGTAAGTCATCCAGGGGCAATACCTCTGATATTGACCTGACTGACACACGATGAAAGTGATCATGATTGCTCGGTTATATGCCATGTATGAGGGATCTAGAAAGATGTTTATGTTCCTTGTTATTATCTTCCTGGCTGTAAACATTGCCTGCGGAGTAATCGTGGCAATAGCACTCAACGATACTGTACTGGGTAAGCTTTACTGGTCGACTTGAAGAACGCGGCTGATTGGATAAATAGTAGAGGAGTTGATAATCTCTGGCACGAATATGTGCGGTTATGTATATGAAGGGGACGAGCAGCTTCTGTTTTCGATCATTTGGATACTCAACACTGTTTGGGAGGTCCTCACATTGTATCTTTCAGTTTGGGTTGCTGTGAAACACTTCCGTGAGCTGCGACAACTCGGCCCATCGACAGGATCGACCATCAGGGACTGTTTTAGAGTGCTTATACAATCTCACACTCTCTATTTCGCAAGGTGAGCTTGTAATGTGAACATGGTGATATTTGCTGCTCAAGTTCCGCTCATGTTAGCTTTGTTGGTGTCTCTTGCCTCCAGCTTGCTTATAGCTCTCCGGAAATCGCGGTGCGCCGATGTTGCTGATATCTGCGTGTAACCTCTGCTCATCATTTCTGTAGACTTCTAGTTCTACTGGAGTTTCGATCCTCGAAGGTGCTCTTGAAATTTTATCGGTCGTGCAGATGTTTGTGCTGGGACCACGCCTCATCCTGAGCGTTCGAGAATACAACGCCAAACTCGTGGCATCCTCCGATGCAGAAACTAGCATGAATTCGATTGTTTTCCATGAGCATGTGCATGTATCAACTAGCAGTACTGTGTAGGGAAATGCTTGCCAAGTGGTCTGCAGGGAGGAGAAATTTGGTGGAGGATCCGTCGTGGTATTTAGTTCATATGAGGTTTCGAAGTACATTTGTAGGCAAACCTCCTTGTTGTATCGCTACAGGAACGAAGTACCCGTATTTGAACCAAGTAGCAAATTGAAATTACCCAGGAATCAACATGGTCCTTAATAGCTGATTCTACGGGTCTGTGGATTTCCGCTGTCTGAATATACAGATGATGAAGTGAATGCGAAGCGTGAAGTCAGATGGTTGATGACTCATTGATGCTCATATGCATTTTGCTCCAACTGGGCTAAGAGGAATGAAAACGAATGACTCATGCGGACTCCTGGCTTGACTAGTAGCTGTACGTGAATGAGAATGGCAAGGAAATGGGGTCTTCTGACTCGGGAGTAGAGAATCAGAGAATCGGAGCTTCAAGTTGGAAGGCTTCGAGAGTACTTATCAAACTACTAGTGATGCATCTACCAAGATATTCTGTTGGAGTTCGTGCTAAGCACGACCATTAGAATAAAGCACCGAACGGCAAGTAAATGATCACTTAAATGAGGTCTCAGATAGAATGTGGGAAACGGGGAAAACAGGGAAGATTTGAAGATATTTTGCAGGAACATTAGGGTACCGCCGTGATGTCTCGACGACCAATGAAGAAAACGGGTTGTGGGTGCCAGTGACCGCACGAATCAACGTAGGATGATCATGAAAAGAATAAAGTTCCGGACAGCGGCTATTCCAGGTATCGATGGAGACGCGAGGTGTATCGAGAAGTTGTCCTTTATGGAGGGATACATGTTCGATTATGGACAACCCGCGTGACGGACAAAGTACTTGCAACCCCACACTGAATGGAAGCATGACATAATCCTGGAAGACACACATTAGTACAAGGGATGACGACATGAACGATGGTGCGCAACCATGTAAGTATATTTCATCGGGGATCAGATCACCGCATTCCAAGTTTTTTTTTATTTCTCTAGATCGAGCGAATTGATCAAGAGGATTTGGATTAGGACGTGCCTGTAAGGTGTTACTGTTAGATTGGTCAACAGTCTCTAAATGGACCTCCACGCTGTCTATCTTTGATGGCGCCCGTGAGTCCAGCCCTTTCTCTTGGTTGACCAAGGGTCATGCTATATGATAAGAGCGGAATGAGCCGGCCGCATGCCCACCCCATATTGTCCATCTGGGCGGCAGAAAAGTTGTAACGAATCGTACGTGAAAGGTGGCACTATATCGCTGATTGACATCTTTTCAAGCATGATGATTGAAAAATAGACTTACAGGGTAACGAGCGAGTCATGAAACCACAGATGGCTGATAATGCGTCAGATCAGTTAGATTGCATGGACGCTTTCATCATCGATCTGGACAGTAGAAAGGAGTGCCGAATAGTGCGTGAAGGCTAGAAGCAGAGTGTTGATATCCCGGAGACTACTAGTTGACTGATTGCACGTCGATCCTCTAATTGAACCAACTCAAAGCTGACCACTGTCAGCAAGTCATGTCGTCGACGACGATTGTCTGTGTTCAAGCACGATTTAATGATATGGAGGATCATGGATCTTGTATTCGCCTCTACCATGAATGGGCATGGCAAGGAGATGAGGTATGTTGAGCGGCGAGTAGAACACACCTGACAAAGTATCACCAGCTGTCTAAGCACATAATATGTGAAAAACGACAGTGATCGTAAAAGGACAGATGGCTGACAATACATCGGTCCTGCTTATGCTGTCACGTGGGACGTGATGTGAAAGTTCCACGAACTAGGACAGTCAAAATAGCGCATCTGACCTCAGACAGCTAATGGTCCGAGAATGACGAATTCTCTGATTATCATCTGTCTGAGTACAAAGAACGAAGAAAGGAAGTGATAGTGATCTTAGAATAGTGCGTCGGGTATTTATTCAGGTCCTTGTGTCTGTTGACACCCATAGAGAAAATAGCGCGCCCGTCAGTGTGAAGCGTCGAACCCGAATATGACACGGACCCAATTTTTTACACCATCTTTATTGACCACTGGCACCCCGAGTAGCATACTGAAGCTCAGATGGCTGGTAACACAACGGCTATCTGGACCAATCGGTGGAATCGGGCGAATGGCGTACGAAGGGGAAACTCTGTTGTCGAATACCAGATGGCTGATAAAGCAATGGTAATTACCGTTTCCCTGTTGTCCATCTGGGCTGTCCATATGAATGGACTGCGATGAGGAAATAACCGAGTGGCAGGGAGTCAGAACATATCCTAGACGAAAGCCCGTAGAAATGCATACCTTGAGTGTTGAACTACATGGTCTGATCGATAAATGGGCTCATCGTTCTTGGATGGGGGATTGCCTTCAATAATCAAGAGCGCTGCTGCATCGATAGTTAGCCTAGCACATATTTTCGAAAGCAGTGGAATAGGATAAACAACTTACATCTGGCCAAAACCAGATGCCCTAGATGAGCCATCTCCAACACCCGTGCCATTTTTAGGGGTGCAGACTGCCATATTGGCACACGCAGATCGGCATGGGTGCATAAGAGCGGGCATGATCGGATCGGAAGTCTGAAGAGAAGACGTCTAGAAATAGAATCGAGTGATGGAATAGAACTATGCCAGCGTGCTCGCTAAAGGTGCATGTCTAAATGATGTAATACTTACATGTGGATTTGAATCTGATGTCGAATTGGTGCAAAGATGAGTAGCGAGATGAGTGATATTGCGAGGCTGGTGAGGATTAGTAGATAGGAAGGGCAATCATGTTCAGAAATGAATACAAAGCCTAAGTGAAGAGTGGGAATGAATTGGAAGAACGTAGTGTTATGTTATGATACATGGAGGGGTGGCCGGTTAACGTTGAACCTTTTGGAGTAGGTGGAAAGAGTTGGGATATTTTCGTGGCGGTGACAAAGAAAGTCCAACCAGTGTTCAGGTTGAGTCAGAGCGCCAGCAGAGTCCGAGTCGCAGTTAGTGTTGCTGCAGTTCCGGCTTATTCCGGCTTTAGGCACCCTACCGTCCATATCGGGTAATTTCACGGTTGAGCAATTTTACAATGTGATGCACTGCCAGTTTGGGTGAGAAGCCTACACTTAGCCTGTCTCCTGCATTACACTCTACTGATACTTAGCCTTATAGAATGACACTATAGCCTGGATTTCGAACCGTTTCACCTGATCAAGGGTCTTGAGGCAGGATCAGGTATGCATCTCCAATATACTGATTTTGGAGATAGAAACGCTCAACGGTGGTATATTTAGCACGAACGCTGTCCTTGTACACCACTAATCTTCTCCACTCGCTCACACCCATCCCTCGAACATGACCTACGTCTCAAATGATTCTAGTTGGTGGCCGCAAATGATTTTCGTTATTTTTTTCAGCTATTGGACAGGTCTGTCGCATAAAGATGTCTAGATCTAACGCTGACTTGCAGCTTCGCAGTTGCCGCGGGCGTCTTGATGGTATACGATTGGGGTGAGCAGGACAGTGTTCGACCATCCCTTATATTCTTATGATATTTCCAGTCTTAACACTCGGACAAGAGGTACGTCGATGATATCGCAGCAGCAGCCAACTCGCTAAGAATGGCGCCATAGATTGAACTCGTCTGGGTGAGTGACAAGAGTCCCGTAGCAGAAGAGAACAAGAGCATGCGATAAATTCACGACAGAGACAACGCTGGTCTCTCATGACCGTGCTGTATTTGATTGTTCGTACCTCGTGTTGTGCTGTAGCGTGGCGGGCAACTTATGCTGACTCCAAAATGTTCTAGATACGCTATATTGGAATACCGTATTCTGTGTATGTGTCGAGATCAACGACTTTGCACGGTGCTAATAGCTCATCTCTGACAACTAGTGTCAATTCTCTGCGTATGTCTCATATGCGCTGTGTTCCATTTTTTTGACCGGCGGGACACAGAAGTTATGCCATCGGTATCGCTGACAGATGCAGTAAGTACTCCGCAACCATCTCATTCCCGTCCAATCAATACGCTCATATGTAGGGGTGAGTGAGATTCCAACCATCGAACTTGGCTCAACATAATGACTCAATCCTAGGTGTAAGTCGGAGTCTTTGATACTAGTGCGAGGGTGTTCACTAATTGGGAGTTTTAGGCGCTATCATGTTCTACGCATTATATGGGACAAATGTGGCCTTGTTTGCCATGTTGGGCGGTAAGTGACCCAGGTGCAATACCTCTGTGATATTGACCTGACTGACACACGATGCAAGTGATCATGATTGCCCGGTTGCATGCCATGTATCAGGGATCTAGAACGATGCTGATCTTCCTTGTTATTGTCTTCCTGGCTGTAAACATCGCCTGCGGAGTAATGACGGTAATAGCAGTCAACGATACTGTAGCAGGTAAGCTTTTGTACTTGTCGACTTGAAGAACACAGCTCATTGGACAAACACCAGAGGAGTTCATACTCTCTGGCACATATATGTGCGATTATGTAAATGGAGAGAACAATCTGCTTCTGTATTCAATGCTTTGGATCCTCAACACTGTTTGGGAGGTCCTTGCACTGTGTCTTTCAGTCTGGATCGCTGTAAAACACTTCCGTGAGCTGCGACGACTCAGCCGATCGACAGGATCGACCATCGGGGACTGTTTTAGAGTGCTGATACAATCTCACGTTCTTTATTTCGCAAGGTGAGCTTGTAATGTGAACGCGGCTATATTTTCTGCTCAAGTGCCGCACATGTTAGCTTTGTTGGTGTCTCTTGCTTCGAGTTTGCTACTCTCTCTCAAGAAATACGGGTGCGCCGAGCTGTTGCTGATATCTGCGTGCAAGCACTGCTCATCATTTCTGTAGAATTCAAATTCTATTGGAGTCCAGACACTCAATGGTACTCTTCAAATTTTATTGGTCGTGCAGATGTTTGTGCTGGGACCACGCCTCATTCTCAGCGTTCGAGAATACCATGCCAAAATCGTGGCATCCTCCGATGCAGAAACTAGCATGAATTCAATTGTTTTCCAGGAGCATGTACATGTATCAACTAGCAGTACTGTGTAGGGACATGCTTGCCGAGCGGTCTGCATGGAAAAGAAATTTGGTGCAGGATCCGTCGTGGTATTTATTTAACATATGGTGTTTCGAAGTATATAAGGTCCAGGCAAACCTATTCTTGTTGTATCACTACTGGAACGAAGTACCCGCGCTTGAACTAAGCGGTAATCTGAGATTATCCGTAACGACTAACAACCAAACTGGTCCTTGACGACGGATGTCACAATACAGCGAGAATCAGTACAAGTGCCTTGACAGCTGATTCTGCGCGTTGGTGTTCCACTGTCTAGACATATAGATACTGCGAATCGTGAAGCGAGATAGCTGATAACTCATTAGCGCTCAGATGTAATTCCTCCATTCGATGGGCCACGAAGAATGAAAGGAATGAATCGCGTAGACTCGTGGCTCGACTGTATGTCTCTATCGCGAATGAGCACAATAAGAATATGGGATGTTCAGGTTAGAAGACCTCAAGCGTACCAATGGAACTACTGATGAGGCATCGATATTTTGTGAGAACCCTCGCTAAGCACGATCATAAGGCCTCATGCATGTTTTACTGTTGCAACCGAGTGTTACTCATCGTCAGAATTGCAACATACGACGATGAGTCCTGGTCAGGAGCACTTCGCAAAAAAATTAACTAAATCGGATAAAAAATTAAATTAAATCCGATTATTTCTATCAATACCACTCACCGGCGTGCACATGTCGTCTTGAATGTCCTGAATTCTGCCACGCATAGGTAGTGCTTCTCTTGATGCATGACCTATGTAGGCGAGTGGTAAACACGCTGGTACTGATAAAAGTACATGTCTAGTTCAACCGCGAAGTTCGTGTGAGTCGCTCTCGATGTAATTCCTAACAAAGACTCTTGTCAGACAACTATCCAGTCTTTAGCGTTAGTACAACAAACGCGAATACTCATCTCGTAAATGCTAACTTGTCGAGAGTTGAATCCAGACAGCTGATTGTTTGAGATTTTCACGGATTATACAGGAATCTACAGGAATGTTTGCTCATCAGTTCGCCGTCGTCCAGTACGTCACCTGGATCACCATTATAAATACACTCCGGGTGTCGGACCAACCCGCCTTTTGGGTCGAGACAGTGATCTTGGCAGTGTGAGGTGCACATGCCGGTCGAAGCCATTAGTATGTGTTTGAATGCTGTCGTATCCTGGCGCTGGACCTGTAGCCTTGTTGACTCCGTATGCAACAGTCAGTTCGTTGAGTAGCTTGGATAATACACATACGTTGGTGTTTATAAATGCGACTGCAAAACACAGTCCGTCCTGCTAAGCACGGCCATAAGAGTTTGAAAGTAAAAGTGCCGAACGAGATAATCTAGACCGGATTCGAGCGAATGAGTGTGAGGGGAAGGATATTGGGTCGCAGGGAGTTAGAGCTTATCACAAACGGAATTTGAGAAAAAACTCACCTTGAACATTAGAATAAATGATTTGATCAAGTGGGGGTCTAACGCGAGGACCAAAGTTCTCTGAATGCAGACTCCCACATGCATAAGGTTGATACCCGCAGATAGGCATGGCTATATATGAAATATAGAAAATCCTGTAGGAACTCGAGTCTGTGACTCAGAGTAGGTGGAGTTATACAATCGCAGGTTGGGTAGTGCTATCTGAGCTCGGGTCAAAATTCCCAAAGACGTACGCCAGACTAGTCAGGATTCTAAGTGCTGGCACAGATTTCGTGTCCTCGATTCCCATGTTCGAGTTACTTATATGCGTAGTGACGTACGTTGAAGTAGGAGTTCTGTGAGACTGCACATTTGGGGTCTCCACGGCCCAAACACTAGTCAATACGTAGACTAGGTTTCACCGTGCTCGTGCATCATCATCATCATCACAGCTTGTCTGTCTTGCTCTTGCTCAGGCCGCTGGCCCCTGCTCCAACGTGTAAATTTTGCAGTCTGCCGATGACTTCTTTGCCTATCCGACAGACTCCATCAGTGAATTGAGGAGTCCTTGATATGGTAGCCGTGGGAACTATAATTGGATATAATTTCGCTCGTGCTAAATATGACATTATATACTGCGAGACATATGAGTTTTTGGTACATAGCCATGGATGTCCGCACATACAGATTACCATGAGGAGTTCACGACAAGGTCATGAAAATGCACCATCACGGCCCGCAAGGTATGATAGCGTAAGCAGGTCCAAATTGTTGAACAATCTCATACTCCTTGTTGATTATTTGACTTACAAGACCGTTCATGACTTTCTCGTGGAAAGTGCGATTAACACTTATCATACAATCTAGATTCACATAGGAGTTCGTGACGAGGTCACAATGTTCCACCATCGCAGCCGGTTAGTGATGTGCACGGCCCGGCTTCAGGCCGTGGGCCAGGCCAAGCCGGGCCTGAATAGGCCAAGCCAAGCCGGGCCAAACTCACGGCCTGGTGACGGCTTTGGCCTGGCTTGACATTATGAAAAGCCGAAGCCGCCGGCTCGGGCCGCGGCTTTTGAAACTGTGCCTGAGCCTTGCGGCGCCCAAGCTCAACTGAGAATCTGGTTTCTATCTCGTCTTGTTTTAGCTTTTTAATCACTTCCATCGTGCTTCACGTCTCTTAACTATACCAACTATCGACATCAAGCTGTAGAAACCAGCCAAGATCACTCCCTCTTTGCAATACCCTTCTGGCTTTCTGATTCAAGTGTCCATCACGAGTGTGTGTATAGATCTAGTACGCTCATTCGTCCTTGTAACTAAAATCTGAACTTACTATCATATCTATTAAAGGCCCATCATGGCTCAATCAGGAAGACACTGGCACCCCAATCCACAACTCATGCAGCAACATTCTATGCCACAGGGTTGGCAAGGCACCTGGCCCCCACCAGCTGGCGTTGCTCTTCCTCCAAACTTTCCTGGTCCACCATCCATGCCGCCTGGCGCCAACACTCACCCCCATTGGAAAGCTGGCTTTTGGCAGTATAAACCTACCTCCAACATGAATGGTGCAGGTCCCGGTGTTTACTGGGCAACCGGCATGAGGTGGGCTCGGAATGTCCCTGCTAACTTTAATCCTTACAAGCGCGTCCCCCGTCCTGCAAGCCCGAGCTACTGGAGGACACAGCTCTCCGAAAATGGTCTTGGTTTTGGAGAACATGGTCCCTGCAAGGTGTGTGCGTGATTTGGCCTCCAAACTACGTTCGCAAGATGGAAGGCGTATTGAATCTAACATACGCATGTCTGAACTCGGTACAGTAGCGCTCTTCCTTTAGAGTCAAAATTCACCACCGCAACCCTCACCCGTGCACTTGGATACAGCGTTCCCTTTCTACTCATGCATCTCCCTCCACCTCCATCAATCTCTTCGGGTAACACATGTCACGAAGAAACCGCCGAAATTCCACCGCCGCTCTCGACTGCCGCGATTTATCTGCAGGTGAGTCATGTGGTTGAATCCTGGTTTCACAACGACCTGCTCATGCTCACTTTGTCAGAATCGCAAATTCCCTACTCGAGCCGCGGCTCAGGCCAGAGCCGGGCCAAAGCCAGCCGTCATTTGCGGCTTTGGCCCGGCTTGGATTTTTTGCAGGCCAGAGCCGTCTGAAGCCAGGCCAAAGCCGCGGCTTTTGGGCCAAGCCGGGCCGGAACATCACTACAGCCGGTAAGGTATGATATTGTGATTAGGGCCAACTTGTTGAGCCATCTCATATTCCCACATTTGTGTTTAATTTACATAGCTATTTCTGTTCAAAATGGCTTTAGCTATTCGTCGGCCGATTTATAATATTGGCGTTCATGAAAAAAATTGTGAAATTGCATAATTGCAGCCAGTGAGGCCTAGTGAGGCCTAGTGAGGGAGGGTGGGTATCAATGATCAGAGCAAGGAAGTCAGTCAGGCTTAGTACCGTGAGTGATGGCGTGCAGCCAGTAGTACTAGTGAAGCAGCGGCGAGCCGCCAGTCCCCGGCTCTGCCTGTCTTTCATGTGCCAACCGTCGTGATTGGTTCAACATATGTTATTTATTCTCGTCCGCTTTTATATGTTAACGGTGATTGTATCTCTACCTTACTAAGATTTTGTGTAGCGATATTTGCATGGTTTTTGGTGCGAGCGTGTCACGGTGTTCTAAGTAATTCAGATTATATCAGTATGCGATCATCAGCAGGCACCATGGGCAATGACGGACATGTTACGGATGTTCGGGGGCCTGTCCATGAGCTCACGAATCTGGTCTATGGTTCAAGGAGTCGTTAAGAAAGAGGTCAGGTTTTCTTGCACGATCTATAAGTTAACCTACTGTGAAAGCATAAAGGATGATCGCTTGATCAGAAACGTAGATCTGAAGGAATACGTACACCATTCGAATTTCACAAGAATGAAATGAAAATAAGAAAGAAGCAGGATCCCTTTGAACGAGTTTGCGTGAGGGAGTAGTTCGGGTGCTAGGGACGATTGTGAGTGGTGAGATCAGTCTATAAGAAAAATACAAATATTTCTCTTTCAACGACAATCCCGGTGTGTGCCTCTAGAATTCCCTCCCGTAGTTGAGAGCCATAGTCCATGAGATCAAAGTCGAACTAACGAGTACCAGTTAGTACGGAACACGTCCAGTAATTCATACACCAGCTCACAGGGTTAGGTTGCAGAGCCTGCTTGCCTCAGCACGTACATAGTCGTATTCAAATAAGGATCAGTGTAACCTTGCCTGCTGCGTGAAGAACAAATTTGCACCCTCGACAATGTACTTGAAGTGGGGTTTGCCTTCTGTATCCGTCAAAGCAGCAACATTAGAGACGTTCACAGCTTCAGGACTAAATGATCGTCAGCTGATGTTTCGTGCAGGTGTTGACGCAAACATACCGTCCACCGCAAGGCACAAAAAGATCTGCCTTGAAACGGAAGTGAGCACCATTCCTGAAGTCGGTACCGTCCAGAACGATTTCACCAGCTAGAACAGCATGTGAGATAACAACGAAATTTAAGAAAGCTGAACATACAGGGTAGTCTAACGTCCTGTTCCTCAACCTTGACGAGGTACCCATCCTTGCTCAGCTTGGTCTTGTCAAAGTGAGCGACGGTCAGGCGACATTTGGCGAGACGGATGAGCTCCTCCCTATTGATACCTGCAGGGTCGGCAAGGACACCACTGCCATCGATGATAGCAATGGTCTTGTCGGAACTCAAGAGTATCTCATTTGAACCAAGATCCCCGTCTGCAAAGTGTCAAGGACGACTTCCAAAGAGTAAAAGGCGCAAATGTACCAGGACCACCGGTTTGAACTTTTGTGATGTCTTTCTCCCTCAGTCCAAGCTGCTTGTAAATGCCAAGTACATATTGACGAATGGACAGCGACGTCATTCCATATGTATCATGGGGAATACCACCCAAAAGCTCGGCACTCTTGCCAGTGGTGAATGACTTCCACCATGTCTCGGCACCACGATCGCGAGCGTGCAATGCTGCCCAATCCATCATGTCTGCTGTGCCCTCTTTACCAGATGTCAGTCGCCTGCATGGTATATCGGATGCAATCTTACCATCAGGGCCGAAGAACAGTAACTCTGGCTTTCCATACAAGTCAACCAGGGGTTCCTTAATCCCTGGAGTTTGGCCAGGGATAAGCAGATCAATGACAGCCTAATTGAATGATTAAGGCCCATCCATTGATGCGTAATTGCGCACTTACATCAACATATTTCTCGAAGCAGCGTCTAGGTGGCGCCCCAAGACTACGTGAAAGTACATAAAAATGCAAAGATGGGAAGTGAAATAACGCACGAAGGCAAAATAGTACCCTTGGCTCCTCCTTCCGGAATATCCTTATTTTTCAAAGATTGAGTGGCAGCTAATCCGTAGTCCCCATCGAACAACATCCCCTGGTTGATAGAATAGTTTCTGGTTGCATAGAACTCAGCTGCACAATTCCGACTTCTAGAAAAGGTACACGTACTCCTTGTTCCGCGACCTGACGATTCGAATACCGCCGAGGGCATCATCTCTGAAGCGGATGTGGAAGCCGCGGAATTCATTTCCGATGATGATGAACATTCTGAAAGGTTTGTTTGGATATTCGATCTCAGGCAAAAATTCAGGGGCAAGACGGAACGACAGTGCGACCTTGGTGGGTTGATAGAAGTTCGTCTTCAAAATGTGCCTACGAAAAGTTCAGCTACCGATCAATCATTCACTTTGAGACCCACTTGTTGAAAATGAGAAAACTCTCGAGAACTTGGAGATCCTGCTTGTTCAAGACTGTACGTCTGATTTTATCGTACAACTCAGAGTCAGAGAGAGGCTGCGTGGTTTGAAGACGCTGGTATGAGAGAGTAGGACTGGGCGCGTCTCGTCAAAGTCACCCAAGACAAATACATTAGCAGACTCACCCGAGTTGTGATGCCTCATCTGCAGCCGGATAATGTACCATGGCGAAGTTGACATAGAGGAGACAAATCTGTTGGAAAGAATTAATGTGACATCTCGAGTGGAACTGGCAACGCACGATTTCCGCGTGTGCATGGATAACTTGAGCAATACTCTCCCGTGTGAAAGTTTCCTCCCTGAAGCGTCTCTTGATATCATTGAGAACTTCGGCGTGTGAGGGGTTCGATTCGTCCAGGATATTCTCGAGGTGGAGGTACACGGGACCCAGGCAATTGCAGAAGTGTTGAGCGAAAACCCAACCACAATCTAATGGACAATTAACTCGATTCCTGTCTCAGAAACGTTGAGCATACATGCATAGGTCGTCTCTTAGTATCGATATCTTGACATTGCAGTTGAGAACGTTGCCCTGCAGCTTCACGAAATGAACGCGCGGGGGCGGGATACAGGAATGGCAGGAAGGCTTGAATGTATGGTGCGAATTTGGCTTCCAGTGCTGGTAAAGAACTTCACATCAGAGAACCAGTGAACGGATGAGAAAAGGGTCGAGAAACTCACAATCTGTTAACAGAGCGGCATTGTGCTCGGTCAGTGAGACCGACGTAGAATCAATACACACACAGTGGATCAGCGATCGCGGGGACGGTACCACGGACCAACTAATAAGTAAGAGACTTATGTGTATTCGGCATTCACAACAAGCAGCACAATGACATCGATTTGCAACATGAGATGGACACTATTAAGAGAACTAGTACGCGTCGTCGACGTCCATGAGATCTTCGTTCGCGTCTCCAAGCTCTATACCTTCCTAGAGAAACTTAGAACAGGCAAAGAGACAACGAGACGTACGAACGTACCATTTGTTGACCATCTCCAATATCATCGACATCCATGGCATCATCGAGCGTATGCATATCTCCCTGCAATGACAAAAAGCAAACGAATTAGAAGTGCGTACACGATAAACTAACGAAACTCACATCATCGCCTCCCCGGACTTCGTCGATGTCCATCGGATGTCCGTGTTCAATTTGAAGCATGTCTCCCTGCAGTTATGAACGAATGAGAAGCACAGCAAAATATGTAAATGAACTCACCACGCTCGGATCATCCCCGGCTTGAACGATATCCATGAGATCATTTTCTGAATGCATGTCGATGTCCATCGTTTGATTGAGTGTATTTGTTGGTCTGGTAGGTTGTGATATGCGACCGTCACTGCCACTTCATCTGATTGTGGCAAAGTCGGCTTCGTAATCGGCAATACCCTTGGGAGGCGTAAGCGTGATCAAGCTCTGCGTGAACTCTTCCAAAGCGGATATGACGTAGTCCGGCTCGAGCCTGTCAACAGGAACGGTCATCGTAAAGAGAAACAGACATCGTGCAGAGAACCAGACATTGTGCAGAGAACCGGACATTGTGCAGAGAAACGGCCATCGTACAGGGAAATGGCCATCGTGAAGAGAAACGGCCATCGTGAAGAGAGATATGCATTACCGGTTTGTTCATCCGCATCCTCGCGAGTAACTTTACGACTTTCTTGACTATCTCGGCAGCGTCGCGGGCAAGAAATGCTTTTGGGAGCTTCATGAGGCCAGGGATGCTGCTCTTTTGTTGCCAGCATGTGGGGCGTCAGGAGGAAGGGGAGGGGGGAGTAATATTCGGATGGCACGCCAGTGGTGTGAGCTTCTGGCATCCAAACGTTTGGAAAACGTCAAGTGCCGGACGATGACCAGTACGGCTGGATCTGTCCTGTCTTGACTATCTCGGCAGCATCGCGGGCAAAAAATGCTTTGGGGAGCTTCACGAGACCAGGGATGCTGCCCTTTTGTTGTCAGCATGTGGGACGTCAGGAGGAAGGGGAGGGGGAAGTAATATTCGAATGGCACGCCAGCGGTGTGAGCCTCTGGCATCCGAACGTTTGGTAAATGTCAAGTGCCGGACGATGGCCAGTATGGCTGCGACATGTCACGTCTTGACTACCTCGGCAGCATCGCAGACAAAAAATGCTTTGGGGAGCTTCACAAGCCCAGGGGATGCTGCTCTTGCAAGGGTTGAGGTCTCAGGTGTCCGGGGAACACCATGAAGGTTAGAAGCGCGGGTTAGAGACGACTACCCAGTCCCTCTTCTCTTCAGCGCGCTAGGCTGGCGTCTCCACAGGGACTCGAAGCTATCAGATACAGATAAGATATAAGTCAGTTATAAAATTTAAACTGCTCACCATAACTAACAGCTTTGACATCATGAGACCGTGCTGCAAATGACCGGGATAAGCTATAGTCTTGATACATAAACGGACACCATGAATTCTAGCAGACGATGAAAGCAGTTATACGGTCACCAATGCCAGCCCTGATACTGGACCAAATATCAATGACATGCAAGTCATAAAACCATTAGTAATACCATGACTTACGCTGGGTTTTCCCAGAAACATTCCGCTCGACAGAATGCTTTCCGCTGGTCTCGATAAGCAGATAATCTTCAAAACTCAGCCACGAGGTCATAAGCCCATGAACTCTTCAACAGTCCTCGTGCTACCGCAATACCCGAGCGATACTAGACCGACAAACGTGAGGAGTGACTCAAGGTTCAAACTGGGACTGATCATAACGTCACAGTCCTGATTCCAGAATGTAGCAACTATGCATAGCATATCCAAAGGGAATGTTACGCGTAACCCCTTCGACCTGAATCAAGTACCACAAGATTAAGAACGATCTTGAAGTCTAAGGAGACTCAGTGGCTTACCTCAATAGGCTCATCAATAAACTTCTCCCCCGTCAGAGGTTGTGATAAAGGCTACTCCATACGGTATGTGGCGATCTGGATTGGGCCTCCCAATTATCACAAGTCTGAGCGTCCTGCTGTCGCTCCAACTGCTGACTCTGACATCAGTCCATACTGAAACTGTCAGCTGCAGGTAGTTCTGAATCAGTGACAGAAAGCTAGCGTCACGAACCTGGCAAGCCTTCCAAGGGCGCTTAGTGGGTGATCGAGTCTGGTGAGATTGTGACTCTGTGAAGCGTGCAAAATCATAGCTCAAGAAGTCTTGCTCGAATTTGGATCTGGGAGATAATAAGAAATGCAGCCAAGACGGCGACCATGGGCCAAAAAATATTACCTTCCGCTCATGGTTGAGTTTGCCTTGCCATTCATCAACATCCGATTCTTCCCACGCTGGCATGTTTGGCAAGAAATTATTAGTATCACCCGCGGCAAGGCTAACGCTGTGACTTCGACTATCAGCTTTTCTGGAACATCATCGTAGACTTCTTTGAGGACGCCCTGGGTCCAGCTGCGCAATCGAGAATGAAGGAGCTTCTTGAGTGGTGGACCAGGTAGGTCATCTATTGTTGGCGGCTTGCTCTGATCACTCACTCTCTACGCAGAAAAGTTTTTGGCAGAAACCATCGACAGGACTTGATGCTGGACGTTGTCTCCAAAATGTCCGTCAGTGCTCTCGCCACTCAGAGACAACAGATGGAAGACTCCGCATTTGACTCTGATTAGTTGCTTGTCATTTACTCGCTTGTTGATTGCTCTATGTCTACATAGTACATTACACCTGCTGCTAATTTTACCATAATCTGTCTTCTTGAAAATGTAAATCAAACAGTTGTTGGTCCACAACAATACCTAAGATGCTCGTTGTGTGTACTCAAGAGATGCACAGCCGATGCAGAGCAAAAAAAGAGTTACAGCCTGTGTGAGTGATATCACGTCGCGATGTTGTTCCCGGAGCAATTGCTGACTGCGCCTCTAATGGTGACTGTCTGCGTTCTGAATAGGTATGCAGCAAACCCAACCCACGAAGCGAACGCGCCATCCAGCACTAGTGATATGCGGACGTGAGATTGTTTCCCCTGCCCCAGCAGTACCAGGGACAGCAGAAAGTGTCGAGGTAGTAGTTGAAGGTGGTAGCTGTGACGATGGTGATGTGCTTTGTGCTGCTCCGCTAGGCTTTTGCGCAGTATAAGCATTGGAAGGTCGAGATGAGCTGGGAGCTGACTTCTTCTTTCTTGCGTGATAGTTCCTCTGCGCAAAAAGGACTCAACAATGAAGAAGAACTGTGAATGAGAACAAAAATGCACAGGCTTGCCCACTGTGTAAGGGACCTCGACCTCTCGCAACTGAACATCCGATCCATCTCGTCTGCATAGTACACTAGATACTCGATTTCAATTCCAGCTGAGAGATCGGGGGCGGGACTGGGTGTCTGATTCAGTTGCCCCGTGTGGCTTAAAGAGACGCCAAAAGGTGGATAAGCGACTGAGGGTGGTTTGACTTGGTGCTAGAGTGGGCCCATGGAATTGGGATAGACCAGTGTGCAACTGCCAACATATTTGTCAAAAAATTCAATCACAGATGGAGATCACGTACATCAGCCTCTCGCAGTGTATCATCAAAAAAACCTATGCGAGCAGCACCGTTCATCTTTGGAGCTGGTTGTAGTGTAGCATCAGCCTGGAGCAGATCCGTTGTTAGTGTCATCAAAAATGAAATGTATATAAGCTTACAATTTTGTTGACGATAGCGGTGAGGTCCCATGTGTATAGTGATGAGCAACTTTCCATCTGACGAAAAGGTCGCAGAGTTCACATAGTCTTCATGGTGAAGTAGTGTTCCACTAAGTTGATTAGTTTCGAGGTTCCATAGTTGCGCTGTCTTGTCCAAGGGTGCTCCGCTTGCGCATGCAAGGATGTGGCCGCCGTGCTCATTGGGAAATATAGAAATGGTATTGATGAAGGTTTTGCGCACATTGACTGGACGAACCGTCCATGTCGTAAGTTGTCGCCATTGGTTGTAGTGGGTGACATGACACATCACATGATATAATATTAATCACGCACAGACCTCCTATCACTAGCAAGTCAGTCGGGCTTACCGTAAGTGACGGCGTGCAGCCAGTAGTACTAGTGACAGCTATACTCTCAAGTAGCGTTCTAGTCGGACTAAAGAAAGAGCAATACAAGGCCTAATTCAGATCTGAACCTGTAGCATTTCACTGGAATGTAACATGAGGTATACGGCATGAGAGATATAACAACTACGGAAACGTAAGATATCGTATACCAGCAATAGTCACATCAGGGTGTCTCAGCATTATTTCCAGAGAAGTCAAGAGTGACCTCCAACCAGGAAGCGTTGCGTCTTCGCCCCGGGAGTAATGTTGAGCCTTCTGGGGCCTTGCATGTGTACTTCTTGCGGGGTAATCTGCCTCTCTCAGTATTGGTACAGCCGCAGCCTGTGAACGGACATCGAAAGACCATATATTTCTGGGAGGAATCGGCCTGTATTCGCTCCCACACAACTGGGGTCCCACATTGCGGACACTGTAGAGGAAGAACGTTTCCCCATGGACGAATAGAGACGTGAGCCCATTTGTAACGGGTAATTCGAAGTGGCACCGCGTCTTCAGGTGTTGCAGTCATCAGGAGAACGTCTGTGTGCATACCTAACCCCGACTGCTCAAGCATATTGGGAAATGCTTCACGCAGTGAAAAACCTTCGACGATGACGGCCTGTGCGAACGATATCAGAAAATGGGAGGCGAGACTAGGATGGAAGTGCTTGGCAGTAAACCCGACTGCATGTGAAAAAGCGTGATCGACGACAGACGAACGCAAGCCTCGAAAACCTTCTGGTTGGGTGATAATGGTGCCACAGCCCAGAAAAAAGAGGGTGCTGCTCTCCGCGCGTTGTATTACTTGTCCCCACGGGCCAAGTAACGAGTCCATGAACTGAAAGATTAAGCACATGACGGCGAGAATGCAAGCAAGTAACAGTAGACTTACATCAGGAACGGTGGCTGCAACATAGGAAGTGCCGCCGGAGTATCCAAGAAATGGGTCGCCAGTGTTGTCATCTGTGTGATCGGTGATCGCGATACACACAGTTTGGTAGTTGCAGTCGTCCATGACGTCGTTCGCGAGCTTCTGATACTGTTGGGAATAGGCAATGACCTTGGCATCGGTGCCAAGGTCAAAAATCACTTCGATGAAGCGGAGGCCGCCATCCGGAAAGAACGAAGAAAGATATAAGTTGACTGTGTCAATCGGGCTCGCAGTGGCCTCAAAGCCCACAAGCTTGAAGTGGATGACGAGGACGGGCCTCGCAGATATCTGGGAACGTGTCGAGAGCTGCAACTGTCCAACGATAGGTAGAAATGACGGCAAAACGGGGTTTCCATCCTTGAAAAATCCCTAAACGGTTGTTGTAAAGTGAATGACAAGACATATGTACAAGTAGACTCACGTAGAACGGCGTAAGATCACCAGACCTCTTGTCTAAGAGTGTGTGACAGTGTATGCAGTGGAATTTGACACCCGGTTGCTCAATGAGGTGTAGGCGACTGGCCGGAAGTAACATGCATCTAGTACACATAACACGGGGACAGCCAGGCTCATCGCATGCATAGAGGGCGTCCTTGTCATTACTAGGAGTGCCATCTCGGCAGATCAAGCAAAACTGTGGATGTGAATAGAGAATCGTCAATTGCGTGAAGTGCCACTCACATCATTGTTTGGCGGTCCTGAGTGAATTTCCTGGTGAGATTGCACCATTTCATGAAGAATCTGTGGCGGAGCTGTCTGCCTTTTCCCTAAGAGCGCTGTTATTTGACCATTCTTTCGAGGGGCGAGCCCACCAGTCGATTTGAGAGAGGTCTGTTTGGTTCTTGGCATTGGGAGACCGTCGAAGAAAACAGCAGCGGAAGCAGATTCGGACAATCAGCCGTGCGGCGGCAAATCCCGCTGAAAATGAAAATTGGAGCTCCGTCCGGCCAGGTGCGGCCCGATCTGAGATCTGAGGAATACTAGTAACTCATCACGACAGACAAATTGGGGGTTTCAACATTTTATCTCTTGCAAGATTTCAATCAAAAACAGTTCTGGACCTGGCTAGAGCGTTCCAGAGCACCCTAGATAGTATACCTTTCGAATGTAATTTCACTGGCGGCAAAAGGTAGCAAAATGTCAGTTTCCCCGCTGTGTGATAGAAAGTTCGCCAAATTATGTAGCAATAATATTGAGAACCACAGAATATCTGACTGGCTCACTGCCGGTGTATCCAAGGATGTCATATACTATCGTCTCATTAATGTACTCAATTGCAATGTAAATATTAGGTATGGGCGTCTAGATCATCGCGCATACAAGACTACAACAATTGACTTTAGTGAAATATGAATGACGACAGGGAACGAAATCTAGTAATTTGGTTGTGAGCACTTTCGTACAATAACTTCACAGCTACACCCTTGGTAACAGCGGCGAGCAAGTTGTAACCAGTGGTCTCGGGACGATCTTCTTTGCATTAGTGATATATCCCAAGAGAAGTCATCAGGGAGAATACGAGCACAAGCTTTGTAATCGTCACCGGAGTTGACGGTGCCAGCCTCGATAGCTTTGGTGAGCTCCTCATCAAGAAACATTACCTTGGCGTAGAGACGAAGCCCATCCACGGAGCCCTGAACCAAAAGCAACGGTCCCCTTGTCTGGGTAGACCCGGATGTCACCAAGGACAACATCATGGCAAGAAGCAATGTCGTTTGACTGTCTCGATGGTACACTGGAACGACTGGTACAAGTCCTCTTTTAAAACTTGGAGCTTAAGTAAAGCAAGGTCGGCCTTGTCAGTGATAACGACGGATTTGATAGACTCCTCAAGTGCTTGACGAAAAACTGTCTTTGTCTGCACGCAAACACCTTTGATACAGTCGGTGACGAGAGCACTGTCAGTGGCACGAAGAGCAGCTGTGACTTCTGTTGAGAAGTCGACATGACCTGGTGAGTCGATCAGGTTGATCAAGAAATTCGTTGCCTGAGATAGTATTTCATTAGCAAAATTTTGAGATTGAAGACTTACCTTCCGTCTTCTGCTTGATCTTCCTTTTTCATTTTTAAGTACATGGAGATGACTGTTGATTTGATCGTGATACCACGCTCCTTTGCATCGTCTCGTGTATTCGTAAACCACATGTCACCAGCTTTTGTTGCAGCAGTAGTGATACCGGCTTTTGAAACGAGGGAGTCGGTGAGGGTGGACTTTCTGTGATCGAATGCGTAAGCAATTTATATTATATCAATATGCGATCATCAACAGAAGCTTGCTCACCGTGGGCAATGACGAATATATTATGGATGTTCGGGGCCCGTCCATGAGTTCACGAATCTGGTCTATGGTTCAAGGAGTCGTTAAGAAAGAGGTTAGGTTTTCTTGCACGATCTGTGCTCACCTGCTGTGAAATCATGAACGATGATCGGTTGATCAGAAATGTAGATCTGAAGGAATACGTACACCATTCTAATTTTACGAGAATGAAATAAGAAAAGAAGAAACAGGATCCTTTTGAACAAGTTTGCGTGAGGGAGTAGTGCGGGTACTAGGGACGATTGTGAGTGGTGAGATGAGAAGTTTATAAGAACGTGAGATCAAAGACGAACTAACGAGTACCAGTTAGTACGGAACACGTCCAGGAATTCATAGACGCTCACAGGCTTAGGTTGCAGAGCCTGCTTGCCTCAGCACATCCATGGTCGTATTCAAATAAGGATTAAAAGCAGATCCAATAACAAGCGCGCTACCGCCAAAGCAAGTATTGATATCTTGACATTGCGGTTGAGAACATTGCTCTACAGGTTCTCGAAATGGACGCGCCTGCCTACTGGGCACTCTGATTGCCAAGTGCACGTGAGACATTCCCGATCATCATGCACGCTGAGTATCCTCATGTGCTTTGAGGGCGGGAACGGGATACAGGCGCATCACCACAAAGATCAAAATTCCGATGAGGGAGATCAACTAGAAGAAATTTTCAGCACAGACTGAGGGCTCGCCCAAGTGCAGAAATAATGTGAACTACTCACCCCACTGAAAAGTGACGCTATCCACCACTTATGTTGAGAACCAAGCAAAGCACCTGACATTGGGCCGCCTGAAAATATTGGTTCAATGGCAGGCGAAGACAGGAAAGTAACTACTCACCAAGTAATCCACCAAAGGCTGACCATTCGCGCTCTGTCAGAAGTTTCGAGACAGAGCTAGATGATACGTACCAGTGAAGGTAAAACATAAGCCCATTCGCGCTCTGCATACGAGGGTCAACATCACCAGAATGCAGATGTAAGAGAGACTAACCCTAGCTCAGACAAATCAGGCGTCCATACAGTCATTAATGGGACTATTAGTGCGACTTGAAAAGTCAGCGCCAGTAATTACACGAACCGCAAAATGACATATACAAATTATGCGCTCAAAGACGAACTCCTAGGGTTTGTCAGGGCCTATCCTCGTGGTGGTATACACGATGTCAACGGCCTTTTTAGGACAGCGGATTGTTCGGATTGTATGATTGACAGCGGAGACGATTGAGTATCTGCTTTGTCAAATGGGTAGTGGCTAGGCATGCAAATGACTACTTAGAGCTACACTAAGAGAAAACACGGAAAGATTTAAACTTACTTGATGCAGAGATTGTCCGAGGTATGGTGTACGTCCGTTCTTGAAAGGAAGAGGCGTAGTAATGCTCAGATCATAATGGCCTTTGAGACCATTTGCTGGTCGAATTCTTGACGGTGCAAGTTAGTACAGATGCTTGGTCAGAAGCGTGAACAACGGCTGCATGCAAGGATCCCAGACTCACTGACATCCCTAGAATGATAAATGATACCTTCCTGAGATGCGTACAATGCAATTTATAACACAACAAGCAGCCTCCCATGAGAGAACAAGAGACGGCAGGCACACTTGATTGCCAGCCCGATGGTTGGTTATGGCCTCTAATACGATCTGACTGGGTGTCTTGTGAGTTTGCCGCTGCCGAGTCAGAACAAATAAACAGACAAATAGACAAACAGATAAACAAACAGACAAACAGAAGCAGGCAAACAAGCAAGCAAACAAGCAGACAAACAAACAAACAAACAAACAAACAAACAAACAAACAAACAAGGTTTAACGTTCAACTCCGCCAACACAATCTTTCTTTCACACTCTCATCATCATATGGTTTGGCATTGCATGTTGGCTATCGCCAACTGCATGTCATTCCATCTGGTCGCCATTGCATGTTGACCATCGTCAACTGCACGGCATATCCTTTCTCTCATTTTTCCATGGTTTCGACATTGCATGTTAACTATCGTTAACTGCATGTCTTTTCGTCGGCCTTCGGCGATCGCTGTTGCATGTCGACCATTGTCTACTGCACAGCACGTCCGTCTCCCGCTTTTCCGTTCCATTCATGAGCCCAGCTTCACGGCCATTGTTGGATGTTACTGTCGTATGGTTTCGGCATTGCATGTTGGCTATCGCTAGCTGCATGTCCACGGGTAATGGCATTCAAACCTTGAACAATCCGCCTGAGAACTGCACTATTGTCGCTATGAAGTTACCAGTTTGTACATTGGCCCAAGTTAAAATATATATTTTTTTTTTTTGAAACCGTTCATGCAAGGCGACTAGTAGCAGTCACTGCCCTAGATTGCTTCCCCTAGGAGGCAATATATCAGTAATGAATCATTCACGTACGACAATGCCGGCTGCTTACCCCCTTGAGTAAAGATGCTCTTCAATAGAGCGCCACGATCCTTCGCTGGTATCGCATTGAATAATGCTGTGAGCTCTGTTTTAAATTCTTTCATCTTATCATCCATTGTGAAATTTCGATCTTTGAATACGCCGCCTGATAGCTCGCTGAATACCCATTTGAACAGGACGCCAACATAGATAAACAGATGCTTGATGTTCCGGTCTTCGCCAATATAATTTATATACTTCCTGTCATGAAAGAGGAGCTGTCGAACAAAGTATCGGATTGTCGTATTTGCGAAGGTGACGGTCACTTGCGTGCCTTCGACCTGAAGAAACTAACATGAGCAATGACACAAAAAAGGGAAAGCAATGACTAGCATCGATGACACCAAATATAAAGCGCTTATCTTTGACAAGACAGTTGATGATCTTTTTTACTTCCTTCGCGTGTTTCATCATCAATGCGTTGTGAAGATCATATCCCCAAAGGACCGCACTTCGGCTTAGGAACTGTATATTCTTTTTGATTGTCCCTAACACTTTGCAGAGTTTGTCCACCTCTAATCGACCATCCTTCGTCTTGGACCATGCGACAAGCTCGACTACACTCCACGTCATCGGTGACAATTCCCAAGCCGAGAATTTCAAGAGCTTACCGTCATTTGATATCTCGGCATTCATGGAGCTTTGTGCCATCTTCTGGACGGTGTCCGCATCCGCGAAGAAGCAGTTGATAAAGATAGTGCACTTCATTCGAAATAGTGCCCCAGATGTGACCTTCGGCAGCTTTGAAACACGGAAGATAACTGGGATGAATGTACTTGACACTGACTGCAGGGTATCTGGTACAGGAGACAGTACTGTCGGTGCGGGGGGTGGCACAACCGGGGTCACAGGCTGGGCATCGGGCACAAGAGGTAGTACACTCTGTGGCGCACTGTTAGATGGGCCCTCCCTGTGCTCTATATTGTGAGGGATGAGATAGCTGTCGTGTCTGTTAGACGTGGTATATGGAGTGTGTCGATTTAAAGTTCGGTGGTAGCGCAAGCGGTTGAAATTGTGTTGATTTCTGGCAGGTTGTGGACTCACTGAATGTCCCCCCTCGACCTGGTCACCGGTCTCACACACATCAAATAAACCATGTGCCCAATCGCGCGCATGAGGTGGCGGAACAGGTTGTTCGCAAGATATTTCAGGATCAGGAGCGTAATAGTAGGTGCTACCATCACTGTAATTATGGTCAAATCCATGGTAAGGTGGGTGGGAAATTGCGTGCGGGACCGGCATGAGCTGTTCAGGATGGGGAAAAACGTTGGAAATGTTTGACTGATCGGCGACCTGAATGTGGGTATTCGTGTAGGGCCCCGAGTCGGGGTAGGTTGAGTGATGCGTGCTTTGGGAATGTTCAATAGGTGGCTGATTGATGTACTGATCGTGGCGGTTCGTGTGCAGCCCCGAGTCCATGTAACCCGAGTAATGCGCGCCCTGATGATGCATTATACCCTGCGTGTTGATGTGAGACAATTGATTGGTGTACTGGTTGTAAGGGGTGGCATCGGGCCCCGAGTCAGCATAGGTCAAGTGAGAGGTCTGAGGCTGTGCTGTGCTCGGGGTGTCCGAGTGAATGTAAGATGATGATGATTGATCAGCCTGCTGATCACAGGGGTTTGCACGGGGCGCGAAGTCAACGTTATAAGAGTTACTATGATCGTATGCCGTCTGGGGCTCATCGTAGGACAGATCAGGAGCATTCTGTTCATGAGAGGCCGCATGGTAGGGATCTAAAACGAGCTTTTGCATCAGAGGACCGGTAGCGCAAGGTATGACAACCCGAGGCTCACTTGGTAGAACGTGGGGATTACTGAACTGTCCGACAGAATGAGGAGTGTGCTGATATTGGCCATGATCCATAATCGTGTATTAAGGGACGTGGTTAATCCCAGAGTTCAAGTTATCTGTGGTGTTGAAATGCGTTCAAGTTGAGCAAGTGGGTCCGCACTGCACGACTGACTTTTGTTAGCAACTCCTTGATGGACCCTTTTGGTACACGGCCCGTGGTCGCGAAGAAGCCACCCCGCTCAAAGACTCGGCAGCGGTCCTGCCAGCAGGTTCGAATTGAAACATCCAAGTCATGAGTCAACAGAAGCCTTGCCATCGAATTCCCACTGGAAGTTCCGACTTTTGGACTCCAGGCAGTACCATTAGTCCAACTGACCTTCCAATCCGAGCAGATTCGAATGAGGCTAGTCCGAACAGGACTGTTTGGACTAGCCTCATTCGAATCTGCTCGGATTGGAAGGTCAGTCGGACTAATGGTACTGCCTGGAGTCAGGACGCACCTTCTAGATGAGATTCAGTCTTCCAACCCCAGAGTCAATGCTAGAAGGCATGCCAATTGGCGGATAGCCGTTTCCGACTTAATGTGGTAAAAATTATCAACATCAATCTAAGAATCGATGACGAGTCCAACCGAAATGAGCATGGTCCAAACAATCAGGACACACCTTCTGGATGAGACTCAGTCAAGCACCAGATGCGGTGTGTACACGAAGCTTTGAAACAGAAGGGCCAACGTCGAATTCCCACAGGCTGCGGCACCTTCTAGAAGAGGCTCAGTCAAGCACCAGATGCGGTGTGTACACGAAGCTTGAAACAGAAGGGCCAACGTCGAATTCCCACATGCTCAGGCTAGGCTTCACATATGTCGTGACAGCTCCAACTTTGCTGACTTACAAACAGGAGTAAATTACTTCCGCGGAATCAAACATTGAGATACAGTACTTAGCTTCTCACCGTTCTTCAAACTCCAACTAGTTTATGAACCAACTTGAAGGTCTCTGGCTTGACTTGTTGACCCAGAAGGGACCCAATTAGCAAGTAATATGCATACAGTTTGCTACCCGAATCCTGCTACTCCTCCAAGCTCTGTCAGACGGTGTAACCCTGACCATGATAGCGGCGACGAACTCAGGCTTCAATCTGCTCGAACTCTCGTTCAGACTCCACCCAGCTCTCCACCTGAACAACCACAGAATTACCATGGCCGCAATGACTGGAGACACCCAAGCCATACTATGACGGGACCTCCCCGGATCAGTGTGGGCTCTAAACGTCGACGAATGCCATCCTCCGAAGAAATCCCCCCGAATTCAGAAAATGATATCTTTGCATTCCCACATCTTCCTCCCATAATGGAGCGCCTGCCTAGCCTTGTGGGGCGTGCACACAAGAGGTTTAGGCCTTTTGAACAACCCCATGGTCTTATGCCTAATGCATTGGAGCTTCGGTTTTCTCAAAGGTGTCTGGATTCCGGCGAGACGGATATAAGTTTATCCGATATCCAAGAGGTATGTCAGCCTAAGGCGCACCATCATTTTATCAATAACAAATGTTCAATCTCAGGGAAAAGACGTCCTTCAGCGTTGCCTAAAAGTGTTGCCTAAGACCATCGTCGGTCAAGCTCTCATTGCAAAGGAAGCTGACTGCGAACACAAGCGCCTGTCCACTCTAGCTATGGTTTGGGCGGCTGAGGCAAGTGAGCGAGACAAGCGACTTCGTGAAATGCTCATTGAAGAGGAACTCGCAAAATACGCCATCAGCACTGCGGAAGCTTCCATTCTCCAGAAAGTTTTGGTTGGACGTAGTGTGGAGGAGCTCGATGCTGCTACAGACTTCTGTGTGGGCGCATACAGTCACAACTTCCGGTCGTTCACTATCGCCGATTCGACCCTTGATCAGATCGAGGGTGTTACCTCATGCCTGTCCAGAGAGGAAGCTGATGGTCAATTGGAAGATGATTCCTCCGACTTTGACTCGGAGACCAATGGCTGAGGTAAGCCGATATTCAACATAGTCTTTCAAGTTTGTAATACTAATTGTGATGATACAGACATTTTGTTCCTTACTTGTTTGGGCGACCTGTTGATCATTGTAAATGCTATTAGTACTGTCATTTAGCAGACCACCGGGACAGTCTCTGACTACTAGGTCAGAAGTATCATAGTCTTTAGATGATCTTAAGCACGCATCACATGTATTTTGGAAGTAGTAAATTATATCAATTGCCAATGGAGTACCACTGTCTGTGTTTGGTTGTCTTTGGAATGCAGTCTGGTCCGAGTCGCGTAGAGTAAGGAATCATCCGAGTCCGATTATCAGGTTGAGGTCACCAGCTTCCGTCTGCTCGAGGTAGGCATATTGTCGTCTACCTGACTCGTCATCAACCACAATTAGTACGACTACTACAAGCAGTACTCTTACCACCCGAGCCGTTACTAATACATGGTTACTAGTCACTGGCGTCATTCCAATTTCGGACGGCCGCCATTCCTGCTCGTCCGACGAATGTGTAGAAAACGTCTATGGCTTCAAGTTGTTCTTAGTCTCTCATTCTTCATCTATTTGATGGTAGTAGTATTCTGCAACGCTCCAGGTTGCTCCTGGGAAAAAGCCACTGATAGTCGAGGACTCACTAGACATCGTGCAACATGCAAGTTCTATCAGCGGTCTAGCGTCGTCAGCAGCCAGAAGAGACAACAGAGGGCGAAGGATGCAGCAGCTAGAATTTTGACACGACCGTTGGGACCAGCCGCAAAGCCGGGCTCAGTTGGCAGTTCAGGTTCGGTGAGTCTTTCACGTATCATCACTTGCCGAAGTTAGTACGATTATAGTCCAATTGCCTTATAGAAAATATTGCCTATGCAAGTTAAGCATGCTGTGTACTCAGAGAGTGACCACTTAAAACCTATCGTTCCATGCACACCCGGGTCAAGCAGGTACCCCAGCCAGATCCAAGTCAGCGAGGCTGGTATGTCTACTAGCTCAGCCGTGGTCCCTGACTCGGACTTGGAGCAACCTGCATCAGACTCGGAGCAGCCGCAGTTGCGGTTTGATATTGATGAAAGTTTCGAGAACGCAGTCAATGCCGATGTTTTCGGTATGTATTTGAGTCATCCCAGTCGACTGATAACTTGATTGTTCTGCTATTTTCTCAGAAGAACCATCGCACTCGCCGATTCGTCGTAGACAGATCCTTGGGCATTTTGAGGATGTCAATCTTTCTGACGAGGACATCAATAACTTGGATAATAGTAACCATATCGACACTTCGGAACCTTCTCGAAATACAGCGCCGCCACAATCTAGGATTCGGAGAGTTCTATTGACACTACGAGATAAACTTCAAACAAGTTTCAATTCTCTAGGACTTTGTCAACTATACCCTCGTCGCCCGTCCTTTGAGCCAGATAAATTCGTCCCGTCCTCGCTACTTTCATCTACGTGTCCAGCAGCCCTGCCAGAGGCTGATTCAGACATCCTCCCACCTCCATACCCGTTTACCAACATGACTGTCTATCGACTCATGTCTTGGATGAATTCAGGTAGCAACAAGAAATCTGAGGCTGAAGTCGCCCGTCTCGTCAAAGAAGTGATGCTGGCGGAAGATTTTGACTTGAAGCACTTGGAAAACTTCTCAGTGCGGAAGAGTTTACGCGAATTAGACAGTGATTTTAGCAGGAGGAAGATCGAGTTTCCAGATGACTGGTTACAGGCCGATGTCACCATCAAGATTCCCACAAAATCGAAGGAGGACGATGCAAAACCTTTCTCCATCCCTGGATTCCATTTTCGCCCTCTCGTCGAAGTCATTTGGTCAGCTTTCACTGACGTTCAAGCAAGGGCATTCCACCTTTCGCCTTTCAAGCGCCTGTGGAAGGATCCATTAGATAATCACAAAGAACGAATATTTGATGAGTTATACACCTCTGACTCTTGGCTAGATGCCCAAGACGAGGTGCAGAAGCTCCCAAGGGAGCCTGGATGTACACTAGAACGGGTGGTTGCTAGTCTGATGTTTTTTTCGGATGCAACACACCTTGCAAACTTCGGAACTGCGAAGGCCTGGCCCCTCTATATGTACTTCGGCAATCTGACAAAGTACGCTCGTTCTGCACCCAAGTCCGGTGCATGTCACCTTGTGGGATTTCTACCGTCTGTGAGTTGTCCTGCTGTATCTTCAAGGATGGTTATCAACTCGAATGTTGTCCATCAGCTCCCCGATAAAGTCAAAGACATTCTGAGCAACTTGCCTCGTGTATCCAAAAGTGGTATGGCTGCCCTTCACACCCACTGTCGACGTGAACTGTTTCATGCATGCTGGGATACCTTACTAGATCAAGACTTCCTCTATGCATACCGCCATGGTATCGTGCTGAAATGTGCTGACAGTGTATTACGCAGGATTTTTCCTCGTATATTTACATATTCGGCCGATTACCCTGAAAAGTGCGTTCTGTTTGTGAATATGGGCACGTTACTCAACAAATTTCAGAGTTCTAATCGCCACTATCAAAGACATGGGCACATGCCCGTGTCCCCGTTGTCTCACGCCGAAAAGTCTGTTCCCTTCTTTAGGCCTCCTTCGAGATATGAAGAGCCGCATAAATAATCTTCGAGTTTACGTCTCGGCTAATGTTATCAAGGCACGAGAGTATATCTACAAGTCCGGTAATACTGTGGACGGTACAAAGGTCGGAGAGATACTCAGAGAGGGCTCATGGGTGCCTGTTCTAGTAAGTATGAATGGTCTATTGCTCTCCTTGACCGGCTTAGATGAGTGACTTGCAGAATATTTTTGCCGAGAAGTTAGGAGCATTTGGCCTCGACCCATTTCGGATGCTTGTTGTGGACTTTATGCATGAGTGTGAGTTGGGCACCTGGAAGGCACTGTTCACTCACCTCGTCCGGATTCTTTACTCACTTCCTGGAGGAAATAAATTGGTAGCAACCCTAGATGCAAGGTAGGTGAAGTTGACATGACATTTCCACGTAATAATTCTGTTCGATCATAGATTCCGTCAGGTTCTGACCTTTAGCAATGGGGTAATTCGAATGTTTACAGACAACACATCTGAGATGAAGAGACTGGCAGCACGAGACTTTGAAGACATATTGCAGGTTTTGTCTTACTCGACTCGACTATTCTCTACCTGCCTTACTGACGGTCTCTCTCCAGTGTGCAATACCTGTGTTTGAAGGGTTGTTTCCCGATACCCATGATAAGATCGTGCAGTCTCTTTTATTCAGATTCGCTCAGTGGCATGCACTCGCGAAGCTGAGAATTCATTCAGAATCGAGCCTGTGTTTCTTTGAGAAGACGTTCAAAATTCTCTCTAAGCAATTGCGGAAGTTCCGCGATTTTACCTGTGCTGCCTTTGAGACTGTAGAGTTGCCTAAAGAAAAGGCAGCTCGCCAACGAAGGTTTACCCAGCACGGCGGTTCTTCAGAATTTAAAGGTCCCAGGATCAAGAAGTTTAATTTGAGCACCTACAAGTTTCATGCAATGGGCGATTATGTACGAACCATCAAGCTCTTTGGTACGACAGATTCGTTTACCACTCAGATTGTAAGCATTGTCTCTTTCCTCAAGTATGGTTCTGATTATGCAAATTGGCTAGGGGGAGCTGGCGCACAGAGCCTTGAAAGCATTCTATCCGCTAACTAGCAAGTTAGATACCCCGGCTCAATTAGCAAAGCATGAACACAGGCGTCATGTACTACGGCGAGTCGCGGAAGCAGGAGGTATCTCTTCTTCAAACAACCAATCGCCGGCCGACTGTCTACCTCCAACACTACACAAACACCATCATTTTATTTCACCCAGTCGAAATGATCCGATTTCTTTGTTTGAATTCCTCCGAGAACACGATGATGATCCAGCTACTAAGGTAAAACTAACATTTTGGCCCAGTTCGCGTATCAATTTACTTATGACGACTTTCAGAACTTCATCCCGAAACTGAAGGACCACATTTTGTATCGGCTGAAAAAGTTAGATGTTAGTCATTGTGACCGCACATTTTCAGACGAGGAACGTAATTCGGTCATCATCCCTAACAATACAGTCTACTCCGTCAAAACCATGCAGGTACACTATACAACTTGCGATATGAGGCGCGAGTACAATACTATCAACCCCAGAACCAGTGCAGATCTTATGGTGCTCTCAGGAGAAACCTCACCCAGCCACCCGTACTGGTACGCTCGTGTACTGGGGATTTACCACATGGAAACGTGGCTCAAGGGTCCGGGTGTTGGCCGACCTGAGAAACAGCACTTGGAGGTCCTCCATGTCAGGTGGCTCGCACCACTAATATCATCAGACTATCAATCAGGGATGCAGTGCGCTCGCCTGCCCAAATTGGTGTTTGTGGAGGAGTCAGACTATGACGCATTTGGGTTTCTTGATCCAGGCCAAGTGGTTCGAGGGAGTCATTTGATTCCTGCATTCGTTTCAGGTCGCGGTGTAACTTCACTTCGCCACGGGAAATCGTTAGCACGAGCCGAAGATGAGCTAGATGACTGGGAAGAATACTATGTCGGGATGTGAGTACAGCATGTCTCCGTGTGAAGTTGATGACTCTGATCTGTCAGCTAGTTTCGTCGATCGTGATATGTTCTTACGTTACACTTACTTGGGCGTAGGGCACCCAACAACTTTGAGGAGGATTGTCAAAGACTCAGGCTACTCTAGCCTCGAGTCAGCGACAGTGACACCAGTGGAATATATGGACGTCGACTCGGATGAAGCTAGAAATGATGGTGAGGGCGGCAGCAGCAAGGATAACGATGAACAACTCGAACAAATGGATGTGGACCTTCAACTTGAAGATGAGGAGGACTCAGAGTTCGGATCAGAATATGACTATGGCTATGATGATATTGAGGGAGGATTGGGCGAGGAGGAAGTTCCTGATCATGCCTCAGACTCGTTCGGTGACTCTGACCTGGATGATGACCTCTCTTTTTGAGATAGGCCGTTCGCGCAGACACTTATAACTTGTGTGGAATGTAAGTCTGGTCCGAGTTGCTTTGTGACTAGAGTCACTGTGAGTACCATCAATCATCGTCCAGAGTGCAACAACCACTGACCATGAAACCAGCCAAAATTCGAATCGCCTTGACAAGCGATCACTGCCAGTAGTACTAGGCCTGGTCAGGGTACAGTGGCCCCATCGGATCCAGAGTCCATGGCAGGCCTAGCGGCGTCTGAAGTGACCAAGTATATTAATTGAAGTCGTCCAAGATAATAATAAAAAGTACCGTTCAGATTGCATTTCAGATCTTGAAATCGGATGGTATTTAGTCCGAGAACATGTTATTGATCAGGACTCCGAGTCAGGTAGTTGGTGGCGGGACCCTGAGTCAATTGTCGGGCGCTATGTTTATCACTTCAAACTCCGCTACCCGTGAACCCAGACACTTGCTCTCAGACACACGGATATGGTGTCTTGCGCGGACCTTCACCCAGATCGGCCATTTTAGATTATACAACGGCCCGCTGGGCATCCCAGGACCCTTCCAATTCCATGTCACTCGTCTCCTCATTTCAAACCTGCTCCAAAACAGAAACCTTTCACAGTGTGTAATAGCTACGCGTCTTTTTTCATATCTTACACTGATACCAACCACTTGACGCACAATGGCAGCTTGGTCTTTCGTAAGCGTGCAACTCCTCGATTGGCAAACGTAGTAGGGTCCAAATGGTCAATCTGGCGAACATATATCCCCTCCCCGGGTCTGCACTCAATACAATGCTCTTCCTTGATGCCAACTTAGTATTTTCTAATAAGTCATATCTTCAGGCGAGTTTGCGCGCTTGTGAGTTGTTTTTGCTGCTGTTTTCCTTGCGTCTTACTAATTGGCATTGATAGCTCAACGCTCGCAGGAGGAACGTCTTTGGGTCCAATCATCCCAGTTCGAAAGGTCTTTTTTCTGCTAATTCGATCAAGCCCTCAGGTCCTAATTATACTACTAGTCAAAGGGAGAGCGCTTTGCGATGGTTGTTGTGAATAGACTCGCTGATGTTGAGATGCTCAGGAGCGCTCTCAGATAGCAATGTCTTGCTATCCCATTTTTGTGTTCTCCTCTGTAAATTTTGTCACTACTTGTCTGCTTCGCTTTCTGGGCCTTATTTGCATGAAAAATAGATCGAGTTACTACCTTGTGTTAAGTGCTTTCCTTCACTGACTCGGTCGGCTCCTGTATCCAATTCATAAATGGCGGCTAAAGTGGAAGCGTTCACCGACTCGTTCGCGCCCTCCGCAAGCTGCTTTTCCAGCACCCCCGGTGACAGTTCAAATTCAAATATGTCTTTCGGCTCCTTTGGCATTTGTCTGCCTCTTTCCCGACTGGGCCTCGGCACAAGGTTAATTAGGACCTCCCAATTGGGATTCTTTCTCCATCAAGGATCTCATCGTATCATGTATGGCCAAATAGCACGGTAAGTATTATTAGCTCTCTCATGATTTCCTAAAATTCATCATTGACACTTCGGATATGTTTGTTGTCGAGTCATATTCAGTTAGTCTCGGGTACATGATACGTATACACCTCAACAACCCTTCAGCCTCCTTCATCTAAAAGTCAGATGATGGTAAGTGAAGTCTTTGCCCCTTGGTACCATATCCCTAGAATGGTTAACTCAAGTCTTTCTGCTCGTCAGCGCACCCGTGCGCAAACTGCAGCCTTTCTCCTTGGTGTTCGTTCGGAACTACCAGATGTCGACGAAGGAGTCAACAGTCGCACAGTTCGGCATTTTTACGAAGGAATGGACGAAGAGCCATCTACTACAGAACGGCACCATGCCCAGCTTCAAAAAGTAAGTGAAGTATATCCGTCTCAGGTGTGACGGGATGCTCATGTCGTGCAACACTAGTCGAATTCAGAGTTCCTCTCCATACCACGGATAGCAATCAATCGACCACATATGTGGACCAGTCTTACTCTGAGTCAGATTGCCGCCTGGACATATTTGACGCCATCAGAGCTACAATGGACGTACCAAAACTATACCAACACTTGGGCTGGCGTCTGTCTACCGCACGCCGCATGGACCCGCCGCATCGTCTTTTAACCTCACTTGATATTGATAGCGCCTTCAAAGCTGCGAGGGCGGAACAGAGCTCTGGCACAAAAAAGAAGAGAGTTGCTATTGAAGTTGTTAATACTGTACGTTTTTGGTGCTTGCGAGTGGTACGACGTGGTAAATAACTTCATGCAGGCTAAAGATTTGAAGCAAACCAAGCGAAAGGCGGTCGTGTCTTCTTCAGGCAGGCAGAACTCGCCTGTACCATACACAAAGGAGTTGGAGAAAGTCAAGAGCAAGTTGCGCTGCTCCGTCCATCAACTCGGAGAGGACACATTCTGTTGGGTGGATCTATCTCAGCCAAACGCTCCACATTATCCGCTGTGTACCCAGGACCTGCAGGAGTGGGCTAAATATTTGGTATGGGATACCTATTCGCTGCAATGGTACGACATGATGCTCACGCATTGTAGCTCGAAACTGGAGATCCAGACAACACCTGCATCACTCCACCCAGCACGCCCCATTTCGATGAAGTTCGGAGGATACGTAAGGAGCGAACTGTGCTGCCACTTCAGAGGGTGCCCACTGAAGTCATATCACCTATCATTCATAATCATATTCACCTCTCATCTGCCGCCAGCGACGTCTCTGATGGAGTTTTTGCCAGAGCACAGGGAGAAGGTCATATGGCTTTTCAACCACTCAAGAGGACCTTTGCGCTCTACATGGAGAGCGACGAAGAGTCCGACACCGAGGAGCCGCCGCAGCACATCAAGGATGTTCTTGCGCATATTCACTCGCGCTACCCTGACATGAACTTCCCCGAATATGCCGATAAATTGAAGGAACGTGGTATACTATATCTATCAACCGCGGCTCATTTCAGTACCCAATTCTATGAAGAGAAAGTTGGGATGTCAGAGGGCGCTGCGTATACCTTTCAGAGCTGTGTCTCCAAATCGCACATGAATGCGGAACTTGCGAAAGGGAGAAGGAAGGCTAAAGGTAAGAAGAAAGCACGAGCTCAGTCCGGCGATGGGGATGAAGAGAATGTCCTCCCTAGCTTATGATAGATCATTCTTGTCTTGCTTTCGATCTACTCAGAATCTCATAGTTTCGTTTCCGGCTTACAATTTGTAACACTTGATTACTGGTGTCGTAGTACAAGTCCATAATATCATAGGTTCTCTTTATCGTATAATGCGCGAGGTCAGTACTTCTTAGAGGATGCTCAATGACCAGAATCATATGTGAATTCATTACCATGTCTTCTAAGCAAATCCAGCCTTTGCCATACCTCAAAGGGCCTCTGGGGCTCAGGTTCCATTCAAGCGTACTTCGCTTATGAGCTCCGAGCTGGTCTAAAAAACTATCCCCAAAAGGCCTCAAGACACAACCCAGAATGGCTCGGTGGAAAGCACTATTGGTATAATCACCAAACGGCAGGTTCCTTGGACTACCCATAATGAGGTTTACGCAAATCATGTTAACCATATATATTTTCAAGATTGACGGCGCCAGGGTATATAAGACGGTCACCTTGCAGGCTCATTCTCATTCACTAGTACTCGTTCACCTTTCCACACCTCCGTGCCTTCTGCACATAGTATCTCCTCCTTGATTCTTGTTACTTCTTCTATGTCGGCATCCAAGCACGACTCGGGCAACGGGCCTCAACCTCCAGATGTCTCTCTGTCTATACAGATGTCTCCTCATGCCAGGGCGAAGCGAAAAATAGCCACTCTCATGGAGGATATCGAAATCTTGAAGCAGGACAAAGCGACAAAAAACAGGTATGCACGTTCTCGACTTTCCTCACAATGATTGGATTCAGTCGCCTCATTTAAATGTCACAGAAAAACAACTTACTATGTCTCGCAGGGACGAGCAATTCGTCGTATGATTGTCCTTTACGCTCCCATAGAGGACCTCATCGCTGAAAATGACCGTCGTTGTGAAGAGATAAATGTCGCCTCCACTGTGGAGTAAGTAGCCATTTTTCCATGCTGTTGTGCTTATTAACAAAAAGGGACAGTCAGGACCGCCTTCAACGTGGCTATATCGAACTCACGAAGGTACTTCCATGGCTTCATGAGAAGCTGGCTGGTGTTGACCACGAGGAGTCGGAGGACATGCTCAGAAAGGTCCTCCCCAACTTAGTATCACACTTCTTTCCTTCTCATTTTAAATGTAGCTCAAGCGAGGCGCGGACTCAGCTCGTGGCGACGACACGGGGACCCTAAAAGACCTCGTGGCTACATGGGTGAACGTGGAGTATAGTCCGACTCCGCTCATTAGGCCCGGCGACAAGCATCATCGAGGTTTTGTGAGTGATGCGTGTGGTAAACTACTATGCCCAGCGGAATGGCATTGGGAAGACGTACTGTAAGTGATGATCCTTGTTGCTTACATGTTGGTGATATTTTTCCCAGCGTCAAGGCTGGCATTCGTGACCGCATGACTGCTTTCATTGTATCGGAAAATTCGTGGCCATCATTCATGTACGAAAATTATGTGGCGGACACCAAGAATCTGGAGCGTGGTTTGATGAAGTCGAAGTTATTACTTATGGCAAGCAACCTGGTTTTTTAACTGATCGATAGCTTATCGCATCACAGGGGTTCAAGGCAATATTTACATCCCCCTCCTCGGCCAACGAAGTGGATGGCGAAGGTGATGGCGCCAATATTATTGAGAACAACCGGCGCGCCCGGAGGCGATCAGACCAAACTAGGGTAAAAACTTGCGTTGCTTCCATCATAGGCATGAGGAAAGTAACTCCTCGCGCGATCGCGTACACTGCTTGCCAGGTTAGCGTTAACTCTTGCCTCTCGACTATGACGTTAATTCTGCAGATCCGGTTCGCACTTTCCTCCATCACCTCCTGGCGCACCGTGGACGGAGACTTCGACTATCAGCTTTTCTGGAACAACATCGTAGACTTCTTTGAGGACGCCCCGTGTCCAGCTGCGCAATCGAGAATGAAGGAGCTTCTTGAGTGGTGGACCAGGTAGGTCATCTATTGTTGGCGACTTGCTCTGATCACTCACTCTCTACGCAGAAAAGTTTTTGGCAGAAACCATCGACAGGACTTGATGCCGGACGTTGTCTCCAAAATGTCCATCAGTGCTCTCGCCGCTCAGAGACAACAGATGGAAGACGCCACATTTGACTCTGATTAGTTGCTTGTCATTTACTCGCTTGTTGATTGCTCTATGTTTATTCCTACATAGTACATTACACCTGCTGCTAATTTTACCATGATCTGTCTTCTTGAAAATGTAAATCAAACAGTTGTTGGTCCACAACAATACCTAAGATGCTCGTTTAATGTTAAGTAAGGTCACCACTATGAACTCCTGAGGGGAGATCCTACGTGATAAAGCATCCCGTGAAGTGGGACAGACGCAATGATGTCGATAAGTGAAAAAAACCCTAAGACGCTCGTTGAGTCGTAAAGTAGAACATCAAGGTGAAGCATTACTCACCACTATAAACTCTCGAGCGGAGATCCTACGTGATAAAGTGTCCCGCGAAGTGGGACAGACGCAATGATGTCGATAAGTGAAAAAAACCCTAAGACGCTCGTTGAGTCGTAAAGTAAAACATCAAGGTGAAGCATTACTCACCACTATAAACTCTCGAGCGGAGATCCTACGTGATAAAGCGTCCCGCGAAGTGGGACAGACGCAATGATGTCAACAAGTGAAAAAAAACCTAAGACACTCATTGAGTCGTAAAGTAAGACATCAAGGCGAAGCATCACTCACCACTGTAAACTCTCGGGCGGAGATCCTACGTGATAAAGCGTCCCACGAAGTGGGACAGACGCAATGATGTCAACAAGTGAAAAAAAACCTAAGACGCTCGTTGAGTTGTAAAGTAAGACATCAAGGCGAAGCATCACTCACCACTGTAAACCCTTGGGCGGAGATCCTATGTCATCCAGCGTCCCGCAAAGTGGGACAGACGCAATGCTATCGACAAGTGAAAAAAAACCTAAGACGCTCGTTGAGTCGTGAAGTAAGACATCAAGGTGAAGTAACACTCACCACTGTAAACCCTTGGGCGGAGATCCTATGTCATCCAGCGTCCCGCAAAGTGGGACAGACGCAATGCTATCGACAAGTGAAAAAAAACCTAAGACGCTCGTTGAGTTGTGAAGTAAGACATCAAGGTGAAGTAACACTCACCGCTATGAACTCTGGGGTGGTCTTGAAACTGTAAGATCCTGCACTTTAATGTGCACTTCATAAATCATCATGTCTCCGCCAGACATATTCAAGATGTCCCGTATCTGAGCGACGCCCTCATGAACGTTATGTCCTCGAGAGGCACCGATCGTTATGTCCCTGCCGATTGTTTAGCTTTGTAATGTCAGTTGAGCATATTATTTGCATTTGCCAATGCTGATCAATATGCCCCGACTTGCTCCGCAAGGACGATCCGACAACCACGTGCCTTGACGTTAGGCTCCGAAGGCTTTGGCGGTAGAAGATTTCTCCCACAATATTCTGAGCCTGATACCACATTATACGTTTGAGAGATCGTGTTCAATGAAAATCTCATGCGCACAACTCTGCTGTTGCTATATGTTTGCAAATCACCATCTATCTAGTGCTGCCGAAGTCCGGTTCGGTCCGGTTCTTGGGCCTCCAAATGCGAACCCTGAACCGGACCATCGGTCAGGTTCAGGCAATGAGGGCGAACGTCGAACTGGACCCTTCCGAACGCGTTCGGAAGCGTTCGGTTCGAGTTCAGAACGCGTTCGAACGTCCGAACGCTATGTATAAATTCAAAAAAAATGAAGGAAATACATGAAAAATTCGACATAAATGAGTACAGTAACTACACGATATCCATGTCAGGGTATTCACGAGCAGCGGCGAACTCAGCTTGAGCCGTTGCAGATATGTGGCCTTGACGGTATCCGTTCTTCAACAACTGAAGTGCCTCAAACGTTGTCGGCAACAGACAGTTTCGCTGTGTGGTCCCAGTGATGCCGCCGCTCGAAAACGCTCGTTCGGATGCAACAGCAGAGCCTTGAATGGCTAAGTAATCCTTAGCAATGCGCGAGATAGTAGGATATTGAATTGAGTGATGCTAAGGAATATTTATGTCAACTTGTAAGGAATAGGGATTCGAAAAAAAACACTCACGCCCCACCAAGCTACTACGTTCTCAATATCCTCTAGTGGGGAAGCCAGGTAGTCCTCGAGCTCTTGACGAGGCCTTCGGCTTGCAGTGTCACTTGCACCACGGGATTTGACAGCGTCACGCATCCAGCTGTGGCCATACGAGCCTTGGCGTGCAAGAGAGGAAGGAGCCACGACAGCAGGCTCTGCAGCCGGCAAGGAATGGTGATGATAGTACCTGTCGAAAACAATCTGCAGGCATCTCATGCCCTTGTCGAAGTCGCGGGGCTCCCATTTGCTCTTCGCATACGCAGTCTTATAGTTGGGGTCCAGCGCTAGATACAATACATTAGATAGGGCTTTACATTAATCAAAACACGTACCGAGACAAATGAAATAGACGTCGGTTTCATCGATCTTATGGTACCACTTGCGAAGATTGTCGATGCCACAGTCAATGGCGGTTGCAAAGTCGGCAAACTTCGAAGACCCGGCCATATTTTGCCAGGTTTGTTGGAGGAATTCAAGTACCGGGATCGCACGCCATACAGTGGGTTCGCGAGTCGCAGAGAATGATTGCTGCGCATTTGCAGGCTCCTGGTAATGCAATAAGTTAATAAAAATTAAACTCATCAATGAAGAAGCACGCACCTGAAGCACGTCATGCATCAACTCTAAGTTCTTCCATTCCTCGGCCGAGAGCTTGAATGTGCCATAGGACTTGCCCTGCAGGTTGGGGACTTCGTCGCTATCATCTGCGAGCTGTATGAACCTATTCACACCCTGCTGATAGAGTTAGTAATTGTTTGTAGGGACAGTAGCGGTAAACTAACCTTACGCAACTTGAGGGTGCGCTCTAACATGCCAAACAGTGAGGCCCATCGAGTGCGAATCCATTTCAAAAGCTCGAGGTTGGGTTCATTGACCTCCGCGCAACACTTGTGGAAGAAAGTACGGGCTTGGGGAGATTTCCGTACCTAAATAAACAGTTAGTCAAAGCAAGGCTAATCAGACGAGGCACAAACTTACCTGCCCAACAAATGCAAGGGCTTTGCCCACAGTATCGGCGACATCGAAGTCAGTCGCTTCATCGTCGTCATCTTCATTGGTCTCGTTCCTGACGAGAACACTTGCAGGGGTAGGCGCAACCTCTTCAACGAAATGTTTTGCGGCCAGATGTAGGGCGTGCTCCATACAACTGAAAAGACATTAGCATATAATAGAAAGTGATATAAATATAACCCTTACCGTACACGGTGCTCTCCTGCAACCCATTCCTCACCAGAAGGGTCAATAGCGAGTGCAATGGTCTGAATTGCCGTGTCGTTATTGGTGGTGTTGTCGGCCGTGAACCATCCAACCTTGGTGTGAAAGTCGTAGTTATTGATAGTTTCAATTAAAATCCTTCCGATATTGCTACCGCTATGGTTGCCGTTGATGATTGTGAACGCGAGCTGCTCGCTCTTCAACTCCCACTCCTGAGGCTTACCATCTTGGGAGTCAATATAATGCGCAGTGACAGAAAGGAAAGGCACGCCAGGTTCAGACGTCCAGGAGTCGAACGTGATGGAAATTTTGCTGTCGACCTTCTTAAGCTTCTCTTTGACGCGTTGCACGGCAAGCTTGGCCCGCTCGAGTATTTCATCGCGAGTCTTCATGCGATGGGGGATATCCTTATCCAACAGGGAGGGCCGAAGGTATTGAAGCAGGCGACGAAATGGACCCTTATCGACGAGTTGGAACACCTAGTATAAGTATATTAAGTCACAATCACACGAAACAAAAGATTACAAACACGCACCTCATCCTCGGAGACAATGAGCTCGACAATATAGTCCATCAGGCCGGACTTCGTGAACTCAGGAACCTTAGGTGCAAGGGAGGCGTGTAATGTGTGTTGAACTCCGTCGGTTGATTTGGAGTTAAGAGGGATGGCACGACTGTGCATTGTGATTCCTCGGTCGTTGCAGCGGTCTCGGTAAAGGGGGAAGTGGCATTTTGGATTGCGTGCGATGTGCGTGTGGCGGGTTGAGATACTGCCTTTAAAAAAACACTGGCTGGATGGTACGTCATTGCCTCTGGACTTGATGTTAGTTCAGTGCGATTATTTTAACATTGAGACTTACCTGCATACCTCACACCACCAACCGTCCTCGCGTTCTTGGGTGTGAGGGTTCATACGGCCCTTCTCTTGTGTGAAGATCGTCTTTAAGTCTGCACTACGCTCATCTTTCTTCGTCGGCCTGCGATGCTCGCGGTCCTCATCCCCCAATGCCTTTGTCCTTTCGTAAGCTTCCTCTTTGTCTTCTTCCTCCTCCTCGTCTGAAAGTCCCTCTGCGGCAGGGGGTTCTTCATCATCGTCGTCGTCACCATGACGGTTCAGGTGGGAGCCGGTTTGAATTTGTTTGGGTGCAGGCTGCCCCTCAGGAGCTGCTGGTGCTGGTCGCTTTGCTGGAGCGCTGTTGACAGCGTCACGAATCTTCTCCGTCGGTTTGATGGCTCGTCCCGAGCGACGGGACACGAAGGCAGTAATCTTGCCATTGGATGTGGCAGGAGGTGGCGATGGGAGCATGGGGGAATCATCGTCAGGATCGTTGTACCACTTGATGTCCTTAGCGTCTTTCAATTGGCCGTCAGGTCTAAGTGCGCACGACATTTGCACAGCAGGAAGGGTGGGTATTGGACCTAACGTAGATATTTAGACCGCAAACTGTAACATATAATTATACTAGCGCACCTTGAATATACCACTTCCACACATGGAAAGATGCATTCACCGTAGACTGACATTGAGCGCTGAAAGATGTGAATGAGAATCCTAAAGATATGTTCTTGACACAGTAAGATAGATTAGAATACAAATAATGATGTCTGGCTTACCGGAACATTACTGAGGAATGTTGCCACCACAAGGAATGTTGCCACCGCAAAGTAGAAGCCATTCAGGCTCTTGAATCTCCTGCGATTGGTATATTCAGGGCTGACATTGCCCATGGTCGCCAGGAGATCGTTTGTTGCCAGGATATGGTTCAATAGTGATGATGGTGTCGAGTGAATCAGGTACGGAAGCTCCCGTGGGGATCCTCCTCTGCAATTCGGTTCGGATGTGTTCGGACGCGTCCGAACGCGTTCATGATTTCTCGGTATCAGCCAAACCCTGAACCTATGTGAAGGTTCGGTCCGGCGGCTATCCCGAACCTGTGACCGGACCATAGGTCCGGTTCGGAAAGGTTCGGGTTCGAACCGAGGTTCCGAACTGGACTCCGGCAGCACTACATCTATCAATAGTGACATCTACTCTACCATGTATTAGCACATTGTCTATGCTCAATGAATATACTATTTCGACTGACGGTTCGACCAATAAACGTGCGATATGTACAACTCTGCTGTGTTGGTCTTTTTGCAACACAGACTCGTACATTTTACTCTCGAGCAAGTTGCATTCATGTCATAATCATCCTGAGCTAGAAAAAATGTATTATGTGAAGACCAAATGATATCCATCCGTACCACGGGGAACTTCACCAAAGTATCTTTCAGTTTAGCACGTTGAGACCTCTTTCCTTAACCCTCTCAGTCTCGGTCTGTGTTTAACTTCATGAACCTGTGCGCATTAATTTTTTTGTTGATCTATCTAAGTGCAACAGCTCGCGAAGCATATAGTGCCACTGGGTTGGTGTGCTTGCAAATTCGTCTTTCCTCGACAATGCCAAATATTCCCATGTGAAACCGGTCAGCAGATTTACGAAGATTGTTGCGATGCTTTACAATATATTGCTTTATATACTCTTATCATTCGTTCACCGGTTCACTGATGTCACTCGTACAGGATGAAAGCTTACTGCAACACGATACCATCAGGGATCAGCCTGTACAATCAGAAAAAGGGCTTCTAGTGTGTCACAGGCTTATTGACAGGCTTATTGTCTCCTGTGTGCAATTTCTCTTTCGATTTGAGGATGGTGTCGTATAGGTATTCAACATTCAGCGTTGCATCAATCATGATGTATCTGGCAGTACAATACATCGCCATCACATAAGTGCACAATGTATTGAATACGGTGCGCTTTGGATTGGATTTGTTCTATACTATACTTACCTTCTCTTTGTTCATTGTTATAATCATAATGGCCCAATGATCCAAGTGTACGAGGTGCTATGCCGTAGAATGGCCCTTGTTCCATAAGAGTAATCGGAGGGCTGTTCCGCCTCAGGCTGAGTGAAGCCGAATAACGTGCTCGTACCTGTTTCGATCATGTCATGCTTTGAGCTGTGTTAGATAGCTAACTACATGATTCATCAGGAACTCCTTCATGTTTCCAAGCTTGCAACAGAATTACCTCAAAAATCACATTGGAGATAAGTCGTCGACAATCACCGATGACTGGAACTTTCCTGTGCAAGTAGTCACGTGCGTAATACTGGATGAAAAATCTACTTTGATTCCATCAAGGGATTCAACGTGCTTTTGATTCACTCAGGCTGTTCCAAGGGTCTTGAGGCGAGATTAAATGTACATTTCCATTACACTGATTTGGGCGATAGAAATGCTATATCTAGCACAAATGCTGTCGTTATCATTACACCACTAACCTTCCCCACTTGCTCACACCCATCCCTCGAACATGACCTACGTCTCAAACGATCCCAGTTACTGGCCACAAATCAGTGAAAATATTGTTGTAAATTATTGGATAGGTTTGTCGCCCCAAGATGTCTGGATCCAACGTTGACTTGCAGTTTTGCAGTTGCTGCTGGCATCGTGGTGGTATACGATTGGGGTGAGCAGGACAGTGTGCGAAAATCACTGATATTCTCATGGTATTTCCAGTCTTAACACTCGGATAAGAGGTACGTCGATATTATTGCCGGAGCAACCATCTCACTGAGAATCGCGTCTTAGATTGAACTCATCTGGGTGAGTGACAAGAGTCTCGTACCAGAGGAAAACAAGAGCATGCGATGAATTCACGACAGAAACAACGCTTGTCTCTCATAACCGTGTTGTATTTCATTGTTCGTACTCGTGTTGCGCTTTAGCGTGGTGAGCACCTTGTGCTGACTCCAAAATGTTCTAGATACGCTATATTGGAATACCATATTCTGTGTATGTGTCGAGACCAACAACTTTGGACTGTGCTAATAGCTCATCTCTGACAACTAGTGTCTGTCTTTTGCGTATGTCTCATATGCGCTGTGTTCCATTTTTCTGACCGGCGATACACAGAAACTATGCCATCGGTATCGCTGACAGATGCAGTAAGTATTCTGCAACCATCTCATTGCCATCCAATCAATGCGCTCATATGTAGGGGTGAGCAAGATTCAAACCATTGAACTTGGCTCAACATGATGACTCAATACTAGGTGTAAGTCTGAGTCTTTGATACTAATGCGACGGTGTTCAATAATTGCGAGTTTTAGGTGCTATAATATACTCCGCAGTAGGTGGGACAATTGTGGCCTTGTTTGCCATGTTTGGCGGTAGGTGACCCAGGTGCAATACCTCTGTAATATCGACCTGACTGACACACGATGCAAGTGATCATGATTGCTCGGTTACATGCCATGTATCAGGGATCTAGAACGATGCTTATCTTCCTTGTTACTATATTTCTGGCTATAAACATCACCTGCGGAGTAATCGCGGCAATAGTATTCAACAATGTTGTAGCAGGTAAGTCTTACTTGTTGACTTGAAGAACACGGCTCATTGGGAAAACACCAGAGGAGTTCATACTCTCTGGCACGTATATGTGCTATTATGAAATTGATGGGGACGAGCAACTTCTGTTTTCGATGAATTGGACGCTCAGCACTGTTTGGGAGGTCATCGCATTGTGTCTTTCAGTTTGGGCTGCTGTGAAACACTTCCGTGAGCTACGACGACTCGGCCCATCGACAGGATCGACCATCGGGGACTGTTTCATGGTGCTCATACAATCTCACGTTCTTTATTTTGCAAGGTGAGCTTGTAATGTGAACGCGGTTATATTTGTCTGCTTAAGTGCCGCATATGTTAGCTATGTTGGTGTCTCTTCCTTCCAGATTTCTAATCTCTCTCCAGAAATATCGGTGCGCTGACCTGTCGCTGATATCTGCGTGCAACCACTGCTTATTATTTCTGTAGAATTCGCATTTTATTGGAGCTCAGATACTCGGAGGTGCTATTCAAATTTTATTGGTCGTGCAGATGTTTGTACTGGGACCACGCCTCGTCCTGAGCGTTCGAGAATACCACGCCAAACTCGTGGCATCCTCCGACGTAGAAACTAGCATGAGATCGATTGTTTGCCGGGAGCATGTACATGTATCGACTAGCAGTACTGTGTAGGGACATGCTTGCTGAGTGGTCTGCAGGGAGGAGAAATTTGGTTCATGGTATTCATAAGCACCCGCGCTTGAACTAAATGTAAGGGGAAATTATTTGCAACGACTAGCAACTAAACTGGTCTTTGATAACCGATATTACAATACAACGAGAATCAGTGAAAGTGCCTTGACAGCTGATTCTGCGCATTGGTGTTTCACTGTCTGGACATATAGATACTGCGAATCGTGAAGCGAGATAGATGTTAACTCATTAGTGCTCAGATGCGATTTCCTCCGTCCGATGGACCAAGGAGAATGAATGGAATGAATCGCGTAGACTCATAATGGACTGCACGTCTCTTACGAAAGAAATATGGGGTCTGCTGAGTGTGGAGTGGAGAATCAGGAAATGTCAGAGAGCCTCAAGCATACCCATTAAACTACTGATGAGGCATCAATTGCGAGATTATTTGGGAACCCTCGCTAAGCACGACCATAATAGTAAAGCACCGAACGAGATACTGACATGGATTACAGTTTTAGGGCAAGCAAATGATTACTCGAATGAAGTATCTGATAGAATGTGGAAAACGGGGATAAAAGCCAGATGGCCGATGACACCATGACATTGAAGAGGTCATCACAGCATGGCCTCATCAGTCACCTGGACGAACAAACAGAGAGTGAAGGGCTGGAAAACGAAAAGGGTAAGTGTTGTGTCTGTGATAAGGTAGTTGATAGAGGAGAAAAAAACTCAGTATGATGTGTCCGAGCACAAAAAAGTGTGGCCTCCAGAGGTAGTAGAATGTTCCTGAGCGCGAGGAAGAATTATGAGGGCCCGTATTGGACAAAATTCAAGAGCTTGGCTTTGAAACTGTCGCACTTGATTTCGACTTAGATCTTACTGAATAAGGAAGGTGGGTCCTTTTGACATCAACGTCGACCTTGACTTTAACGTTTAACATTTAACTTTGACCTTGACTTCTGCTTCTGCTTCGACATGACCATAACTCTAAGTACTCTACCATGTGATCACTACAGCTTATATGTTGAATTACAGCCAATTCCACATTGTTGAGCCCAAGGATATCGCGTGTCTCGTCGCTGTTTCCCACGCTTGCTCGCTGTATGCCACCAGTAACACGACCGCAAGGATGCTCAGCACACTACAAAACATAGCGCAAGCTTCAACAATATTTAGCATGGCTTCAAATTGGTATTAATTACAGCCATGGATATCAATTCTCCTCGAGACCGTTGTCGAGCTAGTGCTCATGAATTACTAAATCAGGCTGATATCTGATAGTGACCTTGTGGAATTCATGCGGACGGACCGAGTCCGACTGACATACGAATTTCTAAGAACAATGTTCCCCATGTTCTCATATACCTGGCGCAGAAAATCTTGGGCGTCCATTTGTCTTTTTCCTCAACCACCATGGCACCCCTTCCCGAGCGGCACAGCTGCCAATGTTGTGAAGTGTGTGTAGTTTTTGAGGCGAGCAACCCAAATGTAAGACTCTCGGTTGATTAGCTTATATCCTTGCTAACAAAATTGTCACAGGATGAACGAGACTCTGCAATGTGCTATTGTGGACACACTTTTCTTCACCATGCAGTTCCGGTGGTCTATCCACCACCAGTCCCTGCCACGCCACTTCCACTCCCTCTGAAAGGAGGTTGTCCAGTATCGGGATGTGTTAAATTCAAACAAGGAAATGTACGTAGGCTACTCCAAATCTAATGCACCTATCTCACAGTTAGTAAAGAGTCTTGCAGGACCGATCACACCACAATCCCTTTGTGTTTGTGGTCAATGTTGGCTTGCACACGTCAAAGTCACACCAGCAACTGCGAGGTATGTGCCCCTGTTGTACTTACATGTCAAGTAAACTTAGTTAAGCCTCCGCAGTCTAACACCTCCACCGACACCAACTGTAGTAGGCACCCCAGCTATGGCCTGGCCTCCCCCATCTCAAGTCAGATCAGGCACGAGTAATGAGCGCCATGTGCAATCATATACATCATTTCGTCCGGCTGTGGGTGTACCAGGAACTGCCAGTCCTTTTAGTCCTTTTCCTACCAGCATGCGGCCTGCAAACTCTGGTTCAACTCGAACTTCTTCTCGCCCAGTTCGGCTGTCCAGTCATGCTGCTATGAGAAGAAGCTCTGTTCAGGAATCTTTGAGATTTGACATCGTATTTTTACCATATCCAGTAAGGATCTTTAGCTTGCGTTTTCAACATCCTGTTTTTCTGATGGACTTGACTTAGTTTTCATCTTCTCTTGAGATTGAGTCCGACGAGCCATTTCCAAAGGACCTAAGACTAAGTCGCCAAAAGCTCCCAGATATTCTTCGTCGACTTCGGCACCACAACCTTGTGATAGATGTCACACTTTCAACATCTGATCCACAGCGCTTGGTGATCAACGAGCTTCATGAGCACATCACATCGCACCTTGCTGCCCATACCATCCACTTCCCAGCTTCCCCGCTTTTTGACACCAATACGACTGTCCACGCGCCACAAGTCGAGTATGAAAGGGCCGACTGGCTTATATTACAGCTCGGAAAACTCAACCGTGATGGTACATCCTACACGTTAAAGACAGCTGCATTGACCACATGGCAGCTCACTGTGGCAGCCCTCGTCGACAACATGAACAAGATCTCCAGAAATATGAAGAATCCTTTCAGCGACACACCACTTCTATTCATCGGTATGTCTAGCTTTCGTCATTTTGAATATCCATGGACTAAAGAACAATCACAATAGCACCTCGTTTTGGGAAGCTTACTGGGCCTATCGATACCACAAAAAGGGTCCACTCTTGTTATGCATCACGTGTAATGGATACCTTGTTCACTGCCTGATTCCCTGAGTCGAGCTGGAACCCATCGTGCTTGTCAGCTTGTCCTGGCTATGGTATTGAACAGCGTCTTGATCGAGTTGATGACGATGATGATTGTGTATGTTTTTGGTTTAATTTCGATTGATTCATCTATTGACATGTATCATAATTGCAGTTCAATGAGTCGCTCTCGTCTACTATTGCTTGTGGTCCAATACTGCAGTCAGAGAACACTTCCCCCGCACATCCTGCCCACTCCAACGTCGCTGACTGGCAAGCATATGTACAAGACCATGCATTGGATGGTAGGCATACAGAGATTCAACCTTGGCGTGGTCAAGGAAAGACAGTGGAAGATGTTGCTGATCTTTTGACGGCCTTCATATACTCTAAGTATGGGGGTATTTCCCTCAGCATGGCCTCGTTGCCATCAGGACTCATCGTTGGTTACTCATATAAGAATGATGGGTCTGACCTCAGCCTCGCCAGTTTGTTTATGTCGGAGAGAACTTACAAAGTGTAAGCTTGATTTGGTATCTTTAGTTATCTTCTCTAACATGTTGGTACAGTGGTGAGGGCCTTGGGGAAGGTGTCGAGCGATCCGTCCTTGCTCAAGCTATCCAGAAGTCGACAAGTGAACTATCCACTTGGGTGGAGACCATGGATGGGTTCAAGAGCCTTTCGACCCTCCCATTTGGGGTGTTGGACCCAAAGATGGCGTGTAAACTCAAGACCCATGGCCTGTTGTGTGCCTTGCACATTTTCGCACTTGGCCAACCACCCGTACCATGTTCTCCGTTTTTACTCATTTACGTCCTGGGAAACTTCAATCTTCTTTTTGATACCTCGTATATTAGGATGTTGGCACCTGAAGCAGCACATGCGCTGTCTGTGATTCCATCGAACCATAACAGCCCTCTTGACCTCTCACCCACTGGACCTCTTGCATCATTGTTAGCGACATATCTTATGATTCAGGTGAGTCGGACAATTATGTCTTTGATATCTGGATTGACGAGGTTAATAGCCTGCACAACTTGCGCAAGATATGTTACCTGCAAGACGTCTCGAGTTGCAACGGCAGCTTTATGCTGGTGTTCTTCTTGGATGTCCATCAGCATTCACGTTAGATGTCCCTCAAGAATTCTTAGCGTTTGCTGAAGGGTTCGATGCGTATGTTAGTGAAGAGATACCTTCCTTGGCATCTGTGAGTTCGAGAATCTGTGTCGTGCACTTGATAACGAGTTAACCGTTGACACATTTTTAGACCTTGCGCCCGTCATTGGAAGGGCTGATTGCTGAGCTTTATCAGCAACATTTCATTTCTACTGCTCAGCTCATTCAGCGCCTTGAATTTGAGGTTGCACAGATATCTGAATCTGATGGTGGGCATGCGCGCAGGCCTGTCATTGACTCAGATACGGAAGCGGCTTTCATCTTGAGGTTTACTCGGTACCTGAGAGGTGCTGGCCATCCGAAGCATCCTGCTGTTGACGGATGTGTCTCAGGAGCAACTTCGTGCTGATGAAGAGAGCACAACACGCACAATGCTGCGATGCAAGCAGTTTATGCTGCAAATGTCTGGAAGTTGTATTCTTCCAGCGAATCCGAAGCAAAATTTCTGTGTATGTTTTCACAATCAAAGCTCGCGCTTCATTGAACTGAATTTTTATACTCAGGTTCGCTTCACGAAAGGGCTTCCACAGAGATATGCACATTCAAAACCACCAGGGGCGGGCGCTGATTGGGAGGTATGTGTAACAGTGTATATTATCTAATGTTTGCTCAACTGCGTCCACACCTGTAGCCGGCCACCTATCCAATGCACTTTCAGACATGTTCCTACCGAGTGAACATTCCACTCACAAAAGCCATCATCTCCTCTCTCGCTGATCCAATCCCAGATGATGACAATACAGTGACAGATTTTGATCTTTGGATCCATTCTTCTCTCTTCGCTTTTTCAGGGCCCTCTAGCTTTAATATCCTTTGAACGTCTTTCATGCAGCCTGCAGTAACCCTGTCTCCATTCTGCCATCCTGTCTTTGATACAACCTGTATTCATTACTTATGTCTTTGCCAATCCAATGTGTGCCATCGAGTGCGGGCTGGTAGTATTGAATGTCAATGAAACATGTTACAGCATATTTGAAGTGCGTCAATCCACAGTAGTCTACAACTGTCCATGGAGTAAGACAAGTAATGAGGTAGAAGGGTAAGCTGGTTATCTAGATCACATATCTGTGCATCTGTCAGTGGACGGTGTGCTTCTGGTACCTGTACATCTGATAGCTGCTGTGGGGGATGAATGACAAATGGGTTGTCGGCTGTTTCATCCACACTATTTGCTTCATTATGGTGTTGACGAACATTATCTTCATCGAATGCTTCCCAGTCTATTCCATACTCTTGGAAGTCACCCACTTCATCATCTCCCGGAATGAATGTTGCATCCACTCCATGCACACCATTTTGAAGCATGCCGAAGAAGAACATGTCACGTGGACTGCGCTGGCGCTCGTCACGAATTGAAATTCTGTGATGGTTCCATGATTCAGCCCAATCAGTGGCATCCAGGTTAATCCGTTCAAGAAATATGTGGTGCAGGAGCCACACATGGGCATCCAAGTTAGTATCCAAACCGTCATGCATCTCAAGCCCTAGGAAAAAATCCTTCCATTTTGCTCCAAATCCTCTTGTGACATCGCACCATAGGCGCTCGATACGGATGTTGTGAACACTCCTGCAATACACATACCTAAACATTATTGCAGGGGTCAAGGGTGGTACTGACTTACCGGCCCCATATATAAGACCCTCGCTCTGTACCTCTCCGATTTTCCATCCACTCAGCTACTCGGAGATTCTCTGTTCCATGGTCTCCACGCACACGACTGGGGGTGCCATGCTCTGCAATTGCATCGATGAACAGATTGAGAACTGTCTGAGCTCTGTTGTTGCTACTGACACGAATGCCCGTCACAAACCGTGAAAATCCATCTATGAAGGCATGGATGACAAACCGCCATCGTATCAATCCTGTGATAAACAACAAGTTGCAGCAGGTAGAACCACTCAAATAATTACATGACACACCATGTTGCCCGTCATGATGCCATAGAGAATTGGGACCAGGAACAGAATAAACACGACGTTGTATCCTCCGCGAGCCAAAAATGTTAAGAGGAGCACCATATACACGAGCATATGACTCTAGCACACGACTGCGTGTCACTCGGTGGCCAAGGTATTGGAAATGTCCTTGGATCATCCGACGGCCAAAGTAAGGAAAGTGGTCAAGTATCTGTTGCATGATCCCATCCAGCTCATCATCTGAGAGGTCAGAAGTTGGAGCAGTTGATGATGTGTAAAATCGCGTCACAGTCCCATCTTCAGCTTCATAATCAACATACACTGGGGCTCCTGGCTCTACTAAGCCATACTCCAAGGCGCGACGACGCACAGTTCGTGCTGATACTTGAAATACTGCTGCAAGGTGTGTCGGACCACGAAGTTCAATAGCAGGTGCTAGAATAGATGGCTCGATTTCGATACGGGGGCGTCCTGGTCGCCCAGTCGGCACCACATAAGATGCTTGTATTGGTGGAGCGTCTGGTGGGTCCACTGACTGACGAGCTGCATCATCCAAATGATCTATCATACTTTGCAGACTGTTTTCAATGGTGATACGTTCAGCTGGCATGAAAATGTCCGCATGCTACATCACTCTAATTGAGCAAATGACAGAATGTGCCTTGGAACAACACGACTTGCCTGTGTCAATAGTGCTGATAACCGTAAGCAATGCCTCTGTTCTTCACCTAACCGTGCGTGGTCCCCAATCTGTGTGCGGAGGGCTATCGTAACACGGCGGCCAAGCTCAGCATATGCAGCTCGTATTGTCTGTAATGGAGCAGGTACAAGCTGCTGATTAGGCTGGTCATTCATGACTGTGAAGAAGATGTCACGAAATGCACCACTGACATTATATGGTTTTAAGGTGCCCAACCCTTATGAGCCTCTGTCTGTCACGGAAGCACAATAAACTTTTTAGTGAATCATGATTATCATATTAGGCAGTCTAAGACCAAATTAACAAACGGCTGCTACAAGTTCTTATCTGGCCATCCGTCATGTTTGCCTGCTGCTTGCACTAACCATGCATGCCTGACATGGTCCTCTGACCTGGCATTGGGAGTTGCCCACACAACACTAAAAGAATGCAAAAGTTATATGACTGATACTCGCTACAACAATAGAATAAGTACCTGTACTGATACTGGGACAACCCCAATTCTCCTGGATAGGGATTCGCACGGGAAGTTTGATGGTCATAGGAGAAGGATACATTGTCTATAATGGATTCAGGTGGATGCGTATGGGAATTGAGCGATGGCTACATACCAAATTCAACTTCGCTGTTCGTGACTATCAATTCCTTAGCATCAGGTTCATCGACAACTTCACTAGACTCGTTAAGGAGGTGCAGCAGTTTCTTGGTGTCAATGAGGCTTTGGTTGATTGTGCGATATACGCCGCCCAAGTTCGAGAGAGGGAAGTAGAGCTGGCGTGGTCAAAGGATGTAAGCTTGGCACAATAGTCACAAAAAAAACAGGATACCCACCTGTATACCTCTGCGCCTCATATTCCTCCCCGCCGAAATACTTGATAGTCTCGTAATTGAGGAGACAATCCGTATGGATCCCACGCATGACCTGAGCATGCGTACAATTAGGACCCGTTTCATGATCATAGACAAAACGACGAGCACTCACCACATCCCGCTCATTCATTCGCCTCCATATCCTAGTCCCATACCTTGTAAGCACGGCACTCGCCCAGATATAACTCCTTATCATGACTCCAACCAGAGCGCCCAACACAGGTTCAAACCTGAAGACAAACACGACGAGTGCAACACATATATCCATAAGTGCAGGGACCACCGTGAACCCAATAAGCTCTCCAACACGGTTTATTGCGGTTCCTCTATCAAGGATACGCAGCAGCTCGCCAGTCTTGTATTTTGTATGCCAGCTGAGAGAAAGGGCAAGGACAAGGTTGAATGAGAGCATCGACATGCTGCGATCGCCATATTGCATAAGTGGGATCCAGAGGGCGTCACAGATGGCTGCAAGACTGCCTGAGGAAGCGTGTGTCGAATGTGGTGATGAGTGCGCTGAGTGTAAGAGGAAGAAATGCGTTGACTACGCGACCGAGAACAAGAATGAAGAAACAGATCAACTAGGAAATGGTTAATTGGGGTGATGAAATGTAATGGAGGCACGTACTGCAATGAATTGTAGCTTTGGGTAATGGGAGGGCCAGAGATGGGGCATGATGCGAGATACACGCCTGAAGAGTTCCACCACGAGGGATCGACGGCTACTTCATGTGAGGTTGTCTGTGGAAATGTTAGGTTGTGCTACACTAGATTGGCAGTCCTACTAACCTTGCTTGACTCTCGTACATCTGGAATTAGAAACACGCTGCGGGTGGTAGGGCCACTTCTGCATGTAAAAGTGCCGTATTTGGCGGTACTACTAGGACCATCAGGGTTGGGAAATCGTCAGAGTCGATCCTCGCATTGATAGACTGATCAGGATGAGCCAATATGGGCTGCAGCGGAAAGGAAAAGTTATAGGAAAGGACTGGAAAGGGCCAACAAGGAATAAAAGTTCATCATACAAGTTGACGACATGAACGAGATTTGCCAAAGCACTGACCTATGTAGCACATAAGATACAAATGTACGAAAATGTAGATCTGTGAAGTGCGAGCTCCACCTATTTACACCGTTCGCCACCCGGCTACACCAAAGGCAGTTACTAAGTGAGGAGGGTAGAGCTACAAGCACCGTCCGATAACCATAACAGTACTTGGATGTAGGAAATGAACATCAATGACACGCAGCCGGGAGGATATTGGTCAGCACGGCACTTGCCGAGGGTCAAGTTCAAAATCAAAACATCAAAGTCAAGCCCAACGTCAACATCATCAAAATATATCGTAGTAACGCGGAATTCAAGCTCAAGACAAGTTTCCTAAAGCGAAAAAACATATTGTCCAGTACGGTCCCTTATAAAGAATGTGTCTGGAGGATCTGTCACAGGAGCAACACTTTAGTCTCATATATATAGTACTTGAGTACTATGTAGGCAGTGAGCGGAACGGACCTAGAACTTTTGAAGGTCAATTTTACATAATCAACCTACAGCTGCATTTGCCGAATGCCCCAGACTCTGGCCCCAGACGCCACCCCAGACTCTGGCCCCAGACTCCACCCTAGACTTTGGGCCCAGACTGGCCCCAGACTGGCCAGATCTCTGACATTCACGACAAAGTGTTGTTTCAATGTTTGCGACAAGATGCGAAGACGCAGTGTTGTGCGTTGTATATATGTAACACAACGATACGAAGTTTGCGTTGCATGCGACCTTACCATGCAAAGTTGTAAGAAGATAACGATAAGCAACGTGCGATGCGAAGGAGATCTACGTATATCACAAATAAGCACTTTTCAACACAGTACAAAACAGGTACTATTTCGTATTTCAACATCTCCGAACCTTTCCCATCAGAGCGCGTTTTCACTGGGGCTGAGCGCTGAACGTTGAACGGTGGTATATCTTGCACGGACGCTCGTGATACACCACTAACCTTCCCCACTCGCTCACCCATCCCTCGAACATGACCTACGTCTCAAATGATCCCAGTTGGTGGCCGACAATCAATTTGAATATTTTTTTCAGCTATTGGAACGGTTTGTCGCATCATGATGTCTTAGACCTAACATTGACATGCAGGTTCGCAGTTGCCGCGGGCGTCGTGGTGGTATATGATTGTGGTGAGCATGACAGTGTTTGAAAGTCGCTGATATTCTCATGATATTTCCAGTCTTAACACTCGGACAAGAGGTATGTCGATGTTATCGCCGGAGCAGCCAGCTCACTAAGAATGGTGTCATAGATTGAACTCATCTGGGTGAGTGACAAGAGTCTCATCAGAAGAAAACAAGAGAATCCACTGAATTTGCGACAGAGACAACGCTGGTCTCTCATGACTGTGCTGTATTTGACTGTTCGTACCTCATGTTTTGCTTTAGCGTGGTGGGCAACTTATGCTGACTCCAAAATGTTCTAGATACGCTATATTGGAATACCGTTTTGTGTGTATGTGTCGAGACCAACAACTTTGGACTGTGCTAATAGCTCATCTCTGACAATTAGTGCCTCTCTTCTGTGTACGTCTCATATGCGCTGTGTTCCATTTTTCTGACCGGCGGCACACAGCAAATATGCCATCGATATCGCTGACGGATGCAGTAAGTATTCTGCAACCATCTCATTCCCATCCAATCAATACGCTCATATGTAGACGTAAGTGAGATTCCAAGTATTGAACTTTGCTCAACATAATGACTCAATAGGTGTAAGTCTGAGTCTTTGATACTAGTGCGATAGCGTTCGCTAATTGGGTGTTTTAGGCGCTATCACGTACTACGCAATAAATGGGACAACTGTGACCTTAATTGCCATGTTGGGCGGTAAGTGACCCAGGTGCAATACCTCTGATATTGACCTGACTGTCACACGATGCAAGTCATCGTGATTTCCCGGTTGCATGCCATGTATCAGGGATCTAGAAAGATGCTTATCTTCCTTGTTATTGTCTTCCTGGCTGTAAACATCGCCTGCGGAGTAATGACGGCAATAACGCTCAACGATACTGTACTGGGTAAGCTGTACTTGTTGACTTGAAGAACGCGGCTCATTGAACAAACACTAGAGGAGGCGATACTCTCTGGCACATATATGTGCAGTTATGTATTTGGAGGGGACGAGCAGCTTCTTATTTCGATGGTTTGGATGCTCAACACTGTTTGGGAGGTCCTCGCACTGTGTCTTTCAGTCTGGGTTGCCGTAAAACACTTCCGTGAGCTGCGACGACTCGGCCCATCCACAGGATCGATCATCGGTGACTGTTTCACAGTGCTGATACAATCTCACGTTCTTTATTTTGCAAGGTGAGCTTGTAATGTGAACGCGCTTATATTTTTCTGCTCAAGTTCCGTACATGTTAGCTTCGTTGGTGTCTCTTGCCTCCAGCTTACTCTTCTCTCTCCAGAAATCTGGGTGCGCTGACCTGTTGCTGACATCTACGTGTAACCACTGCTCATCATTTCTGCAGAATTCAAATTCTATTGTAACTCTGATACTCGCAGGTGCTCTTCAAATTTTATTGGTCGTGCAGCTGTTTGTGCTAGGACCACGCCTCATCTTGGGTGTTCGAGAATACCACGCCAAACTCGTGGCATACTCGGACGCAGAAACTAGCATGAATTCGATTGTTTTCCAGGAGCATGTACATGTATCGACTAGTAGTACTGTGTAGGGACAAACAATTTATGGGTGCCGGTGACCAGTGATGTATTTATATATCGCATGCAGGATGAGGAAAGTAAAGTTCCTGAGAGCGGTTATTTTAGGGACTATTGATGGAGACGCGAGCGAGGTGCATCGATGGCGAGATTGGGATTCGTGTTCGATTATGGACAACCCGCATGATCGATAATCGATAAAGCCCCGCACTGAATAGAAGCACGGTGGATGAAAGAAGGATGGCCTAGAATAGATTCCAGGCTAGATAAGGCATGGTTGATGATTAAATTACATTGTTATATGAACATCATGTGATTGTAGCCTCGGGAGGTTTTTCCTGATGAGTAGTGCCTGTCCGTTGAACTTCACGCACAGGTCAATTATCGTCTGCCATGTCCGATGCGAGTGAGGTAACAAGAGAGAATGAAATGCTTAGCACAATTTTTTCTGCAAACACCGAAGGTTGCACCAACCCAAAATTTCAACGTTGGCTGAGGTGCCGCATCTTTCGTATTATGTTTGATGCGCGAATGCAAACCCTTGATCTATTGATTCATCGTGCCTAGTGTCGTACGTGTGTCTTCAGCCTCCTGCCTCAAGACGGTCAATTCTTCCTCTGGACTATGGGCATAACCAGCAGTGCTTTATTGAACACAGCCGGTGACCAACGTACTTCAGTAAACAAGTTTCCGTGCGCCTGCCAGCTGCAACCAGCCAAATGGCCCTGCTAGGTCACGCAGTTACGCCCCCGACTTCTATTCAGTGGGTCGATCGAGCTGTGATTCGCGATTCGCGATTACAAACCGTTTGTTTGCAAAGCACCACGACTATTCTGTACTTATAACGACAACACATCCCACATCCATCAAAGCACCTTCGAACTTCGACCCCCTCGTTTTCGTCTCTCTGTCGAAAGCCCTGATTCGTTGCCGTAATATGGTTTTGCTACAGGTAACTATATCATAACTTTCATGTATTTAACGCTCGATGGCACTGATCTGTGCCAACACAGGATGGACCTAAACGGGAACGAGGGATCTCACCCTTACAGGATAGATGTTTACTGAAACACAATGTCATCGATATGAGCCTGTACAATCAGAAATCAGCCTTCTAGTGTGTTCCGCAGAATGACACTTGTTCCATAAGAGTACTCGTAGGGCTGTTGCGCCTCGGGCTCAGCCAGCGATGCCGAAGAGTGCGTAAATACATGTTTCACATACATCACACTTCGACCTGTGTTAGATCGATGCTAAGTGATTTCATAGGAAACTTCTTTATTTTTGCAATCTTGCAGCAAAAAAATCGGGTTTCAAATAAGTTTCCGACATCACGAACGACTAGAACTTTCCTGGTGTCCAAGTAGTCCCGTACGTAATTCTCCACTCGCTCACACCCATCCCTCGAACATGACCTACGTCTCAAATGATCCCAGTTGGTGGCCGTATATCGGTTTGGATATATTTTTAAATTATTGGATGGGTCTGTCAGATTAAGATGTCTGGATCAAACATTGACTTTGCGGTTTTGCAGTTGCTGCTGGCATTGTGGTGGTATATGATTGGGGTGAGCGGGCCAGCGTTCGAAAATCGCTCATATTCTAATGATATTTCCAGTCTTAACACTCGGACAAGAGGTACGTCTATGTTATCGCCTCAGCAGCTATCTCACTAACAATGGTATCTTAGATTGAACTCATCTGGGTGAGCGACAAGGGTCCCGTATCAGAAGAAACCAAGAACATGCAATGAATTCGCGACAGAGACAACGATGGTCTCTCATGACCATGCTGTATTTGATTGTTCGTACTCGTGTTGTGCTTTAGCGTGGTGGGCAACTTGTGCTGACTCCAAGATGTTCTAGATACGCTATATTGGAATACTGTATTCTGTGTATGTGTCGAGATCAACAACTTTGCTCTGTGCTAATAGCTCATCTCTGACAATTAGTGTCAATCTTCTGCGTATGTCTCATATGCGCTGTATTTCATTTTGCTGACCGGCGAGGCACAGAAACTATGCGATCGGTATCGCTGACAGATGCAGTAAGTGTTCTACAACCATCTCATTCCAATCCAATCAATACGCTCATATGTAGGGGTGAGTGAGATTCTAACCACTGAATTTGGCTCAACATAATGACTCAATAGGTGTAAGTCAAAGTCTTTTATACTAGTGCGAGGGCGTTTACTAATTGCCAGTTTTAGGCGCTACCATGTACTACGCAACAGATGGGACAATTGTGGCTTTGACTGCCATGCTGGGCGGTAAGTGACCCAGGTGCAATACCTCTGTGATATGGACCTGACTGACACGATGCAAGTGATCATGATCGCTCGGTTGCATGCCATGTATCAGGGATCTAGAACGATGCTCATCTTCCTTGTTATTATCTTCCTGGCTGTAAACATCACCTGCGGAGTGATCGCGGCAATAGGACTAAACGATACTGTAGCAGGTAAGCTTTACTTGTCGACTTGAAGAACACGGCTCATTGGACAAACACAAGAGGAGTCGATACTCTCTGGCACATATATATGCTATTTTGTACATGGAGGGAACGACCAGCTTCTGTATTCAATGGTTTGGATCCTCAACACTGTTTGGGAGGTCCTCGCGCTATGTCTTTCAGTTTGGGTTGCTGTGAAACACTTCCGTGAGCTGTGACGACTCGGCCCATCGACAAGATCGACCATCGGGGGCTGTTTCAGAGTGCTGATACAATCTCATGTTCTCTATTTTGCAAGGTGAGCTTGCATTGTGAACGCGGTTACATTTTTCCGCTCAAGTTCCGCACATGTTAGCTTTGTTAGTGTCTCTTGCCTCCAGCTTGTTAATATCTCTCCAGAAATCTGGGTGCGCTGACCTCTTGCTGATATCTGCGTGTAACCACTGCTCATCAGTTCTATAGAATTCGAATTCTACTGGACCTCAGATACTCTATGGTGCTCTTTTAATCTTATCGGTCGTGCAGATGTTTGTGCTAGGACCACGCCTCATCCTTAGCGTTCGAGAATACCACGCCAAACTCGTGACATACTCCGATGCAGAAACTAGCATGAATTCGATTGTTTTCCAGGAGCACGTACATGTATCAACTAGCAGTACTGTGTAGGGAAATGCTTGCTGAGCGGTCTGCAGGGAGGAGAAATTTGACCGAGGATCCGTCATTGTATTTATTTAACATATAGAGTTTTGCAGTATATTCAGGCAAACCTATTTCCTGTTGTATCACTACTGGAACGAAGCACCCACGCTTGAACCAAGTGATACGGGGAAATTATCCGGAACGTCCAGTAACCAAACTGGTCGTTGATAGTCAATCTCGAGATCCAAGTTAACGAAAATCAGTGAAAGTGCTCTGACATTTGCGCGTTTGTGGAGTTTCACTGTCTGGATATATAGACGATGAAGTGACTGCGAAGCGTGAAGCCAGATGGCTGATAACTCATGGGTGCTCAGATGCGATTTTCTCCATGCGATGGGTCACGGAAAATCAAATGAGTGAATCGCGTACACTCATGGCTCGACTGTACGTCTCTCTCGCGAATGAGCATCACAAGGATACTGAATCTGCTGAGTGATGAGTGGAGAATAAGAAAATGTCAGAAGGCTTCAAGCGTACCTATCAAACTACTGATGAGGCATCTACTGCGATATTCTGTTGGAGCCTTCGCTAAGCACGACTATCAGAGTAAAGCACAGATCGCCGATTTTGTTAGCATTACAGTTTTTTCTTATTCATCTAGATTGAGGCTACAGGTCTCCGGTTCAATGCGTGCCTAGCTAGGAGGCTTGTGACTAGAGTGGCCAACCTCCTCACTGATGGCCGTTCTCCACGAGGTCTACCTTCGATAACACTTATGAGTCGAGCCATTTCTGCTAAATGAATGTAGGATCGCGGATATGAGCGGAACGGACCTAAGACTTTTGAAGGTCAATTTTACATAATCAATCTACACACTCACTTTAGCTTCACCCTTGGCAGCACTTTCAAGATGTTCCCACGTACCGTCAGACCCTATTATTATGTAGCAAATATATAGTCTAAGAGACCCCCTCCTCCAGGAGGCTTCACCCTAGTTTTCCAAGGATGTGTGGCCATCCCTCGAGAGCATGTAACCAGAGCCTCGTCACAGAGGGTAAGCGCAACCTCCTGGTATGTTCCCTGGAGAGCCTCAACATAGCAGCCTCTCCAGATGCTCACTGCCTGCCTCCCCATGTCAGCATCTCCAGATGTCGGCAAGTGTGATAGCGGATGTGTTCTGGAGCCTCTCCGTATCTGTATGTTATCCATACTTCCATACTTCCATATTCCAGTTTGAATGTTTTATTCCATTTCTGCACCCAATCCTCCGTGATCGTGATTGTCTTGAGGAGTCAAACAAGGCCTGATCACATACAAAACATTGCATTGGCTGATACTATGGTAGATACAAAGGACACGGTAGATACGTCAACGTTCGACAGCAAGCACGACAACCAAAAATGACGAAACAACTCAATATATACGCGGCCGAGGGAGTCACCTGAATGCAAAAAATGAGGCCTGCGAGCCTAAGGAGTTCGTCCTCAATCCTCCTGGTCCTTGGGGTACTCGTTAGGATACTCACGCCCATACCCATGCTGGTATCTGCCTTGTGGACCAAAATATGCACTGCTGGGAGGGTGCCAATAAGTCTCGACATAACCGTCGTATCCATCGCGAGAATTGTGGTAGGGAGCATCATGGTAATCACCGTGATACTGAGGCTGAGGACCATGGGGGGGCTGGGGGGCATGAGCCATACGCGAGTCATGGTAATATTCGGGCGGCGGGTAACGAGCAAAGCCTTGTCCATAGCGCGATGGCATTGGACCCCTTGGGCGTGGACCATACATCCCTGGTCTCATGTCTGCATCGTGCGCCCGCGTCATGGAGTGACTCTCGGCATTAAAGTCTCCGTCGGTAGGTGCAGCCGCCATCTCGGATTCGGTACACCGCTCATGATGGGATCGTGGCATCCCCATGACAGGCTCCCTGCGCCCAATGGGTTGGTCGTGAATTGTCGCAGGCTGCAGGGATGGAGGTTGCATGAGAGGCGACTTAGCTGCTGGCCCAAGAGATTCCCCGCGCTGCAGGGATGGAGGTCGCACAACAGGCGACTTAGAAGCTGGTGCGAGAGATCCTGCACGCACGATGTTGTCCGGGAATAAGTCTACCGAAGCATGACGAGTTGGCGAGGGAGGCAAGGGACGTGTGGGGAGGCTGTTGGTAGCATCAGCATTGCTCGAGCGAGTCTCTGCTGCAGCTTTGTTGACGGCACTACCGTCAGGAGCATCGACGTCATTATCCACGATGGGATCGACTGCAGTCACAGGATGCTCTAAGGATCGTGTCAGTCAATGGAAATTGTAACAATGTAGTCAACAAATTCATACCTTGAGCTGACGAACCATTAAGCAGACGTTTAGCAGGTTTGGCTACAATATACATCAGTCGCCTTATAGAAGCAAATGCAAGAGGAACAAACATACCTCGTACATCTCGAATATGTTCATCACCGGAGGACTCAGCAGTCCCCGACGGTGCTCTCCTCTCAGGCACCTTGGGTTTAGGCCTCACAGGTACCTTACCTTTCGTCTTCTTTGCTGAGACTGCCTTCTCTGCAGGCGCAACAGACGGTGACCTCTTTTTGGATGCTCGCGAGGCGCCTTCGGATTTCGCCTTCCGCTTCTTGGAGGAAACATCATCTTGGTAATCGGAGTCGAGAACCACTGATTCCTCCAGGTTTTCATCTAGGTCCTCTGAGCCAGACGGAGTATCACTAGATGCCAAGGAAATGACCTCCTTGTCGACCTTCTTCTGGCCCGTCGGGCGCTTAACGACTTTGAATTCTCGGGAGGGGGGAGGCTGGGGGCGGACAGGTGCAGACACGCTTGGTTCGTCATCGGACTCGTCAGCAAGAGATGTTGTGGAAGCAGGCAGTGCCGATGCTTTCTTTGATGTTTTGCCTTTGACTATGGAAGTAGCTGTGCTCTGCTTCAGGCGCAGAGCACCCAGGCGATCTGATTTGCCATTCACAAAAAGGCGATGTCCTGCAGTATGAATCGAATCTGCTGCAGGAGGCGCGCCCTCCACTACTGGGCACTCAGAAGTGAGGACTTTAGCTGTATAAAAAGATCATTTGTAAGCAGGCGAAGACTGAAATTGAATAAAAACATACCTCGCTTAGCTTCGGCAATTTTTTTGATGCTCATGGTCCCCGCCTTCAAGGCTGCGATGACAATGCCGGTCTCCTTCAGAGTCAGGTTTGCGATACCTTTATTTACGGTGGTATGAAAACCACCTGGGAGGAGCATGTCCTCCGGATATCCTTTGATGATCATTGACATACGCGTGAGCTCTGATGGCAGTGTCTTCCACGGAAAAATCTTGTTGGACGTTAGTTTTCCGCCCAGTGCATCTGTCCCTCAGTGTCAGCGAACAAACGACAAATGAAATACACTCAAAATACCAATTTGACGATGCAACTCATCCTTGATCCACTTGATTCCATGCTTGGAAATGTCGAGAGATTCTGAAGGGGGGACTGAAGCCCCGCGTACGTTGGCATCGATCCCAATGCTGTCTTCATCAAAGGCCTCTTCGACGACACCGAGTGATGTCAGGTTACTAATGATTACATGAGAACTTCGTCACCAGGAACGTCGAGACAATACTTACTATACCTGGGCTTTCAAGTGACCGATGATAGTATCTTCATCAGCCCTACAGCGCGATTTCCAAAACTAAAATTAAGATAGTGATTAGGTGACGTTTATGTGGCCTACAAATACTCACACCCTCAGCTCCAGGTGTCGTATGGGCTAGGCCCAGCGAGCCGTCTTGATTAACGACTTTTCCGCACGCTACAAAAGCAGCCTCAAAGCCATAGCGAGCTGCTGCAGAGTCCATCTGTCTACCCTCAGTAACACAATAGTAAAACATGACGGAATTATACTCACAAGGCCAGAGATCTTTGTGCCAAATTTGTGGAACTCTTGACCCCGCATAGCAACCGTCTGAGGAATACCCAGGAGCATCGCTGACTGTTCATGAAGCTCGAGGATGTTTTGCCACTTGTCCGGGAATGCTGCCTTGAAGAGTTCATAGCAATTATGGCGCACAGTGGCACCTTGAATCACCGCATTAGAATGACAGAACATCGGCCACAAGATGTAAAACTCACTTGGTGTGCCATGAATCTCGGGGGCCCTCCTGCCGAGCCTCGCAAGCTCGTCCTTGAGGTGGTCCTTGAAGTAACTACTGTAAGCGTTCCAATGGTTGACAGTACTGGTGGAGCGCGCATGGCTCTTGTTCCAAAGTATGACGATCTGATGAGTGGGGATGGCTGTTTTGCTACTTAGATCTTGAATCATACGTTCGAGTTCCACGAATCCCTCTCGGAGCACAGCATTCGCTGTCTGAAATCTTCGCCCCTTCACTGCAGGGACGACATCAGATGTATCGTCCATGGGGAAGTCGAAAGCATCATCCATGGGAAAGCCGTCAGTGTAAGGATGACCCTCCCATTCTGCAGGCCCTGTCGGAGTAGGAGGTGTGATGTAAGTCTGAGGCACAGCAGGTAGCAACGTCAATGAGCCGGCAATGTGGTTGTCATCTCCGCCATTTTCGAAGGAACCCAACATCATACCACTGAAGTCATATTGTTCCAGTGGTAGAAACGAGGGTTTTGTAAAGAAGTTGGGCTGTGGAGGCTGGCCACCATCTGGGCGAGCATTCTCAGATGAATTGATAAGAGGAGCCTCGTAAAACACATCTTGTATAGGAAGCTGCAAAGGCACCGAACGCTCTCGAAGAGCAGGCTGAGGAGGCACCGAACGCTCTCGAAGTGCAGGTGTTACGACTGGATGAGTCGAGCTATCTCTGTCTGAGTAGACGGTCGGCAGAATGCCAGATAGACGTGAGTCTGCTCTCGATTGAGAGATCAAGGTTTCTGGCTAAGGCGAGTATCGCTGACTCCCTTAGAATAGTGGTTCTTTAGACAGTAAGGTTGGAGACCTTACTGAAGGACAATGTTCCAGGTAAAACCAGTAGATTAAAGTAAGGAATACAACAGTGGGTAGGTAGGTTTATATACAAGTGTTCAAGCGGAGCTTGTAAATGTGTTATCAAGATAGAAGCAAGAAGAGGCGGACAGCCCGCTTGGCAAGATAAGAGATAGACATGATAAGAGATAAGCGTGATACGACGGCCCGTTTAGCAACAAAAGGGGAATGAGTATAGGGGTCTAAATGTTACTGTAACATTACCCCCTTACTAGGGTTGAAACCACCGGATTCAATCATCCTGGTTAGCATAGTAGATGGGATCGTCAGAATACTCTAAGTCGTCTTCTGGTCCAGCCCTTATGCGTTCCTCCGAGTAAAGCATTTCTTCTTCCTGGCACAATGCTGCGTATGCGTCATCGGCGTCGTTCTCCCAGGCTGCGAGTGCTTGGTAAAATCCTTCGTCTTTCCAAGTTAAAGAGGTAGGGGTTTCTCCAGTATAGTGTGGGCAATAAAATGAAAGATGGCCTGGAGATAATTCTCGACAGACGCGACAATAGTATTCGGGGCAATTAACCTGCCTATGCCCGAGCGTCTGGCAGTATCTGCATACGCGGTTTTCATCAGGATTAGAGGAGGTCGCTCGTAAGGGTGATGGGCCTGGCTTAGGGCTAAGCGCTTCATCTGTGCTAGTGGCGCGTCTCTTTCCTTTATCTTTACCAGAGCGCCGAGCTCGTGTTCTTTTCCTGGTTAAATCGGTTCGTTGCATGGGGTGTCTTATGGTTACACCTCGTTGCTCTGCCTCCGCGATTAGCTCAGCAGGAGTGGCAGGTTGAGTTCTTCCCAACGCTTGCATGGGTACGATTCCATCCGTGAAGGTATGCGTCGATAACGAGTCCGGAATGATAAGCGGGGGATGAATGTGGAGTGAGGCCAACGCGTTGGCTAAGTCCTGTACTTCATGATAGGATAGGAGTTGTTCGTTTGGATTTGCAGCGATCTCTTCGCGGGTAGCAGAGAACGCAGTATAAAGATGGGGAGGGTGTTCGATAGTCTCCACCGTAGGAGCTGGTACGGGGACCGCCTGGCGGTTTTCTTCTCTGAGGGAAGCTAACATGGCCTCCGTTGTCTGTGCGAGATTATTGACCGCAGCCAGTAACTCATTAGGAATGTGAGAAGAGAGAGTAGGAGCAGCGTCTTGGTATGAGGGAGGAGGGGCTCCTCTAGTGGAGCCCATAGGGGAAGGTGGGCGCGCAACCCCTGCGGTTTGTTCTGAGACGATGTGGATGACTGTTCTAATATCATCTTTAACTTCTTCAGGAATAAGGCGCAGAGCAAAGTTGCGTATGCGCCTCTGCATATGCATGAGACTGTGGCGGACCGCGTTGTCTTCAACGAGACGACAGACTCGCTCGATGATCTCAGTGGCTCTGATGATGTTGATGAGGAGGTTGATAGAGTGGGCGTTTCTTCCGAAGAGGACTCTGGTGAGCTCGATGGCATGTTGGGGGCAGAGGAGTGCTGCCTCAATGAGGGTGAGGTCTTCAGCTTGGGTGATGTAAGTTTCGTATTGTTCGTCATTGGAATCAAGGGCGGAGGTTTCGAAGGTGGAGTGGTATGGCAGAGTGTAGGTGGATGCGGGGAAGGGCATATTGGTTACTTAGGTTTCGTTTACAAGGGAATGGTTCGTTTAGTTTAGCTTGTGCCTCTTCTTATATGTTGTCAAAAGTTCTTTCGAACTCCGCAAGTTCTCCTCGGGTATCCATTCGTTGCTTCCGGAAGAGTAGCCTATCCACGATACGAGATAGCGTCTTCGTTTACCCGTGCCTTTATGGCTAAGAATAGCTTCTATTTCATATTCTTCTTCGCCGTTGATAATGTCAGGTGGAGGTTCGGTGTAGTTCGGTCCGTGTATCTCTGTTTCGCGATAGGACGATAGTTCAGAAGCATGGAACGTGGGGTGAACTTTCCACTGGTCTGGGAGTTTTAGAGTAAATGTGATGGGAGATAAGACTGCGGTGATAACGAATGGGCCGTATCGTTTGGGCGCAAGTTTCCTAGAAGGCAAAGATGTCAGGAGATTGGTGGCTGTAAGCCATACCTTATCTCCTATCTTCCATGGTCGGTATTTCCCATGGCGGGATCTTTCTGCCATTCGTTGCATGGCGATGTTATGACAAGCGAGTGCTTCTTCACGTATCTTCTGTAGGTTTCTGAGTCTTTCTTCTGCTGCTGGCGTGTCTGATACTGATAAGATATGAGGGATCCCACGTGGTTCATAGCCCATCATGAGGAAGAACGGGGACGTGTTCCTGGCATCGTGTTTCCGATGATTGTGGACGAATTCGGCGATAGGAAGATGATTTGACCATTCTAACGGGTTATTCCTGCAATAGATCCGTAGGTAGGTTTCCAGTTCTTGGTTAAGACGTTCTGTTTGTCCGTCTGTCTGGGGGTGGTAGGCGGTTGATGCGGCGATCTGATATCCGAGAAGTCGGGCCAGTTCTCGAGAGAATTTCGAAATGAACTGCGGTCCTCTATCTGAGATCACTTTTTCGTGGAGGCCGAATCTTTTGAACACGTTTTTGAGGAATAGTTTGGCTACTCCTTCGGAGGTGATGTTTTTATTGCAAGGTGAAATAATTACCCCCTTCGTAAGCCCATGGTCTACCACGATCATGATAGAGTCAAAACCGCCCGATACAGGTAGGTCGGTGATAAGGTCAACAGAGACTTGAGAGAAGGGGCGAGTGGCAACGGAGGGGATCGGTCGTAACGGCGGAGTGACCGGGTGCGTGTCAGCCTTCATTTGTTGACATAAGGCACATCCGTCGACGTATTTGCGGATGTAAGTTCCCATGGCTGGCCACCAAAAATCTCGTTTGACGAGTTCTTCCGTTTTGAACCGTCCGGGATGTCCCGCAGTGGGATGATCATGGTGTTTAAATAACACGTCATGTCGTTGGGCTACTGGTACGTAAGCTCTATTTTTATAAAAGAGAACGCCATTGGTGCATTTCCAGTCTGAGAGGGCGGATTTCATTGGGGGAAGGCATACTCCGTCCAATGCTTCCAGGGCTTTCTGGTAGACGGGATCGTTGGTAGAGTTGCGTGCAATGCTTTCCGACAAATTATCGTCAATTAGTCGCACGAACATGGTATCAGGGAGGAGAATGCGATTTTCGTTATCGTCTTTTCCGAGTGAATGGTCGGGGCGTCGAGAAAGGGCATCAGGGGCAGCTAATTTGGTCCCTGCGACGTGATGCAATTCTAACTGATAATTGGAAAGGACGAGCTGCCAACGTGCCTGTCTTCGTGTCAGCTTTTGGGCGGAGCGGAAGTACAAGAGGTTCATATGATCCGTGAATACTATCACGGTGTGGGGGCTCCCTTCTAAATAGTGGCGCCATTCGGAGAGTGCTCTAATGACTGCCAGTAGTTCTCTGTCGAAGATTTCGTAGTTTCGTTCTGCGGGGTTAAAAGATTGGGATAGGTAACCGCATGGATGGTACATTCCATTTTCGTCAGTCTGCAGCAACACTGCTCCGGTTGCTGCCAACGATGCATCGGTAGCAATTGCGAATTGGCGAGTTGGATCCGGATTTCTCAGTACTGGCTGTGATAAAAAGGCGTTTTTAAGGTGATCAAAGGCGTTCTGACATTTGTCAGTCCAAATGAAAGGGTGATCTTTCTTTGTGAGGTCGATAAGGGGTCGAGCGATATCCGAGTAGTGAGCAATAAACGTCCGGTAGAAGTTGCAGAATCCTAGGAAAGACCGTGTGTCTTTCAGGTTCTCCGGGGTTGGCCAGTGTTTGATTCCGTCTACTTTGGCGGGTTCCATCCCTACTTCCCCTGGTCGAATCACCATTCCAAGATATTCTACTTCTCGCGCATCAAAGGTGCATTTTTCCGGTTTAACGAATAGTTTCTCTTTTCGAAGGATGTCAAGGATTTCGATGGTCCGTGCTTGGTGCTGCCGAAGATCCTTTGAGAAGATCAATAAGTCGTCCATGTATATGACTAGCCATCCTTGGTTTATCTGCTTTTGGCAGAGGTTGGTCATGAACGCTTGGAAAGTTGCGGGGGAATTCGTTAATCCAAAAAACATGACTGTTGGCTCGAACAGTCCTTCTTGAGTGGTAAACGCTGCTTTCCATCGATCTTCTGGGTGGATCCTCACGTTATTGTATCCTGATCTAATGTCGATCTTCGTGAAATACTTAGCGTCGTAGAGTTGTTCAATGAGGGATTTTGGCAAGGGGAGGGGATATTGATTTCGTACGGTCCAATCGTTGAGATACCGATAATCCTGACAGGGACGTAGTTCTCCGCTCTTCTTTCCTACGAAAAAGAATCCGCTGGCTTGAGGTGATTTGGAAGGAACAATAAAACCTTTTCTAGTGTTTTCTTCGATAAATGTTTTGACAGCTTCTCGTTCTTTTCCTGATAACGGATAGACCTTTGACGTCTTGGGTACAAATCCTGGTTTGAGGTCGATACGATGATCTACTCCTGGTCTTTCCGGCGGGAGTTTGTTAAGACCATCTTTGGCAAAGACGTCTTGATACTGGTGGAGGAAGTGAGGGACGAGTTCTTCGAAAGTTTTCTTTTGCTTTTTTATTTCTCCTGCAACCGCGAATTCTTGGGCTTTATTACTTGTTTTTCCATAGTTTTGTTCTCTTTTTGATGTTCCGTCCCGAACGAGTGGGGTATCGAAGGTCATGTCTTCTATGATGCGTACGGTGGATCCATCAGTGGCATATTCGACGAGTACTTCGTCATTGGCCAATTGATAGTCAAATGGGTCTGCGACTGGGGTTTTGAAGTTTTCTGACCAGACGTCGTCCTTCGTATCATAGTTAGGCATTTCTTCATCAACTATCGGCTTCCGTAGTTTGGAATTTGTCCAAGTTCGGTTCGTTTCTTTTCTGACTTCTTTTCTTTTTCTGAAAAGTGGTGGGAGTGACTTTTTTCGTCTTTTTCTGTCGATGCTTTTTTCTATGGCAAGCGACCTCTTCGTTGATGGGAGTAATACGGTCTTGGCTTCCCAATCGATCTGAGGTTTTAGTGCAGCAAGCCAAGGGAATCCTAGGAGGATTTTGTCCTGCTTAGCTAACTTTGCCACGTTGAACTTTCCGATCATAGTTCGTTGATCGATTTTGATCGTGAGTACGCAATAACGAGAGATAAGTCCTCCTTGAGCGTCCGATCCATCGGCGGTGATAACAGGGAAGGGTCGTGAAAGTTTATGGGTTTTTATTTTGTGCCTTTTACAGAAGGTATCGCTGATAAAGGTGCCGGATGCTCCGGAATCGATGACCATGGATGTTTCGACGGTTTGTACGCGTTTATCGGAAAAAATGGATGCAGGAATTCTTAATTCATTTCTGGTTCCGATAGAACGTATTAGTCGTACATGAGTGGGAGTTACTGACGTCGAGGCAGTGTCCCTTTCTAAAAATCCATTTCCACGAAGCGGCGTTCTACTTCAGTGAAGTCGCTGTCTTCTTCTTCTTCGACTTCTTTGGCTTTTTCTTTCATAGTTTTCCTTCGGATCGGTGCTTTCCTTTTAGGAATTTCTTCTTCGTTTCTCTCCTTCTTTCTTCTGATAGGGGTCCTGGAGGAGGAAGCGCGACTTTCGACTTCGTCGTCGCTGCTACTTTCTTCTTCTTTGTTTCTTCGGATCTGTCCTTTTTCTCTGGGGTGGAAGGAGGTGTCGTTGGCACGGTGTCCTACTTGGTGACATTTGAAGCATCTTCCTTCTTTGAGGTGTTTCTTTAATTCCGCGTCTGAGAGACGGCTTATGCGGTCGACTTCCATGTCGTCACTTCTTCTCGGAATGTAATGCCTATTTCCGAAGTTTTTCTTCTTCTGTTGCTGGGGTCTTTCCTTCTTTTTTATGGCTTTCCATCTTTGGAAGGCGTTATCGATATTAATGCAGGTATTGACGACAGTGTCGAAGTCATCAAGGGTTTCGCCTGTTTTATACAGGTTGTCCTGAAGCCCGTAGTCTAGGCCTTGTCGAAAGAATTCGATGAGGGGGGCTTGTTCGGTCATTCCCGCTCGGTGTGCGAGGAGCTTGTAATTGGAGATATAGGTGTGGAGATCTCCTTTCATCTCTAATCCTCTTATCTTTGTCATGGCAGTTCCGGCGGGGTCCATGGGTTTAAAGGCTTCGTCGAAGTCCTTTTTGAATTTGATCCAGGTACCGTAGCCGATCATTTGTCCAGAGGTATCTTTCCTCTTGGGGTCTAGGGCTGCTTCCATGAAGTCTTCTGCCCAGGCTGCTGCGTTTCCTTTCGTCATGTAGGATAACACAAGGATGATCTTCTTTTTATCATCAACGTAGACTTTGTCGTTAATGTCGAGGTATGCATGACATTTCATCATGAATCTCTTTGATTCTTCCCTATCTCCATCGAATTCGGGAGGGGAACCGATCTTTAGTTCTATTTCTTTGTTCTGGGTCGTCATGGTGTTCAACGGAGGAATGGTTGGTAACGTTCCTAGGTTCAAGGCTCCGATCAAGGGAGTTAATGAAGTCGTGGTGTCGGTTTCGTTGCAGATGGCAACGGTTCAGGTGATAAAGACTTTAATCTTTTGTTACGACTGGGATGAGTCGAGCTATCTCTGTCTGAGTAGACGGTCGGCAGAATGCCAGATAGACGTGAGTCTGCTCTCGATTGAGAGATCAAGGTTTCTGGCTAAGGCGAGTATCGCTGACTCCCTTAGAATAGTGGTTCTTTAGACAGTAAGGTTGGAGACCTTACTGAAGGACAATGTTCCAGGTAAAACCCAGTAGATTAAAGTAAGGAATACAACAGTGGGTAGGTAGGTTTATATACAAGTGTTCAAGCGGAGCTTGTAAATGTGTTATCAAGATAGAAGCAAGAAGAGGCGGACAGCCCGCTTGGCAAGATAAGAGATAGACATGATAAGAGATAAGCGTGATACGGACGGCCCGTTTAGCAACAAAAGGGGAATGAGTATAGGGGTCTAAATGTTACTGTAACAGCAGGCTGAGGAGGCACCGAACGCTCTCGAAGAGCAGGCTGAGGAGGCACCGAACGCTCTCGAAGAGCAGGCTGAGGAGGGGTTGAGTATTCAGCATCAGCGAACAATGTATCAAGTACCTGTCCATTGGAATCCGCCATAAACTCTTCGTTGAGAAGCCTGGCCCGACGCATAGAAGCTTCCTTCACTAAACCCGCATCACGGTTCGTAGCTTTGATGTGACTGCGGAGTTTTGTAGGAGTGTGCTCCACTGGTGGATCTTGATAGCGCTTTCCTCCGCCAACTTGTTCTTCAACAAAGTCTTCTTCAGTGTGAGGCGCCTCAGGACGCTCGGGCTGCAGGGACTCAGGAGGGGCAGAGTATCCGGGTGGCGGGGAATCTTGAATTTTAACTGAGGTAATTTTAGCTGAGGTTTGGGTCATAGCTAGGCCGATAAGTTATGATCAAGCCAGGGGCACGAGAGGGAGAAGGAGAAAAATTCAGACTAGAACGCAGGAGGGAGAGGGAGAAAAACATACCAATATCAAAGTATTTTTTAAACAATACAATATGGTGAGGAGGTAGCGGGAGAGGAAGAGGTCAGACCAAGGGCAAGACACCGTTGAATATGCCCAGGAGAAAAGCTGTCACAAAGAGATCCGCTGTCTGAACTTTGAAGACAGAAGTTAGGAACGGAGGTCGTGATCGGCGAGAACAGACTTGTTTAGCTCACATATGGTATTCCAGGAGCATCGGCAGAGCCTTCTCCAGACATCAGAGATTGAATTATCAAGCCTAGCTACGACTAAGGCTTCTGAGTGGTTCAGATTGAGTTCGACGCAGGAGGGAGAAGCAGAAAAACATACCAATGTCACAGTATTTTGTAGGGTCAGACGAAGGGCAAGACGCTGTTGAATTTGCCTAGGAGAAAAGCTGTCACGAAGAGATTCGCTGTTGGAAGACAGAAGTCAGGAACTCTTAGCTCACACGTGGTAGTCCAGAGGTAGGCAGGAGCATCGTCAGAGCATCGTCAGAGAATCTCCAGATGTTCGAGATTGAATTCTCCATACATTTCATCCATCAGCGTCAAAGTCACAGAGTCGAGATAGTTATACATATACGCAACATATGAGCCGGTTCAGTAGTCGTTGTAGTTCTGGTACAAGAACCCTTTGAGAAAATGAACTACCGCTAACTCGGCATCTCCATCGGTGAGTGCGTGACAGTAGATGTCATCTACCATGGCAATCGTGTCGCTCATGCCCCGGCAAACTTGGTCTGCAGCGCGCCACTCGTCACAGACCCCGCACAATTGAAGTATACCACCTTGCCCTCGAGTAGCCCTCTCGAGGAAGTCCTCGATGCTCGACATCGCACGTTTGAAAATTTCTCGATCTCCGTGTCCTCCAGGAGTGTCGGGGATAGATTTTGTGTATTCGGCGAAGACGCCCAAGGTGAATGTTCGTGGAGATCGAACATATTGCATGAAGTCGTCCTTGGCGTATTTGACCATGGCAATGCAATCAGCCAATGTCTCTCTAATAAAAATATTATAAACACGTCCAAGACGATAATATTTAGGACTTACAATGATTCTGGGGGATCATCTTTGTTGGTGTAGCATCTCTCCCTCCATTTCGCGAGTATCATATCACGGCACCTGTATCTTTGTTCAGCTTGGGAGTATTGGGGGCTAACTGAAACAAACATCACATACATGGCATAGTACTGGCAACGCTTGGCCCTCATAGCTTCGAGCTTGGCGGCCGCACTTTGGTATTCGGTCGGAGGGTCCATAGTGTAACTAACAGTGTGAAATATTGTGAAGCGACGGAGGAATATGAGCACCTACTTGAAAGTACAGTCGAGTGTCCTGGCGTCCAATGTAAGATCCGCATGGGTTGAAGTTCTGTTGAGACCTAGGAGGATCCACACGCCTGGAATTTGAAGATCCGTTACTACGTGTCTGGGCCCATAGCAAATGTGCCTCTTTGGTTGTGGGTAAGTAGGAGTATGAAGGACTCGCGTGAAGATACGGTTGAGTCTTTCAGGTCGTGTCAGTAATTGTAGGACCCACATGACTGGAACTTACAGGCTGCATATCCCGAGGATCCACACGCCTGGAATTCGAAGATCCATTACTACGTGTCTGGGCCCAGTGCCTCTTTGGTTGTGGGTAAGCAGGAGTATGAAGGACCCGCGTGAAGATACGGTTGGGTCTTTCAGGTCGTGTCAGTAATTGTAGGACCCACATGACTGAAACTTACAGGCTGCATATCCCGGCACCGTGCCAACGAGTCATTTTGACGTGTGAGAATTTGAACTTTGTGACCTTCCTCGATGATCATCAACGAGGTATCTCCATTATTACGACTTACAAACTCGGAAGCTTTCAGAACCTTCTGTCCATGAGGCTTCTCGGCGCTAACACACCTTCCTTGATGGATCATCAGCGAGGTATAAGGCGCCTTCTGGCTACTTTGAGCGGGCGCTTCCATCAATCACAAAGGTGCGCTTCTTCATATCTATTGACTCCACCCTCCACTATCGATTTAATCCTCCATTATCGATGATATACCACTTACAAACATCGGAAGCTTCCAGAACCTTCTGTCCATGAGGCTTCTCGGCGCTAACACATGACTAAAACTTACAGGCTGCATATCCCGGCACCGTGCCAATGAGTCATTTTGACGCGTGAGAAACTTTATGAAACTTCCTTGATGCCATCATCAGCGAGGTATAACGCGCCTTCTGGCGACTTTGAGCGGGCGCTTCCATCAATTACAAAGGTGCGCTTCTTCATATCTATTGACTCCACCCTCCACTATCGATTAAATCCTCCATTATCAATGATATACGACTTACAAACATCAAACAGCTAAATCTATGCGCGATTTCGCAATCGATTACATCCTGCCCTCAAGTCGTTGTTCTTCCTTCTTCGTCGATGGACTTTGCAAAGCTCGACCACAGTTCTCAACCGCATCACATCGCAGCGTGGGTTGCCTGTGGAGGAAGTGTTACAAGAGTGGCTGGAATGGCGTGAAATCAGTGATCCTGATGATTGGAGGCAGTTGGATGGGATACCTTGCATCATGGGCGGTTTGACCGCCTTGTGTGGTAAGTTCTGTTCTCGAAGTTTTCACTGAATCACTGAAATTGTTGCAGGAAAACTCGACACGCGAGCGGGTAACTTCCCTTGGAAGACCTTACCTATCCTACTAGGCAACCGTGGCTGCATCCTCCGTAACTACCCCGACAACACTCTGATGCCTGGTGAGAGACGTACAACGCTCACAACGAGCAAAGGTATCCATGACCTCACTCTTCGTGAGCGGAGTGTACTTGTAGATGCTCTCAAAAATGACTTACTGACCCTCCAACACGTCACTGATCATGATGCCCACCGAAGACTCTTGTTCTCTCGTGACCCCGTCATCTATGGAGAAGCTCCTAGCGCTGAATCACCCCACTCTCATGGACGACGTCAGTTCCTCGATTGTCGGATCGATCGCAGGGGTCTCCCTCGTCTCACACTGGACGAGACTTCTCCAGCGCCTTCTCCAGCGCCTCCTCGTCTTCGTCACCGTCCTCGTCCTCGGCGATTCCAATCATCATCCCCTTCTCTAGCGCCTTCTCCAGCACCTTCTCCAGCACCTTCTCCAGCACCTTCTCCAGCACCTTCTCCAGCACCTTCTCCAGCACCTTCTCCAGCACCTTCTCGTCCCCGTCCCCGTCCCCGTCCCCGTCCCCGTCCCCGTCCCCGTCCCCGTCCCCGTCCCCGTCCCCGTCCCCGTCCCCGTCCCCGTCCTCGTCCTCGGCGATTCCAATCGTCATCCCCTGAGCCATCTCCTGGCCCTCCCCGTCCCAGGAGTCTCCCTCGTCTCACACTGGACGAGACTTCTCCAGTGCCTTCTCCAGCGCCTCCTCGTCCTCGGCGATTCCAATCGTCGTCCCCTGAGCCATCTCCTGGCCCTCCCCGTCCTTGTTCTCGGCGATTCCAATCGTCATCCCCTGATCCATCTCCTGGCCCTTCTCACCGTCGTCAGAAACTCCGTGTATTTGTTGAGGTGCCACTCGCCCCACCCTCCTGGAAGTTGATTGCTACACGGCAACTGGAAGAGGCAAGTCGTGAAACTCCCTCGCAAACCCTACCTGCCAGTGGAGAGAAGTTGATTGCTACACGGCAACTGGAAGAGGCGAGTCGTGAAACTCCCTTGCGAACCCTACCTGCCAGTGGAGCCGGGTTAATTCCGGAGATAGCCCACCTCAGCCAGACTTCGATGACTACCGTGACGGATGGCCTTGTTGATGATGTAGAAGATTTGTAGAATGACAAATTTCGTACCTGTGGGCTAATTCCAGAGGTAGCCTACCTCAGCCAGACTTCAATGACTACGGATGGCATCGTTGATGATATAGAAGATATTGGTGAAGTACCGTCTGAGGGACAACTATAGAAAATTTCAGCTGTATGTAGAGTTGACAAATTCCGTACCTGTGTCCAATTAGGACTTGGATTCGCGTCACACAATCCGCCGAGAGTTTAAACGAGGCTATGGACGTTAACTCAAAGGGAAGTATTTGATGGCTTTGGTGGCACCATAGAAGACTTGTAGTGTGCCTTGTTACGATCACTAGATTCATTTACAGCGAGGCTCGTAGAGCACCCTCCCGAGAGGTCAGATAGCCAATCATATCATGTATAAAACTCCTACTAAACTGAAAACATATCTCTGCAGCATGATATAGCCCAATGTATGGCTATGATAAGGCCCAAAGTGAAGCCGTTATCAGCCTGGTTCAGATGAGATATAAATCTTATGTGCTTTATTTGACACAGACACCTTAATTCGTACAACACCGTTATAACTGGCATTAATGCTTCATCGAGTTGTGAGTTCTTCGAGTCGTTTGTACGTGACTTTAACCTGATTTTGAATCTAGCTCGGCCTATCCTCAACTACACGATGCTCAGGAAACATAGCATCAATCGGTCAGTTGAGTGTCTTGCTCCCTGAAGAGTTTCCTCGTCCTGAAACTACATGAATGTATTGTGTTTGTCTGAGTCGCTAACTCCATCCTTCATTGATTATCGCGTAGCTAGCATACTTGAATCAATGTACTTGTAGTTCTGCGCGCATTGCTTCAACTCTCCTCAACTACATGACTCGGATCAAACTATCAATCAGTCAGTTGAGTAGCTTGCTCCCTGGAGGGTTTTCTCGTTCTAACTCTCTTATCCTAAAACTACATGAGTATCTGTGTTCGTTGGTCTGAGTCGCTAACTTTATCATTCCTAATCGGGTACCATACTCAAATCAGCGTAGTTCTGCGCACATTTTCAGGAGAGTTGAAGAAGTGGATGGATTGTATATCACACGGTAGGTACTCTAATTACAAGTGTGCATATATAATGTCGGAAAGCTATCATGTCCTCCTCGCACATGCCTGGTCTATGGGATCCCCGAAGGACTGCTGCAAGTGCCGCTAAGACCCAGAGACCACAGTCGTAGCCGTTCGTCTGCAGAGGATTGAGTATTAGTGGACGGGCTACCCACCCTTTAAGATCAATACTAGCTGAGCCACGCCGTTGGTGAGCTATGGATGATAATCTTGCGATAAGATTCATAATGTCCTGTTCACATTGTTAGTTCAATAATGCGTGAATCAAATTATCACTTACTTTAACATCTGTCTTCCATGGGTGTCGTTCAGCCAGGCTATCGAAGAGATGGAGTTCTTTGGATGGAATATATATGGCACAAAACACCCAGTGTCCGACTGGAGAGGGGCGATGAATAGGTAAAAGCCAGAGATCTCTCTCCCAAAACAATGTCCACGATGTATTCCGCCACAGTATGTCGTCCGACGCATTGTATCGAATACGAGGGAGATCGTGGGTAGACAGAATAGCACAAGGTCTCACACGCGAGCTCGTCAGCATCTCAGAGTATAATAGTGCCGCACAACCGTTGATACACGTGTCATTAAGGCGGGAAGTGGGATGTGCCAGTAAGGACAGATCCCTTGCATCGAATACCTGGGGTGGAAAGCCATCTTGGGCTGGTTGTACCCGAGTGAGGGGAGTGTTTGATGCTGACACGATGATGTGATCCTCTGGACGGGGAACTTTGAAAGAATCTGTGCAAAGATTCTATGATACCGGATGAGTACAGTTACCTATGGAGAGACGAGGACATACCTCTGGAAGCTGCCAGCTAATCGTAAATTCAGGTAATCCCACGGGTTCGTCGTCTTCATCATCACTAGCGGTATTGTCAGGTAAAATGTCCAAGAGGACAGCTTCTTCAGCAATCTCTTCGAGTGCAGGGGCAATATGTTCGTCAGCATCATCCTCGGGGGAGTCTGCGAGCGCCAATGAGGTTGGTACAAGCCTGTACATGACAGCTTGCGATGGTCCCGTGCTCTCGGAAAGCGTAATAGCAAGATTGACCGCCATGTGAGCACTGCTGTTGAAACGAGTAGCAGATGCTAGTGGGGTAACCCATTTACTTTGTAACTGGAGAAGGTGATCCCGTCGTTGTTGGAGTGGGAACATGTATGTATGATCTTGTGAAATAAGTAATGATCATCGATGTAAATGAAATTGCTTACTTGTAGGAGAGCGGAGGGCGAGTTCTAGCGCAGTGAGCTCAGCTCCAAACCATCGACAAAGGTTATCTGCTTCATGCCCAATGCGGCGCTGCTCTTCATGGCACCGTTCCCGTTTAAGCAACGCTTGAATGCCATCTCTTACGTCAGTGTCTTCGATCCAATGAGGGACATCTCCAACGGATGGAGTGATCCAAACATCCTCCATCAGCGTCTGATCTTTGCGAAGATCGGCGAGCTTAGTAGGGAGAGGAGTAGGAAGCGGGACGCCCCAGGACGGGTCAAAGATGCTCTCCAGATGCTCACAATAGGAGTTAAACTTGCGAATCGCTGTCATCAAGGCCGGCTGGCGCTTAGCGATAGCCTTACGTGTCTGCTGATGTAGCTTCGTACCTTGTAGAACAAGTGAATATTCTGAGGCACAAAAACAGAAGGATTATACATTACCAAGTGCCTGATTTGCACCACCAACCGCACGGTCAAGTTTGTCCCATTCAAAAAAGCTTCCTATTGCTCTCTTCCGGATATTTATTTTGAGATCGCGCGCCATAAGAAGGGTTCGAACAAAATCCAAATCAACGCCCTGTAGTTCTGGAAATCTGTCGTGAACATTGAGCGAGGAATATAATGTTTCAACTTTGCTCATCAAACGATCATGGCTGCGCTCGAGGCTCTCCAGAGCGTCTAAGGTTTCTTCAGTAGCCGAGCCCTTCTCTACAACGGTCCGTGTGAGTTGCAATGCCCTGTCCGATGCGTCTAAATCAGCCTGCAAAGTAAGGACAACGTCAAGCTCCTTCTTCAGTCGTGCAGGAGCATCTGTCAATGGGGATATGTTGATCTTAGTATGGAAGTGGCACCCGTGGACTTACGAGCACGAATGGACAGTTGGGACTTCTTCTGATCCACCCACTGTTCCTGAAGGTCTTGAGCTTCGATACCGCAATTATCTAAAACTTCTTGTGCCGCTGCACCCTGACCATTAACTCCACGCTTGAGCCGCCGTTTAATCCAATCGCCAAGATCTGTTCGCATCTCAAGACCAATGGCGCCTGCTTGCCGGTCTATCAACCACAGACGCTTCTGGCGCTATCGTGAACTATAGTCAACAAATAATCATCAGAGTACTAGTACCGACTCACTGATGATGACCTTTGAATGCCAATTAATTTGACGAACCTTGACCATAGTCTTTCAGTTCCCTCCCCGTCTGAGAGGCCAAGACCGTTGCACATGCGAGGGTTATACTCGAGCTGACACGCCCACTCGTGGCCATATGCATGCATAGCCGTGGTTGCAAATCGAAGACGTGAAGTCACTGATTTGGGGAGAATATCATACTATATAGATAGATATAAGGTTAAAATGTATCTATTAAAGAAGCACTTACTTGAGATAATGACCGTGAGAGGACACACCCAACATCATACAGGGTAATGACAGTGGCTTCCTGCGGCAATAGAGTAAACAGATGCTCAATGAGTGCTACGGCGTATTTCTGTTGCTCGCCAGGTGAATCAATGTTAGCGAAGAAGAGCGGGATATCGTGACGGCATATCAGAGCCATGACGCCCGTATCATCGAAGGAATCCATCGCAGCCTTCTGCTTCTTACCATCTGCGGCCTCGTACGAGTGCTCGCATTGGTCAATTGCCTCATCTGGTACTACTAAAGAAGTGCAAATCCTTGGTGCACGTTTACGCTGCGAGAGGATGTGTCGCCCAACGTTGTCCACTTGAGCCTTGGGAAGAAAATATATGGGGTCGTAAAAGCGTGGGCAGTCGCCCGCAGATCGTCGATGTCGATGATGGAAATTGCCATCTGTTGCAACATGTATGTCGCCACCTTCATTAAGAGGTCTACCAAAAAGGACGCCTCCAAAGCAGGCTGGGCAATGCTGCGTGAGAATGGAGGCGCACCGGCCTTGGATTAATGTTGTACTGGATCGTATGGGGGTAGTTACGCCAGGGTTCTCTTGAGATTGAAGTTTACGGGCCTCATACACTTGGTCGCGACAAATTTGAAGTGTCGCTTCAGTCTGCCGTTCGACCTCAATCTGGAGGATGTCGAACCACTGGACGGCTTGGCCAAGTCCACGACGAAATGGTTCTTGAATAAGTTGTCCCTGTGTTTTAATGAGTTATTGTCTGAAAACCTGAAACGTCAAAACTCACATCTGCATTGGTCATGAGAAAGCCTCTGCGGGCATAATGGGTCTTTAGGGCATGCGCAAGCGCATGGATAGCATCGCATGAACGCTCGAACAAAGCACGATAGAATGCGAGTAGGTCTGTAGAAACAGCCATGCGTGGTTGGGAGGGAGCGGTAGGAAAGAGGCCATGGTAAAGGAGGACTTGCGAAAGTGTTGAACATCGGCAGGCCAATACATCAACAGAAAGGAAACCTGGAATTGTCAATTAAGGCGGCAGATGAGGAACGGACTACTTACGGTCAAAAAAGAGACAAACTATGGAAAATTGTCGATGTGTACAACTAGTATGGCTTGCGCAAGCGGATATGACCGGATGGACTTCTGGAAGAGCACACCCGTGTGTCCTTGTAGAATATTTGAGATGAGGATCTACCAGGGTCGGGATAAGCACTTTCCAAGCATTATATAGATTGTTAGCCATCTTGTTGGGCAAGAGACGGCGACGCCCAAGGTCTACCTTAGGCACATTTGTAGGGCAAGACGCTACTTGAGCAGGCTGGGCTACCTCCTCGGCGATGTAATCGTTATCATCGTAGTCGTAATTTAGCGTATCGTCAACGTGACCAGCGGTGTGCTCAATATCCATCGGGGCTTGAGACTCAGTAGAGGTGGGGGTTTCAGTGGTCGAAACTTGGGGCTGCATCAACGCAGCCATTTGGTCGAGGAGGCGCTGATGCTTGGAGTTGATGCCGGGAATGTGAACAAGAGTTTGTGTTTTTTTAGGGTCTCGAGCTTTCTTTGGGCTTACGAAGTGGTGTCCTAGCCCCATAGATGTCGGTTGAGTGCCACGTGTGTGGCGGGCAGGCGGCATGGTGATGGACGTAGTGGTGTAGAACAAGAGGCAATGAAAAGAACTTGGGAAACAAAAACGACAAGCAGCTGCAGAGCATAGTAGAGGTCTGCCAGATCTGATGGGTGCACCATATGCATGGAGCCTATCCGGAGGCTCGACGGGATGGGACGGGATATTGGCAAACATTGTAGAGGTATATACGAGGTAAATGGGGAGGTGCGGAGGTCCAAGGGAGGTGCTGGGGAGGGTCGCAAGAGGTCGCAAGGCATATTATGTGTGTGCTATAAATAGAACATCCACGAGGTTGGGTCTGCGAGACTATATAACGCCTACATAATAATACCATCTAAGAGACCTTTATTGATACCGAGAACTAATGCCTGAGGTGGAGTGGTGAGCTTATAGATGCGGATGAAGAGGAGGAGGATCTGGAGGCCTATAGCGAGAGTGGCATGTTTATAGGTGCGGATGAAGAGGATTGAGTAGGACATTTATACTATACTATCTCGTGTGTTGGGTACCCGAATTCAGACGCTATTGGTTTTTTTTGCATGCAATTTAGCTGCTGGTTGCTGCGCACTCCGACAAACTATGGGTTCTTTTGCGTGCTATATAGCTGTGGGTAGTTGCATGTAATAGCACTCCTACGAACTACAGTAGTACTTCGTAGCTGCTACGTGATACTATGTAGTACAGCGCTGACTACATAGAAGGGACTTGACTACGGAACTACACGCACTACCCTGACTATATAGTTCTATATAGTCAACATGTTTTTTCCTGATGCAGCTCATTATCGTTTGGCAGCACTCGGAGCGACTAAAATAATTTGCAAATTTTTACTTCTCAGATCACCTGAACAATTCATGCGTCTATTCTCGCTCACCGCCGTGGCTGCTTTGATAGCATCTATGTCTATCAGTACAACCCTAGCTAGTTTCGACGATACTTGTCTTGCCGCTGGTGAGTATTGCGATGAACACTCTGATTGCTGCTCTGATGCGTGTACATGGGAAACTGTGAGTTCGCTTCATGCATGCAGGATTCAACCTCATAACTCACCCTTTGCTGTAACAGGATTGCACTGAAAAGTATTGTGTTGCTTATGACAGTATGCTTGATCTCGACGAGTGGAAACGTTCTTATAGTAAGTCAAGTTTCTGCCTTGGCATTGATGCTGTGCTCACGGCACTATCTAGTTGAATGCTAAGTTCATCAGCTTGAAAATGATTGCATGCTTAGTCTTTGATATACAACACCTTTCGTCTGCGTCCCCTTTCACTCATCGTCTCGTCGTTGACATGTCTAACAGTCCTCTCCGTACGATATTATATCACCGAGCGTACTATCTATGTGCCCAATCTTCGCTTCTTTGTCACTTCTAATAAGCATTTGGTACTTTTTTGGAATTGATTTTACTCACGTGATGAGATCGTGTCTTGCAAGGGGGTCTAATGGTAAGTTTCACGAACCATCATCGATTCATCAACCAACCACCCATCTCGCTGAGCGAGCCCATCACACTCTTTTATTTGAAAGATGCAGCTTATTCTTCCCGTGCTCTCCCTACTCCTGGCGCCGGTCGCCGTAACTGCCTGCGAAGGCGATTGCATCGTCGATATCACCAATGAATACCTAAACCGCTACGAAAACATCCTGCTCACGACCCTTCAGAACTTGGAAAGTACATTTCAATTCATCATCGCTCTTCAGTCAGACTCATCATGATGACATGCACAGGCGACCCAGATCAGCGAGCAACTCGTCCCCGCTGCAAGCCGTAGAGAAAACTCCATCGTGTACTTCGCTCCCGTCTTGCAAGCCTACAACATCACTGCCTACAACAGCCTGGAGAAAGCCATATTCCCGAGTTACTTCCATGGAAAGTGTCAAGACGCAAACGGCGTGAACCCACCCGGATGCCCAAACCCTGACTGTCCCAAAGTCTGCGGCACGCCCGGCTCCATGGTCCACTTCTACCCTACCCTCGTCAGGATCGTATTCGACGGGACAACCGACCTGCTCGCCAACCTCACGGCACCGGGGAGTAAACCGTACAACCAGATACAACAAACGGTTATGGCAGACGTCAACAAGGGACATAGGAAACGTATGGAGAATCTGTCGCGTATCATGCCGTTACGCAATCGCGCAGCGATACAGGCGAGCAGTACGCACAGTATTCAGCAAGGCTTGAAGAAGATCATGAAGGAGCTGCGGCCGACCATGTTGGAAACATGCGGGGGTTCAAACCTGTCGCTTTGCAGTTGGGAGCAGCCTATGAAGGAGTTCATCTTGCAGTACCCTTGACCCCATTTTTTTCGCTCACACCTATATCCCACATTGTTAGAAGTATTAAGTCTGTTGATAATTGTGTTACATTTGTCAGTCGTATTTCAACTTACGGCCTAATCAACTTTAGGATATCGCTCACAACTCCCATGGCCGTGACATCATTGCCAGCACCAGCGCCTTGGACGATCAGGGGTCTTTTACCGTAGCGTTCGGTATGGAACATGATGATATTGTCCGATCCTCCTAACGAGGTTGCGAACGGATGAGTTTTTGGATATCTGGAGAGTTGATTAGAACAGGGCATGCTCATGAACCCATTGTGGACGTACTTCGCCAACTCGGCTTTCACGATTTTATTTTTTACATCGACGACGCCGACGTAGCGGAGAACACTACCCTCATTCGCAGCCTGCTCGCGCATCTGTGAAAAATGTGCGTCCTGTTCGGGAAGCCACTTCATAAACTCGTCCCCGTTGGAAACAGCGCTCGCAGGGGCATCCTGGATTAAAGAGGTAGTCTCCACCGACTGGTACCCGTGCAGAAGCGGGAAGTTTCCTTGCTCATCCTTCAGCTCTGGAATGATACGGGCTAGGATGGTCAATTTCCGAGCGACGTCTGCGCCATTTAGATCGTCTGCCGGGTTGGGTTCCTGAGTATTGGCATTTGAGCACTGCACAAACCCAGGTGAAAAAAGAAAATACCGTGTATCCCTGTGCTCGGGCTCCTTTGACTATCGACGAAAAGCTTTCATCGCTTCCCTCCACGGCGGAGAAGTTGTTGAAGATATAACTCATGGTCCCTGAGAAGACACCCTCGATCTTGACGATCTGATCGCACGCAGTCAGCCTGCATCCATCGCACCTTAGCCAGCAAAACCTCACCTTGTCCCCCGTCTCTACCAAATCTCTCAGCGTCGAGATAATGGGCAGCCCAGCACCCACCGTCGACTCATGCAAATACCTTCCACTCCTGCTCGCCTGGACAATAGCCTGATACAACCCTACCTCGCCCGAAAACGCCTTCTTATTCGGCGTGACCACATTGATCCCCGCACTTAACAACGCAGGGTACATCTCCGCAACGTCTTGCGAAGAAGTATTATCGATAAACACAGCCTTCTCACCCTGCTTCACGAGCTCCTGCAACGTGCTTTTCACCGCGGAGAGGTCGACGGCCGTCTCGCTGGCATTAAGTGCGTCCTTCCATGCTACGGGGTTGATACAGTGGTCTTTGGTGGACTGGAGCATGCGCTTGGAAGAGGTGAGCGCTACGAGCTGGAAGCCATAGATCGGGTTTGCGATCAGCTGTTCGACGACTTGGGTCCCGACGCCTCCGACGCCTACCACGGCAACCTGTAGGTACTTTCCGGGTTCCATTTTCTGTGCGTTAGTGGTGCAAGAATAGGAAAATGATCTATGATCACGAAGGTGTCTCGAAAAAATAAGATCTTGATATCGATTACTAGTTCTACCAATGATGGCGCTCCAGCCTGTTTGCATGACTCAGTTGATCGCAATTTGTTGCGTATCAGCGTAGCTACAGCAACACAATATTTTCAAGCCTTACGTCCTCAATGCCCAATTGCAAAAGCCAATGAAGTCTATTGCAGATCACAGTAAGGAGTGTACGGTTTGATATAAGGATGTTTAACGAGTGAAAGTTTTAAGTATGATCGGGATGTACAGGCGCGTGCGGATAGTGGAAAGAAAGTAGAGTATGTATGTACATCCGCGCCTGTGCAATGACCATTGGGTGAAAACGTATGATAGAACTGTAATCAGAACTTAGTCAAGAGTCAGGATACTCGGGGATAAGCAACGCACACCCAGACAGATTATACACTGGGAAAATCGTGTCGCATCATGAACAGAGAAGAAAAGTAAAAGACATAAAGAAGCACGGATGCTACGAGAATGTAAAGTGGCTATAGCACATTCGGGAAAAGAAGTGAAGAGTTATGATGCGACGTGATAGTCCGAGAATGTGTGGGCTGAGTCGATATTGATACACCTTTGTGTTATCTGAAAAAAAAAATAGCTGCCGCCCAGAATCGGAAAAAGCATGGCAGCCGCGAGGGGAATGGAAGAATGAAATGAAACGAAATAAATAACCCGAGCACCCAAGAAATCAGGCTAAAAACACAGGCGGGTGACGGGAAAGTATACGATACTAAGACCAGGGAATACCCGAGAAAAGAAAAATTGTCGTGAATGAAAAGAAAAAGATGAGAATATCACAAGACGGAGTCCCAAGATCCAAGAACACGCTCAGGGGTGGAAATACTAGGACCCCACGTGTGGACGCGAGGCCGATAGATAAATAAGCACGATCGGCTAGGAGGAAGAGTGGCGTGGCGTCATATACACAATACGCAGCGGGCAACACAAGGCTTGATGAGGATATTTTTGTCGTTTATAGAGCGGATAGTTTGCGCCTTGTGCCGCCTTTTATACAAGCCCGAGTGCTGTCGGGCAACCGAGATAATAAGAAATGCCGATGCGATGTTGCGAAAGCATGATAATGATGGAGCCGTGGTAGTGACACATTGAGGGGTGAAAAGAAATAGATAGAGAATGAACCGCCAGCGAGCGAGGTATGAATGTCGCCACTGAGTGGTGACCCAGATGTAATACATCTGGGGCAAGCCGCGAATGTGTCCTGTGCGGGTGACCATGACCGAAATAGACCGGATGATATGACAAGCAAGACAAGTGCAGAGCGGCAAGTCTATTAGACAAGCGATGCCGTAGAAACGTGGGAGCCAACAGCCCAAGAGAGAAGACCACAACGAAAATATTGCTCAATGGAAGACTTCGAAAGGATAATGATATCGGTGAAAGAGGTATAAGACACTGTGCGCCACGGAAGTCGTCGGAAGCAGGGTGTATGTCGACTTTTTCGCGATGAGGGTGTATTAAGTTCAGTATACGTTCGAAGATATTCCGCGGCGAAAAGAAAGGGAGATTATGTCGGTGTTGAGGTGATATTAGTCTAGGGGCTGCTTGCCAATACGAAAATCTACACCGCTGTTCAACCATTCGAGACTTTACCGCAAGAATTAAATCACCAACCTCTTACACTTGATGAATGCGATAGAAATGAAAATACCGCTTAAAAAGCGGGTGGAGGCAACTCGTCGGGACTCGGCGAGTTTTGGAACACTGAACTCGCGAAGAACCCAGCCTTGTCCTTAGCAGCGCGGGTGATGCTCGGTCCAACTGACCCAGGCTTCCTTGGCATGAAGCCAAACAACTTCCTCTGATCTTCAGAGGCATCAGAAGCCGATGCCATGTCCTCGTCAAAGGACATGTGAAAAACACCCTCACTGGGCGTTCTGAAATGTTTGCGGGATGGAGACGGAGTGTTGCAGCTCAACTGCCCACCAAACGGGAACCCTGTGCTCGCATTAAGCGGTGCCGTGCGGGGGCCTCCCTCGAATGTAAGCTGTTGCCAAGTCCCAGCGGATCTCTCGCGAGTGGGGGTTGATAGAGGAGAATTATCATCATCAACATCAGTGGTGTCATCACAGACCGGGAAATCTGTGACAGAGCCGGCGGAAGTGCGCCGTGCGGTTCGGAGTGGTACAGCAGACTGGCTGGGGGCCGAACGAGAGAGATTGTGACGAGTTGGCTGAATATTAGATCTAGGGACAGGAACTGCCCGAGTGGAAGGGGTGGGTGTGGCGATTTGCTGTGGGAAAGGGCGACGGCGACGAACAGCAAGTTTTCCGGCCGGCTGAGACGTCAAGGAAGGAGCTGGCGAAGAAATATTCTTGGGCGTCAAAGTCATGGGTGGAAGCGAGTTGTCCGAATCAGAATCGGAACTGACAACAAAGGGATCAAAAGAATTGGATGCGGGATTGTTGTTGTGACGGGTAAAAGTTTGCGTCGAAGATGTTGTACCCTCAGCCTGCGAGAGAATAGGTGGTGAAGGTTGACGAATGTTGCTGCGTCGGGCTTGCGCATTCGAAGAAGGGCTTCTAAAAAGGAGAAGCGAACGAATAATGGTACTCAGAAATGTTGCTGAGTGAATACAAATGGGTATAATTGATTACCTCGTCGTTCCCTTATCTTGAGGTGCCTTAGATTGTCTACCCCGTATGGTCTTGTCTGGCAATGATGTGGCCGGAAGAACGATGAGCTTCGAGACAACACCTGAGTTACTTTTCTGTGAAGGAGGCTTGGTGGGTTCATCGGATGACTCTGAGATTGAAGGCTGTGTTGCACGGCCCTGGGAATGAGGGATGAGCTGTTTCTGTTTCGGCTTTGGGGACCGATGTTGTTTCTGATGACTCTGAGGGAGCTGCTGTGGATGGTTACGAGGAGTTGAAGGTCGTGAAGGCTGCTTGGAGATGAAAAGCAAGCCAGGTGTTTTCGTTGCTTGAACTACAACTGCTGGAGGAGCCGAAGGATGACGACGATGTGATATGTTAGGTGACATGAAGGGCGGAGGATGTGGTTTGTGTGCTAGGAGCATTTGGGTAAGGATGGAGTGTTGAGTGGAATGACGAGTACAACGAGCGCAGCGACGGGGAAAGAGGCTGAGGACGACGGCGATTACGACGACGAAGTTGAGAGTGATGTGAGAGGAATAAAAAACGAGGATATCGTGGGATGACTGATCTTCGGATGACACATGGACCTTTTTGTTCTCCGACACCGCGCAGCAAGTAACGCATTACCAAATGTAGTAGTTTGTCACACTTGTCTATTATCTGAGTCTGAATAAGTCCTCATTTAGAAATTGTTTGTACTAGTTTTGAAGTTCTTGTGCCTTCTTTTCCTGATTAGGTTGGCTTCCTTGTACCGTAGATCCTCTCTGCCGCCGTGACTCAGTACTTGCTCGTATCCTTTTTGTTGGCGAGTCGTTCTTCGTGATCTTCCACTCAGTCTCCACTAAGATGAAGCCATAAACAAAATAGAACAGCAGATTCTATCACCATGGTTTGTAGTTCTCACTTAATACAATAGCCTATACCAAGTACTCACAGTGACTTGGAGAGGCGGTGACTCTCTTGTTATTGATCTCCTAGACTACAATCACTTGCGCACACGCCCTTACCGTGCTTCCCCATAATTGCTTTTCACGCACCTATTGACGCAACCGCAACGTTGCTCACTCGAGGTTGTATCCCCAAGAACAATAACATCATTATAGGCTGTACCTGCATCACACTCTTATCATACCTTCCTGCAGCGGCGCTACGCTCGTATGTGCCTGTGTAGCTGCCAGCTGTGATCATTTTTTTCATGCACACACCTTACCCGGCATCCCCTTTCAAGTCTCTCCTGCGGGGCCGCTTTCACCTTTTTTAGACGCCTCGTTGCACAGATTCGTCTCCAAAAGCGCTTCTAGAATCTTACCTTCTTTCATTATGAAATCTGCCTGCATCACCTGCTGATATGAGTGGAGCTCATAGCGTAAGTACTTCCCCACCGTTCGGATTTCATCAAATTATATGAACGGAGGCGACACACTCAAAGACTGCGATGCCCTCACCTATTTCTTCCGCGCCTGCCCCTACAAAGTTTAACACCCATTTACGCCCAACGTCTTCCGCCTTCGTATCAGCTCATATCAGCCTTCACTCGACGATAAGATGCTTTCTCTGTGGAATGAATGCTCTCTTACAGCATCCCGGATAAGATTATGCTGTTCTGAGTCGCTCCATATCTAATAATAATGTTGCGTCTTTATTTCCCTTCTGATCACATCCAAGAATCTGACGGAGATCATAGAAATACGCTTTCGCATTCTACTCGGTAGATGCGTGTAGAATCAAGGCCGAAAGATATCAATGAGTATCAAAGATCTATTTCCTGTCCCCGCTTTTATCGGTATAGTGTCCTTTCTTGTGGTAGAGTTTGCTTTATCCTGTCCTAACAGGGAACGCAGATTGATCGCATCTACGCTATGCAAGTTGAGCCGGATCATGCATCTCCTTTGAGCACGAGCGATAGCGTCGACCCTGGCTTTGCCTCATTATCTCTCGCCGGCAATGAAGAAAGTTTAGGGCGAGTCGTAAATATGACGTTGCGATCATCCCTGGCTTAGGGGCGAAGCATGTCCTGTACCAGAATTGTTCTGAGTGATGATCGTTTGTCGTGCTTAATGCGGGCCGGTATCGCAGTCTTACTTCTATAGGGTCTGGCTAGAGGAGACCAGGCCCCACTGATAAGGCGAAAGTGTAACTTACAAACAGGCGTGCGAGTCCGGGAGTCGACATCATATCACAGCATTGGTTCTGGATCCTAGCCGGCTCAAGACATATCCGGGCGCAACGCTGAACAGCGGAGAACTCACGAGGTGACACCTGGCATATTCAATTGATCAGCGTGGATCAGCGTTTACAACAAACTTGGTAAATTCCATCGGC